TCTCTTAACCCAGTCAGCTACTGGCCCCCACTGAATTGGCCATTTACCTTTTTCCTTCACCAACACTTCCAACATTGGTGTTATTTCTTCTGGAAGTCTTACCTTCTTCTACACACCTTCTCCTGCAGGTGTTGTTGACCTTCTCTTTTCCAAATTCTGCAATTGATCCCATGCCCCATGGATTTCTGGGTACAGTGGTACCTCGGGTTAAGAACTTAATTCATTCTGGAGGTCTGTTCTTAACCTGAAACTGTTCTTAACCTGAAGTACCACTTTAGCTAATGGGGCCTCCCACTGCCGCTGTGCAGCCGTTGTGCGATTTCTGTTCCCATCCTGAGGCAAAGTTCTTAACCCAAGGTACTATTTCCTGGTTAGCAGAGTCTGTAACCTGAAGCATCTGTAACTCGAGGTACCACTGTATTAACCACGAACCACAGTTTGATGTATCAATTACTCAGTTGGGGGCAGTGCTGCAAAACGCAGGGGTTAATGCTGAAAATCACTGCAAAACAACTACAAAACTTTGGCACAGGTTTGGAGGGGATCCCAATTTTGGGGTTCGTAGTTAATAACTGGAATTTATAATGGGGAAAAGGTTAATTCCTCCTCCTCCTCCAGTCTTGATATAATTACCCACCCACCCCCACTGCACATGTGTGTGCGCACACACACTGCTGTTTTTAAAATAAATTATAATAGAAAGCTAGAAATTTCCTGGTTAGTTTGGTTCTTGGAGCAGCCAATCCCAGTCCAACAGGAAAATTGGTGGTATGGAAGTATTTTCATATAAAAAAGGATTAATAAATCTGCATTACATTATAATTGGTGAAAACAAAGTATGTCGTTTCAAAAGCATGCATGAATTCAAAAACTAGACAAAAAGTTATATTTATGTTTCTAATTATGCTGTTCCAATATTTTCTTGTGTTATCGGGAAGATAAGGAAAATTTCAGAACACCATATGCTGAATAATATAAACACTTCAAGGAAGAGGATGCAAAAATGTTATAAGTAATGAAGACCAGAGCATATTTCCTTGCCAGGATTAAGTCTTATCATAATCTAAAACATGGAAAATATTTAGTTTTATTATATTATTCTAGTCTTTGTAAGAAAAGAGAAACATCATTTGAAACAAGTATTTATAAGACTCGCTGCACAGTCATTTTAAATATCTGAGGTGCACTCTGATCTCTTCTGTACTGGGCTAACTGCTATGCCATCTTTGTCTTGTTTAGCTTTGCAAAACTGAGCAGAGCTTACTCCAATTCTTATTTTACAGAAGACAAATTGAGGGTGAGCAATAGATACTTGCCAAAGACCATTCAAGATCAAGGCTAAAAGGATAGATCAGGGATGTCCAACTTCCAAGCGACTCACACGATTAAAATCTGGCAGTGATCTACCTGGGGTTCAGGTCAAAGTTACTGAGCTTTTTTTAGTAAGGAACATCCCTTTTGGGGGGGTTTCAGGTCCAAGTTGTTGAGCTTTTCTTAGGGAGGAATGTCCCATTTGGGGGGCGGGGTCAGGTCTAATAAATGAAAAAAAGGTGCTCAACAATAGATCGCTAAGGATACACTCAGCTTCACTGAGAAAACTCACATCTTCTGTTATAGCGATCTAGAGGATGGGGGGGCAGATAGAGGAGCCAGCGATCGACCATGATCTACCAAAACCTCCTGGGGATTGACCAGTAGATCCCGATCAACCTGTTGGACATCCCTGGGATAGATAACCTAAGCTCAAAAGCCAAGAGCCTGCTCACCTCAGGTGTGTTGTGCCATACCAGTGCTAAAGTAAGACTCAATGATCAGTCCATTCAACTTCTGTACGTGGAATAGGAAGCTCCATCTTGTTTCATTTTTTGCCTCAGGCAAAAGAATGCTTCTGGACTGGCCCTAAATCTATCCGATATCTGCTAGTATCTTAATCGTGGGTGGAAAATCCAGTTCAATAATGGCAACTGTAATATCAGACAGATATACTGCTACAAAGGTTGTGTGCCACCCCCAATCTCTGCCAAGCAGGTAGCAAAGATTCCAGGGTGTTCCAGGTGGGACGCAGCAGAGACTCCCGTGTCTTTAAGAAATATGGTTTAATTCTACACATATTTACACCAGAAGCTTTCAGTGGAGAGAGATTTCACAGCATTCACATCTCAGGAGAAGCCCTTCTTTCACAGCAGCCTAGTGCTGGATTCCCAGACATCCCAGTGCTTCTCTCCCTGCCCAGAGTTCTGGCACCTCCTTTCTCCTCCCCAAGAATCTTTGCTGTGTGGCATCATGCCCTTCCCTAACCTTGGCACATGATTTCTGTTTGCACAGACCCAAGGATTTCTCTCTGATGGGCCATCAACGCCTTTTGTCATGTTAACAACCTCTATTCCAGGTGAGACCCTGACTGGGAAAGGAAGCTTAGCCTGCATTTTTACATTGTCTTGGAATCTTCCCTTCAATACTCCAAATGTTATCTAAATTCTACCATTTTTATTAATTTCTAACTATATATGTAACGGGGGACAGGAGTGGTGCTGTGGGTTAAACCACAGAGCCTAGGACTTGCTGATCAGAAGGTCAGCGGTTCGAATCCCCGCGACGGGGTGAGCTCCTGTTGCTCGGTCCCTGCTCCTGCCAACCTAGCAGTTCGAAAGCACTGCAAAGTGCAAGTAGATAAATAGGTACTGCTCCAGCGGGAAGGTAAACGGCATTTCCGTGTGCTGCTCTGGTTCGTCAGAAGCGGCTTAGTCATGCTGGCCACATGACCCGGAAACTGTACGCCGGCTCCCTCGGCCAATAAAGCGAGATGAGCGCCGCAACCCCAGAGTCAGCCACGACTGGACCTAATGGTCAGGGGTCCCTTTACCTTTATATATGTAACAACATTTAAAGTTATAGGCAGATTTAATCACCCTTAATTTGACCATTGGGTAAAACCTCAGCGCCTAGGACTTGCCGATCGCATGGTCAGCGGTTCGAATCCCCGCAACGGGGTGCGCTCCCGTTGCTCGGTCCCAGCGCCTGCCAACCTAGCAGTTTGAAAGCACCCCCAGGTGCAAGTAGATAAATAGGGACCGCTTACTAACGGGAAGGTAAACGGCGTTTCCGTGTGCTGCGCTGGCTCGCCAGAGCAGCTTCATCACGCTGGCCACGTGACCCGGAAGTGTCTGCGGAGAGCACTGGCTCCCGGCCAGTGAGATGAGCGCACAACCCTAGAGTCTGGCAAGACTGGCCCGTATGGGCAGGGGTACCTTTACCTTAAGAACCTTGAAGGAATTATAGCAGCATTTCGATGGGATGGAAAGATTCCTCTTGCTTCCTGCTGTTACAAGTTTCTTGCAGATTAACTATTTCTGTTACAATGTCACAGCTGCACAACGTGAGAGAGTCAATAAGAATCACAATGTGACAAAATGGTTTCACTTGAATTTTACTGAGAGAGTGATAACATGAAAACAAATGAATCCATCATTTACTGAAATTCTTCAATCCGAAAACACTGAGAGCCTTGGAAAAGCCAGTAGCGATTTGAAAATGATACAGCATGCTTTCCATGTGGCTGTCAGAGTTGGTGGGAAAACATTTAGGCCTTTCAGTAATATCAAACATACTACTTGGTGTAAAAATATTATTGTAAGAACTTTAATAACCAGCAGATCCCCTTTTAAATAATACATGTTTGCTTCCTCAAAATACATTGCATAACATACATAGGACCCAGCCTAAAGCGAACATCATCTATGCAAACTACACTGAAATAAATAAGAGTTAAAGAGGACAACTGTTCTCTTGCACAAAAGAATTGCACAAAAGGATTTCAGTGGGTTCCCTGCCCCCACTCCAAGTTTCCATTAGCCTGGGCCTTTAGTTTACAAGCAAGTATATAACAGCAGATTTCAGAAGCAAAGAACAGCATTCGGCTCCCAAATTGTCTATTTCCCTTCCACCTCGTAGAGCCAATTGCTGGCCCTTCTGAACCTAAAGATAAGCTGGTCCCAGACTGTTAAGGACCACCTCTGCCGATATGAAGAATTGATATATATTCCTTCACCATCTGAAGTGGGGGCGGGGGGATACACAGCAGGACCTTTTCAGTCATGGCACCTGCCTGGCCCATCATTGCTCTCCTCTGAATTACACTATGTAGTAAAACCATGACTTATTCCAGAGGGCTTTTGAATTGAACAGGGTTTTAGTATTGCTTGGAATGACTGTTATTGAAAAGATTGTTCTTGCTGTTGTATTGTTTCCTGTTTATTCTTTAGTTGTGTTTTAAACATTGTTTTATCTGATTTCATATTTCCAGCTCTCTTGGAGACATTTTTTTAATAGAAAAATGGGGTATGACCATTTTAATAAACAAGCAAACCTGTACATCCTTTGCTGAGGATCAATGACATAATACACATCAACATTTATAACACACATACACATTTTGGAGAGGCTAATAAATAAATAAATCCCAGTCTTGGGGATCCATATGTTATCTCTGCCAGCAATTAAAAATTGAGAAGTAAAATAGGCTCTCCAGTGGGTTTTCCAAAACGGTCTCTAATAAATTGCCTTCATTGTCAATGATATAGTTTTTGGTTAAACATTTCATTTTTTCCTCTGCCATAATACATTCTCTGTTGCATACGGAAAGGGATGAACAGAGCGGGGGGGGGGGGGATCTGCTAAAGGACTGGGTAGTCATGGTGTTAAGAGCCAATAACATAATTATATTACTAAAGGGTGACATGGTACATCCAGAACTTTGTTGCCTTTAGTGAAAATTCATGTGATGTAAAGGACTGTGACCTTTACACAGAGATCTAAATCCATAAGTTTACCACAGGGACTTCTGGGAACCCAGTTTTGCTGTACTACAAGTTGAAAATGACAATATCTTACAGCTAGCCATTTGGCATGATTATCTACAAAAAGAACCCAACCAAATAAATATAGATACTGCTTTGTTTCGTACAGCGATTGTAATGATCACACAAATCATACACTTAGATTTATGATGAATCTTGATAAGTCCCATTTTCATACTGACACGAAGTCTCTTCTTCTGCATCTTGCACCACTCCCTTTTGCTTTTGCAATGCTTTCCTTCGCCATTCGTCATCTTGAACAGTAGCACCATATGTTTTCTTCGGGCTAACGAAGGTTTCATTGCTCAGATCAGTCTCTTCAGCCAGTTCATCTTGGTCAATTATTCCACATTTCTCTTCATTCAAGCTTTCTGGGTCAGCCCATTCCTGCTTCTCACCAGAAGCAAAGATGGCATAAAATATCACTCCACTATAGTGAACTAGGGCAGCTATTAGGAAGACATTTTGCCATTCTTCGCGGGTCTGGAAGAATGATATAGGACAAGTTACTCACAACAGGTAGTAAGAATCCAAAATAAAGCCAGAAGTTAGAGAAATGAAGTGACTGTTATCCATTCTATTTTCTAACCTGAATTTTGAAAGAATGATTTTTTCTGATACTATGGATTACCAAAATACACAGCAGAACTTGCTTTATTTCACAGAAATATGGATTGCTATAATGGTAGAGAAGCATTTGGTGCAGGTCCAGCATTAGATTTGAGTGGGGCTTTCAGCACAGGACTCGTGAGAAGAGTGCTGGTATAGGCCTTTTTAGCATTGTGGCAGTTCTGTGGCCATGAGTGACTCACTCCTTCCCTGGACCAGAATTCCTGGTGTCCCTGGGACTGTTGGAATGTGAGCTGAGTGGTTGCTTGGACAGTTATCATATGATATGCTCCAAAATTCAACCCCTGGTGTCCTTATTGGGAAATACAGTGGTACCTCTGGTTACGAACTTAACTCGTTCCGGAGGTCCGTTCTTAACCTGAAACCATTCTTAACCTGAGGTACTTTAGCTAATGGGGCCTCCCGCTGCCGCCGTGCCGCCACCATGCAATTTTTGTTCTCATCCTGAGGTAAAGTTCTTAACTTGAGGTACTACTTCTGCGTTAGCGGAGTCTGTAACCTGAAGTGTTTGTAACCCAAGGTGTTTGTAACCCGAGGTACCACTATATAACATGGCAACCACCTGGCCTTGCTCCTAGCGGTACCAGGCCCATGCAGGGTGAGAAATGGGAGGCTGTGGCATGACCTGGGACAGGGTTTATGTTGGCAGGAAAACCTAGTTGGGGCAAGGGGCAGCCGCAATGCTGGCACAGGCTCCCAGAGCATAGATGTCAGTCCTTTGCTGGGGTGTGTGGACCTCAGCAGCTGGGCCTGATCCCATGGAACTCAAGTCTTTCTTGACATGCCCTATTGTAACCTTTTATCACAGAGGCCTAACACAGGAAAGTTCATAGAATTTTCCATATTACTCTTGGGCTATTTTAACAGAGCACATGAGTAAAAATCAGAGAAAAGCATATTTCCTTTATTCAGCCTTTTCCAACAACCAGCACGTCAAGTATTCACTAATGCTAAATTACACCTACTGAAGTGAAGGCTCAGCCCTTAAACATGTCAATAACATTTTTCAAAATGACTGGGGAGGGTTTGGAGTAGGCAAGGGTATCGATCCTTTATAGTGATAATTGACTGCAATGCATATGAACATATTTCCAGGGAAAACAATCTAAACATCTTACCTTGTGTTTAGTCATTGCACCAACGATGAGGGGGCACACCATTCCTGACAGTGTCCCCACTCCATTAGAGATGCCCATGAGGATGCTGGCATACCGGGGCGCAATATCTAAATGGTTGACATTAAATCCTGTAACATAGAAAATTAGTCAACAATGCAGGGCTACTCTCTTCAGTCATAGAGAAAATGCCTCGAGCAGACCAAAAATATTTTTCATTTTACCTGAAATAGCAAATCCACTGAAGCCTACTGCTAAAACCAAGAAAGAGATTGCAACACCTCTTGTGTGAGAGAAGCCAACTACCAAAAGTAAAGTAGCTTCCATTCCAAAACCTGCAGAAAATAACACAGAGGGGGGAAACAATTCACTGATAAATGCAGTATATTACATTCTGTTCCCATACGCATACTGAAGAAGAGTTATTTGTTCACTGTGATCCCTCTTCTCTGTTGCTAAACTCACAGTATACTATGTAAAAAGGTAAAGGGACCCCTGACCATTAGGTCCAGTCGTGGTCGACTCTGGGGTTGCGGCGCTCATCTCGCTTTATTGGCCGAGGGAGCCGGCGTACAGCTTCCGGGTCATGTGGCCAGCATGACTAAGCCACTTCTGGTGGACCAGAGCAGCGCACGGAAACGCTGTTTACCTTCCCGCCGGAGCGGTACCTATTTATCTACTTGAACTTTGACGTGCTTTCGAACTGCTAGGTTGGCAGGAGCTGGGACCAAACAATGGGAGCTCACCCCATCGTGGGGATTCGAACCGCCGACCTTCTGATCAGCAAGTCCTAGGCTCTGTGGTTTAACCCACAGCGCCACCCACGTCCCAGTATATTATGTAACTCAATGAAAAATCACACTTTTTATTTGTACCGTTAGCACTTATCTATGTATTTATCAGCTCTTTCCCCCTCTTCACAAAACTTCCCCTTTCCCATTCTTTTGACCATTGGGTAAAACCTCAGCGCCTAGGACTTGCCGATCGCATGGTCAGCGGTTCGAATTTTTACTTATTGTGATGTATGAAGCAAGCCTCTGGAAGAGTGACGTGATCCTGTTTCACTATTGCAACAGTCCAATCAATTACTAAAAGGTGTAGGTACCAAGACTAACATCTCACATATTCTGGGCTCTGCATCAACCAGATCCAGGTATATAAATCAAAAACAGTACAGTGGTACCTTGGGTTACATACGCTTCAGGTTACATATGCTTCAGGTTACAGACTCCGCTAACCCAGAAATAGTGCTTCAGGTTAAGAACTTTGCTTCAGGATGAGAACAAAAATTGTGCTCCGGTGGCGCGGCAGCAGCAGGAGGCCCCATTAGCTAAAGTGGTGCTTCAGGTTAAGAACAGTTTCAGGTTAAGTACGGATCTCTGGAACGAATTAAGTACTTAACCCAAGGTACCACTGTAATGGTGTTGCTTTATGCAACCCAGTTATGCAGAAGGAAAGTTAATAGTGGTAAATTTGTTGGGCAAATGAGTCCCATTCTCCAATCCACTATCAGTAACCAAGAAAGCCGCTGAAAGGCTAGTGTTCTTTAACAGGAAATGCCCATCCATGTGGCACATGCAGTAATACCCAATTCATCTGTTCCAAGACACTGACACTGGCAAGTGCCAAAGCTGATCTACAATTACACACAATAAGCTGCACACCGCACATTTCTACGTTAGGTAGTAACATATAATTCAAACATTCTATCTATAAAACGTAACCATACCTCCACAGTTCATTATTTTTCTTACTGCAGTTGTGCTTAAAATTCTTCTGCTGCGTAAAAGGTCAGCCAGCTGCCCTCCAATGGGCACAATAATGGTCATGACCATATGTGGAACAGCAGACAAAAGGCCAACCTGAAAGTAAATACACACAATTCTGTGGAAGTGTACTGTATGTATATGAATGCAATGGTGCCCATGTTTTGTCTGCTTTATCCAATCAAACCAGTGCAGTGAATGATCTGGGAGCACTTCATGCTAAAGCTGAGTTTGAATGGATGGATATAATCAGTACCTGGCTGGGACTCTACTGAGATACCCATATAAATTACTAGATTATGAAACAATGATACAAATGGAGAAATCCCACATGGCTACTTCTAAGGATCCTCAACCTTACTGTTTTTTTTCTGGGAAATTGCAGTCAAACTACCATGCATGAAGCGGTCAACCTAGCCCCATCTTCTCTGATGAGGGATGAACTGAAGCCTTCTCTTCCTGATCTTTCTCTCTCTGCGCCATGTAACTGAGCAAGAAAGATGTGCCTAAGCACTTAAAGCACATGCTTGAAGCTATATTTCTGTTTATTCTACTCAAGAGTATTCTGCCTGTGTTCTTCTTGCTGCTGCTTGGATAAATCCATAAAACTGACCTTTGAATCTGTAAGTAAAACATTTTTAACTTACTTAGCAGTGTGTGGCCTTAGCAGTTTGTTGCAAGAAGGGTAGAAAGGGGCAACCACTGTATGCAACTAAATGGGATAAAAGGGTCTCACTACCAATATTCCTAACACTACACTGCTGCTTGACTTTCGTGTGTTTAAACTCTGCTACTGGTGGCTCACTACTGTTGGAGAGTGTGTTATGCCCCATGTTTTGAATCCAGGCACCCAGCAGATTCTTTTGTTATTTACCCCACACACGTGGGTCACAGGGATTCATATTTTCCTCTCTCACATTTTTATCATCAGAGTCCTAAAAAACACACCAGACCTTGGATTCATTCACATACCTTACTTATTGCAAATCCAAAGACCTCTTCAAAGTAAGCAGGCTGACTTATCAGCAGTAAGTAGAAAGTCCAGCTTCTGCAAAAGTTTGCCACAATGATTGCATAAACCGGCATTGAAGTGAAAAACTGTTTCCATGGCGTACTAAATCTCTAGAAGAGAGAATGTCCAATTTCAAGAATCATCTGCAGTGTGGCAGCAGTTACACCTGTTATATAACTATATTGATAAGAAAGTCCCCTCTAATATCAATTGTACCACACAATCCTAATGTGTGTTTACTCACTAAGAAAGTTCCACTGTGCATTGTGGCCCAGTAGTAGTTCACCTTGTGGAGCACAGCCACAACAATATTCTCCCAGTAGCAGCATCACTGCCACTTACTGGAGGGATGGGCAACGTGGGAGCTACACCAATGAACTGGCAGGAATGCAGTATTGGTTCCACTGATGCATCCAGGCAACACAACCTTGTTGCCACTACAGGGAGATGACTGCTGTGGTTCTGCCCTACTGGGTGAGCCAGTTCTGGTGGGGCTCATTTACTAGTATGTGTATTTAGGACTACATCTTTAACCTTATTGAAAAACATCTGAATTCAGCAATAGAATGCAAACACTATGCAGTGGTTTTCATAAGTAATGTAAAACTTACATACTCATGTAATACATAATACCGAGATATTCAATTAAAAAAAAGTTTTCAGACCTTCATGTTATGAGAAAAGTGAGGAATAGTCAGCCACTGTATGCTAAAAGCCTTGAAACTAAAATAGGGGGAAAGTACTCCAGTCTATTACATTTACAGAACTTGTGTTATCCAAACCCGCTTTTGATGTGTTTGCATTGCCGGAGCCCAGAAACTGGAAGGCTGACAATAAGTGATGCCACACTTCTAAGCATTCTTAGAGTCCCTTTGTACACACACCAGAAAACAGCAAAATCATACATTATTGTAATTTTTTTTTTCATTTGTAGCACTATCGTTCTATAAGAAAACATAGCTTAAAAAATTGGAATTGCCCATTTTGGGGTGGGGGAACCACTAAAAGCTTCAAGCTTTTATTATCAGCTATATCAGCATAAAATATGACACAACATCCGTGATATAGGGACATTACAATGATATCACTGACGACACATGGCCATAAAAGTTTAGGAGCGGGGTGTTAATCTGACATTAGAACTTGCAACAATGACCAGGGAAATTGCATACAAAATTAGGAGGCAGGGTTGTAAAATGTTTGTACAGTAGTTTTGAAGAACGAACCATCTGCCAAGACTAAGCAGCTAAGAAATGACAAGGTGCACTACAGCCAGCATGGCATAGTGTTTAGAGTGTTGGACTAGGATAGGGGTTCAGATCCTCAACTCAGCCATAAAACTCACAGAGTGACTTTAGGCCAGTCAACCTAACCTACCTTACAGGATTGTTGAGAGGATAAAAATGGAGAGGAGGAGAACCAGGTATGCAACCTTGAGCTCCTTGGAGGAAAGGTGGGATGAAAATGTAACAAAAAATAAAATTAATACTACAGTATTTTAACTTACACTGGCACTGACAAGATTGGCTCCTCCTATACTTGTTTCTATGTAAGTTCTTTCCTCGGTGGTTATTGTTGGGTGAACAGCTGGACTCTCATAGGCCTGCAACAGCCAGAACATGTACCAGATAATCCCAAACATTCCTGCAGAGGAATTCAAGGAAACATGAAATGGTCAACACTACTTCAGGTTGAGCACAATATGTAAGAGTCAAGGCATCTAGCAATATTATTTCAATAATCTTCTTCTTCTTTGGCGATCACTTGTAGCCGAGTAAGATTGTCTTCAATAACCACAGTTTTAACAATGAGTCCGTAAGTGACTGTGGAGGCCAATTCTGGACCCACACGTCCTTCCACAGTGGGGACATTGGTTTCCAGGTGGGAGTTGATCACGGTGTGGATTTGCCAAGCGTGCCTTCCTCTTAGCACGTTTCTCCCTTGCGTCCTGAGTTTGAAAGTCTTCAAAGTCCATGCAGCATAAAGCTAAACTAATAACCCCAGCCCTTTAAAAAAAGAAAAAGAAGCCAAAAAAAGTCTGGAGCACAGCTATATTAACATAGCTTAGAACTTTATTGTACAGTTTTAATTGCATTCATTTTTGCCACTAGACAACTTACCATATATATAAAAGACAGATGACCATCCTATGTACTGCACCAATACGCCAGCTAGTGGCATAGCAACCACAGCCCCCGCATAGGAGCCTGCAGATAAAAGGCATGTGTATATAGGTCAATAATTGTGTTCCAACACCTCCAACTCATTATCATTTATTAATTCAGGTAGCTCACAGCAGCAGGGTCTTCTGCTGAAAAACTGTACCATAGCCAGTTGACAAAAGGAGAGACTTACAATTGTCCTAAACAGTGCATGCCAGTGCATGTAATCACAGTGATGGCCAAACTTGGCCCTCCATCTGTTTTGGGACTACAACTCCCATCATGCCTAGTTAACAGGACCAGTGGTCAGGGATGATGGGAATTGTAGTCCCAAAAACAGCTGGAGGACCAAGTTTCGCCATGATTGACATAACAGAAATAAAAGATTCTCTCCCTTTAAGAAGGTTAGCAGCACTCAGCAGCTACAGCTCATTGCTGTAGCACTATGGGAAGAGAACTTACACTTGTGGAATGTCATCCTGAGAGGTCTTAAAGGGAAAGAAGCCCTTTGGGGAGATGTTTCTAAATGTACTGTATAATGTAAGAAGTCAGGAAAAAACAATTCTAAGGAGTATGATTTAATAGACTTTGTGATTATAAGATGCCAGTGATGAATGGTTTTTTAAAAAAACATGTTATTTCAATCATATTGAGAACTCATATAGACAAGCCATGAAATTCTAGTTTGGCCTTTACTAGTGTTGCTAATGAATTATTCCAAGGGATGAACAGACTCAGGTGTTCTTCTTTTCCTCAATTGACATTGCTTCATACTTTGTTAATGAAGAGTTAACCTACATATGAACCACTGTTGGGCATGTTGAGAACACCTCACTAGGAGCTGCCCTTGGAATAATTCATTACCGAACTCGTTTAACTTGTGATTATTCATGCTTGATGTGTGTAGTATAACCTAAAAGGTATTTTCCGACCACTTTTTTTCAAGCATTAACTAAATCAAACACAGCAAGTTGCCTAATGAAAGAAATAGATTTTAGCTTACTACATCTGCACACTCAGTCAAATATTCACACTGTATGCAAACAAACTGGAACTTAAAAGAGGGAAGCAGTTCAGACACTGAGGGGGAATGAATTATTCTAGCAGGATAATGCCAAAAGAGACAGAGAGAGGTATAAGTGAGAAGACCAGAGCTGAGAGACAGATTATTATCTATTAAATTTCTATACCACCCTTCATCTGAGGCTCACAGGGTGGTTTACAATGTAAGAGCACAAAAATACATAACAACATAAATACACAGCAACAAACAAAGTAATAATAATACTGTTTAAAAGGCCATAGTTTGTTTAATTAGCCCGAGGTCTAGAAGAAGAGGATTTATTTATTTTGCCTAGCAGTTAAAGCTACGTAACAAAGTTGCCAGGTGACCCTCGCTGGGGAGAGCATTCCACAAATGGGGAGCCACTAGAAAAAGACAGAGCAGAAAAATAATGTCTGAAAATTAAGTATGTGGGTGAGCGGTAAACAGGCCAGCAAAAATCTGAATTAGCAAAGAAATGTGGAAAGGTAAAAAATTAGAGGAATTTAAATGGAGAGAGAAGAACTAAGATATACTTCTCTTTTTTTCCAGAATTGAAAGGGGGAATGGGAACAATTCCCCTTGAATGAGATATGGCAGATAAGACTTTTACCCTTGACTCCATTTTGAAAGAAACTGATGACAGGTTATGCATTCTTGGGATATTAAGAGATCTCCTCCAGGGAACTAGATTATGCCCTTCAACCCCTGAAATGGAAACAGTCAGAAGCCCTCAAATGAGGGGTTACCTGAGACCCTATTATTTATAATTAATGTTATGTTTTCTTTAAAGTCACAGTACACACAAACTTTCTCTCAAAAATGTATATGAAAACTTACCACAGAAAGATGTGGTTGCTAGTCTACTTCTTTCAAGTGGAGGTGCCCATTTACTCCACATTCCATGACACGCTGGGTAGGTCACCCCCTGGCAAACGTATCAGATAAAACAGCATTCAATTTCAATTTAATTCCATCACTTGTATACACAGTATTTATCCTCTTCAACTAACTATTTTTTTCTCTCTTTTACAGCAGTACAGTTGTACCTTGGAAGTCGAATGGAATCCGTTCTGGAAGTCTGTTTGATTCCAAAATGTTCGAAAACCAAAGTGTGGCTTCTGATTGGCTGCAAGAAGTTCCTGCAGCGAATCGGAAGCCACGGAAGCCCCGTCGGACATTTGGCTTCCAAAAGAACGGTCACAAACCAGAACAATCACTTCCGGGTTTGCGGCGTTCAGGAGCCAAAACGTCTGAGTTCCAGGGCATTTGAGATCCAAGGTACGACTGTAATTCTATGCATACACAATAAAATAAGCCCGACTTCACACAAAAGGACTTGCATCTTAGTAAGCAGGGGACTCCACACTACAGTGAAGCAGAATCAAGAGGTTTGGCCAGGGCTGGATTACCATTAAGCAAAATAAGCACATGCTTAGGGCATCAAGGGAAAGGGGGCACCACATAAATTTTCCATTGGCAGATTTTTAACATTAACTATCACAAATTCCTCAGCTGAGTGTTCATTTTCTCATTTGAAGTATATTAATAATCCCAACAGGACAACTATGCAACAAGTCAGGCTGGATGCTTTATCTCAACTAAGTATAGAAGCAGATGTGTTACATAATATTACAATAGTACCTCGGGTTACATACGCTTCAGGTTACAGACTCCGCTAACCCAGAAATAGTGCTTCAGGTTAAGAACTTTGCTTCAGGATGAGAACAGAAATTGTGCTCTGGTGGCACGGCAGCAGCGGGAGGCCCCATTAGCTAAAGTGGTGCTTCAGGTTAAGAACAGTTTCAGGTTAAGAACAGACCTCCGGAACAAATTAAGTACTTAACCTGAGGTACCACTGTAGTTTTGAGAATCTGATTTGCTGTTAGAAAAGTAGGATAATTTTTTCAGGTATAAAGTGGAAGTATACAAAAATAAACATTTTCCATTTTACTGTAGGTTTTGTTTCATTTTGAAAAATAAAATGTTATTTTATGGTTTATTACTGTTTATATTTTGAATTAGAGATATATGGGGGGCACCAAAATCTTTTAAGTGTTTAGAACCTCTAAAGGTCTAAATCCAGCCCTGGGTTTGGTGGAGTGGGGAACATTCTCAGTTTAACCACCTAAAATTTGAAGAAGTGCAGGTTTCACTGGATAGCTATGTTTGAGTACTGTTAAAGTTTTGTGCATAGTGTGGCACTGAACATCAAATATAGTTTGGTTCTCATATAACCATTTTCGCAAGGTAGGTGCCACCACAAAATCAACCTTCCCTCAGTATTCCAGCAGCTAACAGGACTTTGAAATAGTGTCCACTTGTGGTAATGTTGAATGTCTGCTATATAATGATTACACCACATTGGTGTCAAGTACTAATTCAACCCAATACACTCTTTGTAAGGAACAAGCTGCACTGTGCTCAACTGGGACTTACTTATAAGTAGACATGTAGAGGATTGCATAGTACAACCTACCATACAGAAACTTTAAAAACTATTGTGAACCATTCTAAATTAGTCAACCTTCAGTGTGACTTCATACAAATCTCTGATGTGACTGTATTTGGAACGCTGCATCCAGTTCTGTTTGCTATACCTGAAAAGGGTAACCAAAATGATGCAGTGGCTGGGGCAATTCGCCTGTGAGAAAAGGTCACAAGATTGGGGACTTCTTAATTGGGGGAGGGAAGTGATCGGGGCATTATAAAGGTGTACAAAATGGTGCATGACATGTAAGCGTGTTTAGAGAAAGGTTTTTCTCCATCTCCTATACTACAAGTTGGGACATCTAATGAAGCTGAGCATTGGAAGATTCAGGAAAGACAAAAGAAAGTACTTTTGTCATATGCTTCACAGAGAGCATGGTTACACTATGAAATTTGCTGCCATAGGATAGCGATGGCCACCGATCTTTAAAGGGCTTCCAAGGGAGGGCTGGATAAATTCATTGATAAGCCTATCAATGGCTACTAGTCATTACGGCTGTGTGCCATCTTCAGTATTGCAGACACTATGCCTCTGAGTACCAGTTGCTGTGAAACATGTGGGGCAAGGGTTGTTGCCCTCACGCCCTGGTTGTAGGCTTCTCCTAGGCATTTGGTTAGCCACTGTGAGATTAAGATACTGAACGAGATGAACCTTTGGCCTGATCTATCTTGGCTCTTCATATGCCCTTAAGAAATATCTTAGACAAATATATTGGATACCTACCTCCACAAGACCTTGCAAAATTCTTACAAACAAAACACAACCATAATGTACTCTGGCAGCTGCAGGAATGAACATATTTAGCATGGAAGTTAGGAAAATAGCTGCTCCAAATACCCTGTAAAGAAAGAACAATGTTTTCCCCCTATTATCTTATAGAGAGATAATACTTCATATTGTACATATATAACAATCTAAACAGCTGTTAATGCTATAAAGTCTTAAGAGGTGCATAGCTAAACCATGTCATCCATCAGAAACTAAAAGAAGGGGGATTACAGTCAGCCTTTTGTGATTTCTCTGTGTCTGGGTGAAGACCCTGCCCATAAATTATCACTTGATTTATATCAACACAATTATATAATATGTGAATTATGTTCATAAGCTTTCTGGGGAAATTCTCCTCTTTTAGACCTGATGTTCAGAAACAGTGACCCTGGATGACTTTGCCAATTTTTTACATGGACACATCTGAGTTACTTGACTTGCATTTGAATAAGACTCATCTTGCATTGATCCACATTCTTATGGTGGGTAAAATTTTGTGATTAGTTCAACATATTAATCTGGCAAACTTCAGAATTAAATAATCTAGTTCTAAAACCTGAACATGTCAAGCTCTTCAGAAGACTTTGTAGATGGCTCTTCACTGTGTCTCAGCAATAAAGTACATGGGGGCTGGTTTGCATGCTCAATATTCAAGTTTAAATCCCAGGAAATCTCAAGGATGGGTTAGCGGGTGACAGGAAAGGCCTATGTCTAAAGTACTAGAGACCCCACTGTCAGCCAGTCAGTAGAAAATGCTGGGATAAATGGACAAAGAGTCTGACCTAAAATGGCAGCTTCCTGTTTTCTTAAAATGAGTGCAAAAACCATAATCTCACAAAAAACGAACTATCTGCGAATTCACAGGAAACTGGGCATGTGCTTTAGTGTTGTGAGGTGTCAGCAAGCCACACTGATGTTTTTTTCAAAAGCAATGTTGCATAAAATGCAGCTAGAATTCTTAAGGAATAAGATTACAACAACTCATCAACAAAAGATGTTTCAACATCTATGATCTTTTTAACTATTACTCACTGAATACGGAGTTTTCAGCAGGATTAATTTATTTTGTTATGGCTTGTAGAAGGCAAGTTATTTTCTGTACAAAATTATTACTGTTAAGTTTTGGAATATTAAATACGAAAAAGGCTATTATTGCAATTATTTTGGATTGGATTTTATTTGGTCATATCTTCCTTGTACATGCAGAAGAAAACACAATGAGTGACATTCAAGTTTTGTTCAGAGTAGACCCACTGAAATTGCACTTAACCATCTTCACACAGTTTACATATTAATTCCTACATAAAAATGCCTTCCATGTAGGAATCAAATAGTGTGGGGAATCACCCTAAAAAGCAACTTTTAATTTGTTCATGAGGTGGCTTTCGACCATCCAGAAATGATGAGAAGTTGCCAGCATGAAATCTGTTCTTAAATTATGTATGATGTTGATCAACAAGACTCTGTTCTTGAAAGACAATATTCACGTGTGTCACATTCCTCGTCCTTTTATTACCAAATACCAGACAATTAAATGCCTTGCAGAATGTATACTAAACTATGATTTGAAATAGATTCTTAACCTTTTGCAATTGCCATAAGACAAAATAAGGTTTTTAACCTGAAGCCAAGTTGTTCTCAGAATATTATTTTTGAGTTGCAATACTTGGTGGCCTGATTTCCTGTTGCTGAGGCTTACCAGGGGTACGGCTAGAGGATAAGGTCAGCACAGTGCATAGGCACTGGCTGGATTGGCTCTGCTGGTGTGTCTGAACCATGACAACCTCACTGCCACCTCACCCTTCCAATAAGCTGCAAAGACGCTGCCTATGACAGACATTGACACCCTTGCCAACTGCTACTGTTCAGTTGTGCTTTGTTCAATGAGTACATAGGATAGATTAGCTTTTGCCAACCAACTGCCTTCCTAGTGTTTTGGACTACAACTCCCATTATCACCAGCCAGTGCAGGTGGATGGGGATTGTAGTCCAAAACATCTGGAAGACAGCAGGTTGGCAAAGTGGCATAGGTGATTCAGTGCCAACTACATATCTTGGTCACAAGATATTCCAACAGCCAGTATCTAGCCTTACTGGGTTCAGGATTCATCCTGAGCAATGGCCAAAATTGAGTGCTGGACAGTGGGAATCTGATTAGATATATACAGTACAACTCTGCTCCACAAATGGCCATACATAAATACAGCCCCCAAGTCATTCTACCCCTCTGTGGATGAGTTTGTATCTTTTTATTTTGATAAGATTAACAGTAGGAAAATGTAGACCATTTTATTTGTACAGATTACTGGGTATCTAGAATTATGTTCTCTAGTGAGATGAGCAATTGAAATGGCTTTCCTTTTATTAAGTTGACATCCAGGGCTTATTACACAAGGAGCAGAATACCTTCATATTAGACACAATCATTAAAATTAAATAGTAACTAGTTTACTTCTGCCTTTTAATGTCACAGATAGTATCATCATCGCATTCATTGTGTAAGTTCACAAAGCAGTTCCCAGTTGCTAAAACTACTGTGGAGTTCATGAAATATAACTTGTTTTTTAAAAATACAGCATTAGATAACATATAAAATTGTAGTAATTACTTTATTACATCATATTATCTTATCATACCTGTTAGCTGCTAGTTTATTTGCAATGAAGCCTCCTGGAATTTGTGTTACAATGTAACCCCAGAAAAATGAGCCATGAATAAGTCCTACTGTTTCTGGATCCCAGTTGAATTGTGCTTTCTACAAATAAGACATATACATATGAAATTTGCACACCAATGTTTAGAAGATACATTTTGTCACATGATTGCCTGCACTCACTTTGGAGTTGCAATATCATGCAGAGCGCTGAACCAAAATTTGTGGAATTTTGTCTTGCCAAAAGCTATGAAAATTACATTGTCTGTGTCACTTTGCAACTGCCTTTTCATCAGTTAGTTGAGGTGCAGTTAAATTATCAAATATTATAAGGGCCACTATATAATTTCCCTTCTAAAGTTTTTTTCATTTAGAAAGATATCATTAAATGCACAATACAAGTCCCATTTAACAAGATTTGCTTTTGTTTATTTGAGGCATACCATGTGAAATACTTTACTGACCACAACCATAGATTGGAGACAGAAGAGAAAAGCAAAATCTTAGCTATTTTAAAAGTTTTAACAAGGGTGGATCATCTACCTGAACAGGCAAGCTGGTTTAAAATGGGTTGCTTGTTCCACAACTCTGCCACCTAGAATTGTGGGCCCTATAATTATCATATTTACATTACAATCATATAGTTCTTTACTTGGAAGTAGGCCCCACTGTGTTCAGTGGCACTTACTTCTATGTAAGTGTGCCTAGGATAGCACCCTCACCTATTATTCAACTCTTTGGTACTGAATTAGAACAATTGGTAATTGGATATTTCCGCATATTGCATATTTGTTCCTATTTAGGACTAAAGTGTGGGTTTTCCAGGGGAAAGCCATGAGGCAAAGGCAAAACCTCTCCGACCCATGCTTTCTAGGTAGAAGACAAGCAGAAGTATGGACGAGCCCTTTACTATCTGAATACCCATACAAAAATGAAAGCACTTAGCTATCATCTTTCAAACATCTGATCTGGCATACGGACTTCTTACATAGTCTTCCCAGCTAAATGGGGATGTCATTTCTCTGTATCAAATAACATATGTCCCTACTCACCTCAATCTCTGGCTTTCCATTGACATAGATTGTGCTGTTGTTAACCATTTCCACTATGGCAACACCAAGATTGCATCGAATTCCAAAAGAAATGCAAAACCCCAAGCCACTCATGATGGCAATGATGTAACGTTTGGGAAGTCCACAGCAATAGCAGTCAAATAAAGGTTTTCTCACTGCCTGCACAGGCCTTCCTTCTTCATTCAGTTCAATGTTATCTTCTTCTTGGTTGGTTCCATCAATTTTTCTGAAGATGTTAAAAAAAGTAAAAGTAAAAAGATGTTCTTAGGACAAGCTGTTGATGTGTAGTTGAAGTAATACGCTGATTAGCTGCTACAATTACATTCCCATGTTAGCTGTTCCCAATTAATTGTAACCGGAGCATGTGAAAGAAAGCAGCTGGGGTTTTTGCATAAGGCCTTGAAGATTTCAGACAAATACTGGGGCAGCTGTCAGGTTTGTCTCAGGCCCATTCACACATCATGGTAACTATGGATGAAAAACATCCAACCCATAGGCCAAATTAGACTTCCCCATTTTGCTTGTGCAGCTGTTTTGGACAAGCCATTCCCACTTGCTCTACACCTGATATCATTTGTGACATCACATGAGAAACAGGTAAAGGCAGGGCTTGGACCAAAGGCTGTACTGATTCCAGCATTTCCCAAGTGGATGGCAATCAGCTGATGGTTGGGAACTTGGGAAGTGTGTGTAAGAAACTTTGCAAACCTACTTTGGAAATAAAAAATGGTCTGCTTTTTAAAAGAACGGGTCCGTCCGTTCCCGCTCCCAAAGGAGATTTTATGCCTCAGAAAAAACTAAGTCTGTATTAATTTATTTGAAACGTTTTTTCAAATAAAGAAACACGCATTCTTTCCTGCATTTCATTTAATAAATTCAAGACGGCTAACAGCAATGTGTGTGTGTGTGTGTGTGTGTGTGTGTGTGTATGCATAAAGGTAAAGGGTAAAGGGACCCCTGACCATTAGGTTCAGTCGCGGACGACTCTGGGGTTGTGGCGCTCATCTCGCTTTATTGGCCGAAGGAGCCGGCATACAGCTTCCGGGTCATGTGGCCAGCATGACTAAGCCACTTCTGGTGAACAAGAGCAGTGCACGGAAACACTGTTTACCTTCCCTATTTATCTACTTGCATTTTGTGCTTTCGAACTGCTAGGTTGGCAGGAGCAGGGACCAAGCAACAGGAGCTCACCCTGTTACGGGGATTCAACCTTCCAACCTGCCAACCTGCCAACCTTCTGATCAGCAAGCCCTAAGGTCTGTGGTTTAACCCACAGCGCCACCTGCGTCCCCCCCCCTCTCTATATATATGCATAGGCAGCTATTAAAACAATGAGACACAATCCAGCAAGTTCTGTGTGTTTAGTTGTTTCTGTTATGAGGACCTGCAATCTAACCTTCAAATATGCTAGTTTTGGATCTCACTACAGCCACTCCCTTTTGGCCTGCTTTATTTCCAAAGGGATTTGATGAAATCCATTGTGTTGGTGCATAAACAGATAGACTTCAATTTGTGCAGTAGTTCCTCTTTCTCTTCTTTCCCTTGCAGTTCCTCCTCTTCCTGCCCCACTGACAAACCTGTTCCAGAGGTGTCCTCCAACCCTCCAAAGCAGCTTTCAAGTTGCACCAGAAGCCCAGTTGCATGAGCAGAAGTCCATTTTGTTTCTGCACCAGCCCAATTGAATATTACCCATGGTTTCAAGAGAATGTTGGGGCCACCATTCTGACAGCATTATGCAGGCTCATAGACTTCTGATGCACCTGGCATCAGAAATCAGATGAAAAAGTTTGCCTGGCATGGCAATAGCTGAACATCTGTCACAAACCACAGTGCTCTTGGCCATAGAGGGTTTCTCCTAATTAGGTTCAAATCAGTTTATCTGTTCAGATACATTCTTCTTCATCTTGACTGGAATAATTGCCTTCTCATAATTAATTCTGTAAGCAATAGCAGTTAGGTCAAGTGAGAAGAACTGACAGGGATGTTTAGATTGCCATCTGGGCTATCCTTGAGCTTTCTGGAACTCTCATGTGATGTTTACCACCTCCTGTTTGCTCCTTTCCTGCAGTAATTCAGAACTTTTCTTATCTTGCTACACTGGTCTTGCATTTATTGAGCTAGACATGCCTTTGCCACCACAGCTGCAACTGAGAGGCATGTTTGGTGTGAGATGTCTCTGGGAAAAAGAACTGTGGACTTGCAGGGGCTATACCTTGTTGCCAAAGTGGTTTAACAATTCATGAAGCCCTTCTTCAAATAACCACTTACTCCTTTCCATGACCTCTTCCAGGAACAAGGTCACCAGTAGAAAATACTTTGTTCACATTCTTTCAGTCTTATAATATGACATTATATAAATATGACACAATGCAGAAGGTAAAATGGATGTGAAGAGAAGCAGCATAACCTCCAAAGACAAGGCCAGATCTACAAACACCCCTATATGGCAAACCTGAACATTTAGAAGGAGTGCAGTCCAGAAGGGACTGAAGATGGCTTCATTGACTTTGGAGGCCCTAATGGCTTCTGAGGGGGCTGAAACCCCCTCCCAGATCAAATGAGCCACCCACCTACAATTTCCAGAGCAGCAAGTTGTGTTCTTATCAACAACTTTTTGAATGGCCACTGTAAATATCATAACTGTACTTGTGCATACTTTCTGCATTATATTTCCCTCTTATCACACTGTATACAAACCACCCACCACGGCCATGTGTATACATACCTTTTCAGGGCTGGCCCAAGATATTTTGTTCCTGAGGCAAAGGACAAGATGGTATCTAATCCATGTAAAATACCAACATTGCATTGCATAGCAGTTTGGGAAGCTCTATACAGAGCGTAACCCATGTTTTCTAATGTCATTAAATGAGACTTTTCAGGAGGTAACCTGAATGTGTTTTTCAGATTCAGGGACCAGTACTCAATCTAGCTGAAAACATGGTGATTTCTTGTCCAGCAGTTAAAAATGTGTAAAACGTGTACCCATCTGAGTTAACTCACAAAACCAAATTGTGGTGCTAAAGTTGTCTTGCTCTAGGAAAGGGACAAGACATCTTAATCACCTTCCAATACACAACATGATGCTTCTCTCTTGTCTACCAGGGGCTCATGAGGAGGGTCCTTTTTAATTTATGCCTCCCCCCCATGCATGATACTCAAATGGCAAGCGCTAAGCACCTATCTTCTCCAAAGATGCACTTCTCTCTCACTTTTTTACTGTCTTCTGATGGGTTTTCTCCACCATGGATGGGTTTGAGTATACTTTGCCTTCACTCTTGGTTGCCTGTGGAGACTCTGTTTGATCCCTCCCGGGGTAGCCACCATGCTGCCTTCCAGATGTTGCTGGATGCTCATCAGTACTAACCAGCATTGCTAATGATCAGATATAATGGAAAGTGCAGTCAAAAACATCTGGAGGGCACCATGTTGACTAATTCTGATTAGAGCCATAAGGATTTTAATGCAGTCATAAAATACAATACTTCTTTAAATAATTTCAAACTATTAAATGCACAATTGTCAACCAAAACAATCTGCCTCATTATTATTGAATTCAAATTAAACATTTTCTGCAGGGCCAGTCTTGCACTCCGTTGATCCTAGGTGACTATCTAGAGCAGCACTTTATGGGACCAGTTTTGTTGCAGCATACGGGAGTGACTTTTCCTTTCTAGGTTGCTTTGATGCTTCTTGTTTTACTACACAGAAATTAGAGCATTAAAGAAAATATATGGGTTTGATGCAATATAGGGAGCAGTGCTTGAGGCAGAGACAATGAGAGGGCCTAAGCAGCAAGAATCTACTGGGACTTAAAAGTACATGGAATAGATGGGTTTACTGGTGCAAGGGTTATAGAAGAGAGACCCAAAAACAGGTTTTCTGGCTGACTGGAAATGGAGCAGAAGTTTGAAAACCATACAATGAGTTACTTTATACCTTCAAAGCAATGAATGAACCAGTGCAGAGCTGAGCACCATTTAAATATTTTGCAAGGGTATCAAAATAGCCAGAGTATGACCTACTCATTCTACCTACTGGAAATACCTTTGTCAATAATTCATAGATATATATTAATTTACTGTCAGCTCACTTTTGATGTCAGCTCACTTTTGACGTCAACATGTAATATGATAAAGCAGGAAACCTGTAGGTGTATGAAGGTATATTGGTAGGTGTATGAAGGAAACCTGTAGGTGTATGAAGGTATATTGACCAAATGTCCTTGGCCAATGAAAAAATATCTTCTTCATAACATATCTTCCTAACAATATTTATGAAGAAAAACTGGGAAAGCTTCAAAATACCGGTAATCCTACGAACTCTAGCATTTTTTACATTTAATAGCATATACTGTATTAATATCTTTAACTGCTTATGATGTCTTTATAGTTTAACAGGTCTTATTTTAAAAGACAAACACCGTAACCAGATCAAAGCATGATTTTGAATGATAAATGCTCCTTATTTCATCTTTCAGTCTGAAATTTTCATCTACCTGTCCTAACATGTCACAGAAATATATTATCTGAGAAGAGGCATCTCTTAAAGGATTATTTGCTTAAAGCTTTGCATGTAATAAAATTCAAAAATGATATTGCAGTTTATTATATATCTACAGATGGTGGGTTGTTTGGCTCTTTTAAAATAGTTTACAAGAAAGTAAGATATGCGACAAGTTGGCTACCCAGGACGAAACAGAAAACTGCAAGTCCTATATCTGTACATTCAGAAAGTATGAATAAGTCATTATATATGAGCAGCATGAACCAATGCATGTTTCCTCAGAAGTAGATCTGTTGTCTTTAGTGATGCTTCATCTCAGGTTTGCAACCTAGATAGCATTGCAAGCTACATAAATGATAATATAATATAAGTCCTGTTAGTGGTTTTGTAAAATATTGGAAGCTGCCCAGAGACTTTATTGCTTGGGGATAGCATAGAAATGACATAAATAAATACTTAAAGAGAATCTTTATTATTAACAAATAATTGTGCTGTTTTGCAAAAATGATATGCTCCCCATGACAATACAACAGTTCATTATTTGGCTGGTAAAATAAAAGTCTAACTGTCTGAATCTTTCAATTTTTTGGAAGATTAATGATAAACTTGTTAGTCTTTAAAGTGGCACAACACTCTGTTGTTTTTACTGTGACAAACTGAAACAGCCGCCCCTCAGGAAATTCATGTATTTGAAACAATGTGAATATTGTGAATTTCTGCACTTTCACCCCTATAGTTTTTCTCTTATAAACTTTTAAATGGCTGCCAATTTTTAACATATCCAAGCATATTATAAACAAACAGACAAAATCCAGTTCAGCTAAAAAGCTTGCATTTAAATTGATGCTGGTTACGATCCTAAGTACACCTGTACTGACAAAATCAAGTAAAGTTGGACTATCTAGCTGCATGCATCAGAAGATCAAAGAGTTTAATCAGATTCATGGTCACTTTTGCAATTTCAGTTTTACACAAGCAACAATTTTTGAATTGTGCTCTATGTTTCACCTCTATGTTTCTAAAACATAACATGGATATAAGTTTAGATACATGGTATAGATATAAAATCGCATGAAATTTTCACATTTATTTTCAGTATATGTTTCTTTTATTTCAGTTCTTTTTATTGATATTTTATTTTCCTTTGGTTCTCTTTCTGGATATTATTTAGCATTAAATCAGCTTTGTCTAAGTTTTATCAACAATATTTAAAATGCTTAACACTAGGCCTATTTTGCAATTATTTCATATTTTAGCAGCTCATATTTTATAGTGGGGTCGTGTGTGTGTGTTTTATCCCATTACTTTGTTACTAAGGTACAGTTCTTTGTATATGCTGCTTATTCAATTATGCTTACAAATTTCCTTTCCAAATTTAAACCTAAACTTTATTTGCTTACATTTTTGAAGTTTACATTAAGTTTTTACCTTTGGAAGTGTCCCAGTGAATCACTCACAGTATTCTTCACCTCTTCTTTCCCAGGCTTTAAAAACCTCTCCCTTAATGAGTTAAACACTTCAAAAGGCATCTTGTCTTCCTTAAATAAATCCTTTAATGTAACATTTTGTTGGCTGTCATCGCCAGTTTCCCCCAGACTTTAGTAGCCTGCCTCAGTGCTTTCCTCTATTATTATTTTTCTGTTATCCCTGGTACGACGACTGGATGATCCACACAATGTTAATACTCCAAAATATCCGTCAGAGTGAAAATTTCAGCAGAGTCTCCTCAGAACTGCCAATAGCTCAAGCAGAATTGTAGTGGTTCTGTTTTTCATCTATTGTTGCTCCGTGGCTGATCATCATTAAAGAACAAAGGGCTACACCTGGAGGTTAGAAACGCTGGACCTGGTGCTTCAGCTGGTGTACCCGACTGAAACACACTATAACTTGCTCATCCTCTCTCCCAGCTTTCTTCCGCCGTCTCTCTCACACAGATCCTGTGCGAGGTGATGCTATAGTAACGAACACAATACCTGTCCCTCTGGCCACTCAAGCTTATTAATAGATCTCATCCACAGCAAACTTTATTAAACATTTATACATTCTGCCTGTCACAGGACATGGACTTGTAGCTCCATTTTACTCTCAAACCTCCTCTGCACCCCAACCCCCCAACAAACAGCTTTTATTGGTCTCTTGGAAATGTAGTCATTTATGATTGACATCATTAGTAGCTCTATCTAAAAATACAGAAACAGAATTGCTTTAAAACGCTGCGTGAGTAGTCATTTGCATTAATCCAAACAAGAACACATGGGTCATTTATTTACTTATGTATCTGTTTATTATAATCATAAAAAATGGATCAGAAAGCGAGTTATAAAAACAGAGATCTGCTTCTTTTTCTGAACTGGCCACATTGTGTGTTTACCTCTGATCTTATTATACTTATTATTGGAGTTACTAGTCTTAACAAAAGTGCACCTTCTGTAGAAAATACAGGGGTGGGTCAAAAGTTGAAGCACTAGCTCAACCAACCGTGCTCTCTTAAGGTCAGATAAGGACCCATAGCTCTAGGTTCAATTAATTCAAGTTCTTAATATGCCAAACTCAACACTGGATTTAAGGCAGTGCTCCACTGCACAGAGTGCTGAGCCAAGGGGGCACAAAACAACAACAGCAGCAGCAGCAGCAGCAACAACAACAACAACAAGAAGCCTATATTTATATGGAGGTCTGGAAGGGCACCAAATTTTGTCTTTACTCATGGTGCCATACAGTGGTACCTCTGGTTACAAACTTAATTCATTCCGGAGGTCCTTTCTTAACCTTTAAACTGTTCTTAACCTGAGGTACCACTTTTTTAGCTAATGGGGCCTCCTGCTGCTGCTGTGCCACCAACACGCGATTTCTGTTCTCATCCTGAGGTAAAGTTCTTAACCTGCGGTACTACTTCCGGGTTAGCGGAGTCTGTAACCCAAAGCGTTTGTAACCCGAGGTCCCACGTATTACCAAAGTCCACCCCTAGTCCAAACTACTGCATTTTCTACAGCATGTCCTTTATACAACACACAGCATATACTGTATTATAAAGCATATACAGTGGTACCTCGGGTTACACATGCTTCAGGTTACAGACGCTTCAGAAGACAGACTCCACTAACCCATAAATAACACCTCAGGTTAAGAACTTTACTTCAGGGTAAGAACAGAAATTGTGTGGTGGTGGCGCAGTGGCAGCGGGAGGCCCCATTAGCTAAAATGGTACCTCAGGTTAAGAATGGACCTCCGGAATGAATTAAGTTCTTAACCCGAGGTACCACTGTACAAGTAATTGGGGGTAGGAATCAAGAAATGGGGTCATAAGCAGGATAAACAAACTGACTGACAAGCTGAAGCTAAGAACAGCTGCTGCTGCTGCTGCTGCTGCTGCTACATTACTGGCTGAGGGCAAGGAGGATTGAAGAGGCTCTTGCACTCTTACCTTATCATTATCATGGTGAGTCACGGCCCCTTCAAAGCACTTCAGGCCTACTTATATTCACTAGGGCTAAGCAATTTTTTTAACCAAGAAAAATAAATTTTAAGGAGAGTTGTAGTATTGGTAATATTGCATTACAATCTCTAAAATTAATTTGGGATTTGTTTCCACAAGATACGGTGATGGGCATAAATTGAGAGTGATTTAAAAGGGAATTTGACAAATTTATGAGGGGGATAAGACATAGAATCAAAGAACTGTACAGTTGGAAGGTACACAAAGGCTCATCTAGTCCAATCCCCTTCAATGCGTGAATCTCAGCTAAAGCATTCATGATATGCTGGCCATACTGTCACCAGGATCAAAAGTAGCAAACCACTTTATACCGGTTTCTGGGAAACAGTGGCAGAAGAGGGCTACTGTCCTCACTTCCTAGTTGTGGGCTCCATATGGCCAGTTTGGATCTTATCCTTACTGACAATGTGCTGACAGGGCACCAGGTGTTCACAGAGAGGCCTTATAGATGGCTTCTTCTGATCTGCTGTACATTCTGGGTATCCTCTTAAAACCTATCTAAGCTATCTTTATGAAGGTTGACTTTAAAGAAGAGAGGGAGCGACAGACAGATGTGGTAATTTAATTTTGTTGTTGGAGCGTCAATGTGGGCTGGGATACAGTATATATTGAATGAATAGGGAGCATAGCATCCTGATGTTGACTTTTGCTCCTTCCCAACTTCAGTGATGTATGGTTTTTCAGCTTGGAAAGACATTATATAGCCATTCCTAGTTGTTGGCTTCATTCACCATGACACCAAGAGATGGGTAGGATTATCTACCACAGCCTTTAAGATAGGACAGGTTCAGTAACAACATTTATGGTGTCTATATTGTTAGCATCCATCTGTCTCGAGAGACAATGGCATGTGCCTCCAGGGGTGAAGTCAAACACTGCATTAGCAGAACTGAAGTGACCTTTCATGGTCCACAAGCCTGAGCAGTGTGTATGGAGGGCTGGCCAGACCACAAGACCCCCCTCTCGGCATCGCTGATGTATTCCAAAGGAAAGCAGAGCAATACGTTTTGTACTAGCTTGGATTCAGGAGCTGCTGGAAGGAAGTGTACCGGCCCCATCCATCTCTGGATTTGTGTAGGGTTTACTCCTTAGCCTTGTCACATCCACTAGCACACTGTTGGAACTCATTAAGTCTTTACAGCCTGCTTCACTTCTCATTAGAGGCACGATAGATCAATAATACAATCTTCTTGACTTACTCTAATTCAAAACCATTCAGCTCTGTTATACCAAATACTGCACCAATAATTGTTCTTTCAGATATTTGTATTGTATGAGGTACATGAAACTATATTTTGTATAATTCAATGCTTTTGCTATCGCCCAGCACTTTTGCTCAGCTACCAGCGTATAAACAGCTCCATCTTTAGAGCTTATGAGCATGAGACTTAATCTGAGGGTCCTGGGCTCAAGTTCCTTGTCAGGCAAAAGATTCCTGCATTGTAGGGGGTTGGACTAGCTGCCCCTCATGGTCCTTTTCAACTCTATAATTCTGTGACAACGACTGATACTATTAGTTTCAGAAATACTGTAAGTTATCCTGGAGGTTGAAAACTATGCAGTCTGTTAAGTACATCAAACTCCTATATGGAATTAAAAACAAAACAGACCCACACCAAGCCACATTGCTCTCAATTTGCCTACTTCCATACAAAATTTTTGTAATTTTGTATGCCTACTTCCATAAAAAAAATTAGGCTCACGGGACTAAACATTTGAAGGTTTTATAGTTATCACTTGCAAAAATTCTTAATAAAATTAATCATACACATGACAAAGGGAACACGGGTGGCACTGTGGGTTAAACCACAGAGCCTAGGACTTGCCGATCAGAAGGTCGGCGGTTCGAATCCCCGCGGCAGGGTGAGCTCCCGTTGCTCGGTCCCTGCTCCTGCCAACCTAGCAGTTCGAAAGCACGTCGAAGTGCAAGTAGATAAATAGGTACTGCTCCGGCGAGAAGGTAAACAGCGTTTCCATTTGCTGCTCTGGTTTGCCAGAAGCGGCTTAGTCATGCTGGCCACATGACCTGGAAGCTGTACGCTGGCTCCCTCAGCCAATAAAGTGAGATGAGCGCCGCAACCCCAGAGTCGGTCACAACTGGACCTAATGGTCAGGGGTCCCTTTACGTTTACCTTATACACATGAATACATAGGTCTATGAGGATCACAAGTCACTGAAAACTTTCCTTCAAGTTGCTTTTGTCCAGCTCACATATATTTACTTAGAAGCAAGTTTAAATAATACAAAACTGAACATATATACCAAGCCCTATGAAAGTGAATGTGATGTTGTGACCCCAACTATGCTTACTCATCCATTTAACTTAAGATTCATTTTTAATTGGGGGGGGGGCAAAAGTTCTTCAGTGGCCTATGCTACACATAAATGAACTTTGACTGTTAAAGTGACATGAAACTACATTTGACTTAAGAACTTTTGGTATTATTATGTTCCATTTTAGAACCTCACACTTGTTATGCTATAGTGACATCTTATGGTCATTTTATTCCATTTAGTTTCCATGTATATTGGATGTGTGTTTTTTGGTTCATTTGTTTCCTAAATTCATTGGACCTATGATGTACCGTATTCTTTGCTGTAGTTTCAGCTTAATACAAATATTACCGTATCATTTCAAGAGTGCAGAAATTTATGGTACTCAGAAATGCTGCAGTAACAATGTATATGCAGCGAAAACACCACCACAAGGATGAAATATTAGGTACATTTTTTAATGCTTTAGATTGCTGTGGGAAACATTGAATTTTAACCATTTGGAAGGCATTACACTCTCACCTTAAAAGGTGAAAATATGAAAAGTTTATTATTTCAATAAAGCAACATCATTCAAGATTTGAAAACTACACAGTTATTCATTCACAGTACAAAGTTGTAGGAATTTCTTGTAACCATCACTGTACATTTTACATATTTTAAGTATTACCAGTTTTAAAAGTTGATATAAAGAATAGATTTATTTTGAAAAGCAGCAAAGTCCAATAAAACCAAAATAGAGTATCATGCTCCAACCATTCTGCTGATCACAAACCACAGCAACACTAGAGTAATATCATTACTTCACACACACAAAATTGAATGCCTTACAGTCTAAACATAAAATTTGTCACAACTAAGGAAGGACTGTACAATTAGACAGACATTAAATATTTTGAATCAGGCCTGAGTTCAATACATATAAAGCCATTTGAATATACAACTTCCAACTTGAGAGATATATACAACACTTAAAATTGCCTGAAATTTTAGTATTTCAAAGAGAACCTCTTTTTACAAATTTCTGTACAAAGGGAGCCATTGAAGATTTAGACTGGAAGCCAAAATTCAAAATCAGAACCTGCTTGGAGTAATCCTAGCTTTCCCGTCAATTTCTATTTGAATGCAGATTGTCACAACAAATCTGGTGCATCCAAGTTCAGGTTAATTAAAATTGCAATCATATATTGTAACAGTCAGTATATATTACAATGCCAAAAAGGCAGACCCAGGTAAATTGTTCTTTTAAAAAATATATCTGGAACTGCACAAACCCGGCAAAATTCAGAAGATATCCACAAGCCAATTTTGAAACATCATGTAACCATGAGCATGTAACCATGAGCGAACATCATGTAACCATGAGCGAGAAAGCAGTTGTTTATTTAGAGTGAGATATCCACCTCATACCAATTAGGCTAGATCGATGAAACTATAGCATACAAAGATAGAAAAGTATTATTTGTATGTGAAACATACATGTGGAAAACTGCAAATCAATTGTCACAAGTTTACACTGAAATAATCCTCAACATTTTCTAATGTACAAACGACAATATTGCTTACTTGTTTTGTTTTACTGTTATGAGAGCCAAAAGCCTTGATATAGTTGAGGGGAAAGCAAGGCTACTGAAATATTAGCCTGCCTGTGATTTTCAGTGATTCGTGTTTTCCAAGAATTAAGACTTCTACCATAATATTGCTTTACAGACCCAGCTAAACTGATGTCAAGCTGTAACTTTCATTCCTTCCGTTTATATGGGTGTATATTGGGTTATATCTAATTGGGGATCTGCTGACACAATGACACACACACACACCATCTGCTCTGGAGTGTCCCCAACTCTCTGCAGCCAATTTTGAGACTGTGCAGAAAGCTGGAGGGGACAGGAGAGGAAGTTCCATTGTGCACATGGAAGTCTCTTGTGCAAATGAAACCCCAGTGTTAGTAATTTTAATAAGGGAGTATCATGAAAGTAACTGAATAAGTGTTTTTTCATTAAATGAACTCCTAACTTCCTTTTGTTAGGAACTACTCCCATTTGAGAGAGGGAGGTTACTTCTAGTTACATCCCTTCCTTTCTATTTGTATAAATAACACTATAGCAAAGGCGTTCCTCTTAACTGCCCAACTTGATGGCCCATTCAAACAAATTACATTTCAGCTCATGTTGAGTAAACATGAGCTTGATCCCTATTAATTACAAACGGGGCATAAATAAGCAGAAAGCATCTGCTTTCCAAATTACATAATAATTTTTGTATTTCAAGGAATCTGAGAAGCTGAAACTAGGATTTACAGCTTGCTTTACTAATTAAGATCATACTTCAAGGTATTACAATTCATAAAAGTACAATAAATAAGAATAGCATTTGTCATCAAGCATTTACAATCATTGTGTCTTTCATACTCCTTCACCCTATATGTTTTTTCAACCATCACACTCTTGCTAGTGACACCTGTCAAGTGATCTAAAGGTGTTGACATATCATGTGTAGATTTCCCGTCATTATGAAAAGGTGAGAGTGCTGGTGTCACTAGCATTATCCAAACATCCTATTGAGCACATAGCAGCTCCTTTGTTTAACTCACAGTAAAGGAAAAAGTCACCAGCTATAAAAGCATAAAAACAGATCAGGGAGATTTTCATAAATGTGAACTCTACAAGGAATAGTCTATCTCCAAATTCACAACATCTTCCTGTGGAAATGGCAGCTTCGTGGAATTTGGAGAAGTTGAACAAACATCTCTGCTAGCAAATCAGTGAAAAAAATCCCTTCCTGACTCCAAGAATACATAAATTATCTTGAAAAAGAACTTTACTAGAGATTTATTTGATAATCACAGAAAGAACTATTCACATGTTATATTTAACAAGTGTCTTTCTCCTCTGTTGTCTTATGAAAGGTAATCACTATGCTTCTATAAGCAAAAACATAACATGTTGATTTTGTAAGAGACTTTAGTCATGTATCAAGGTGTTTCCTCATTACATGTTTTTTTCTGCTTGCAGCCTTAGCTCAAATATAATTGTCACTATTAAAAAAAAAAGTGGCCAACAAAATTGCCATTGATCCTTAGGCTCAAAGATTTGTAAGGTAAAGTCTCCACAGTATTAGTACAAAATGATTTCCCTCCCCCTGCTCTCTCTCAAGCAGTCTCAATGGAATAATGAAATCTGAAAGGCTGAAAAATAAAAAGGTTAACAAGCAAGGCCAATCCCACATGTGGGTATACATTTTTTTTTACAACAAACTGGGGCAGGGAGCTGTGGCTGGAATACAAAACTTATAATGTTTCAGCATGGGTCATGATGGGGAGTTGGAGTCCAGTAACATCAAGAGAGTCCAAATTTAGCCACCCCTGAAAGAAACCATCCCCAGCCTTGTGTTGTTAAAGAAACCTGTTTTCCACATATTATAGGGAAGCTTCATATTCTGTACTGTTCTGCTTTTTTAAAGAAAAGCTTTACACAAAAATGTAAAGTTTGAGTCTTAAGAAACCTGGAGACCATACAAGGAACCTAACATATTTAATATTCATAAATTTACACACAGAGTTATGTAGCTAATTGAGCATATTCAGTGAGAGTATTAATATAACATAAATAACACAAGTGTTGTGTGTGTTTTTCTTTTTTAAAAACAACAACACAATTTTATCACTGGTCCCAGAGATACAAAACAAAAGTACTAAGGCAGCAGCTATAATACAAAGTTCTTAAGATACATTTAACAGTATTACAGCTTAAAATTGGAAATATAATTTAACAAAATACAGCTCACATTTACAGCATAAGGCCCTTTGGTTTCTTAAGCAGCAAATGAAAATGATTCAATCAGTGAAAGGCTTTGAAAAATAAAGTATGTAGGCTTTCTATAAAAACGGTAACTAATTCTTTCCTTCTCAAACTAGCCAGCTATAGTCCAAAGTATTATGGAAGATAGATCTCAAAATTCCCAGGAAAGAGAGAGTTAAATATACAGTAGATATAGCAGACAGGGTAGAGACTGGTTCATCCCCCAACTAATTAACCACATAAACTGTTGCTTCCATTTTGGGGAAAACTTATATTTGAAAGAATCCTTTAAGGGAGATGCAAAATGGTTGTTCACTCCAAATCTGACTGCAGGAAAATTTTATATTAGCCTTTCAAGTGAGACTGAACATTATGTATACAGTGATTTGGCATACATTAAACAACCTGCCTTAGTCAACTGCTGCATCATCCAACTTTGTAATTTATTCAACTGAACTAAAACAATTCACTGAGATCTCCTAAATGTGATCAAATTTAAATTCAAAAGAAGTATGTATCGGAGGGATGGCAACCTCTTACTTTTGTCTTAGAAGTAACCAGAAACCTGGAGTACGAAATGAAGCTCTTTTCCTACTAGCAAGCCAAATTTCAATGTGATCAAAGTGACTTCTAAATTCTGAGGTCATCCAACTTTGCTTCTAGGATGATCCAAAACAGATTAATTTGCACTTGTATTCCTTTAGTGCCTAGATTTTCGGTGTAGACATAAGCATGATTATGTACTTACTTTTTTAAAGACCTGACTTTAATATCACCATGCCAGCATAGCGGCTTCTATGGTAGGGACTGAAATTTTGGCATAATCAACTGGAGGCAGGTTATGTAGCATGGTTACCTAAGCAGCATTTTTCAGTGATAAGGAACACATCTCAACTGGGAAAATATCACTCCTACATACCTTATTTTCTGCTGGGAAGATTGTAAGTAGCAATCTAGTGTCTTCATGTTCAATCTTGTATATTTATAGCAAGTTCCAGACTAATGTATGCACCCTACTATAAGGTATTATATTATACCAAGATTTAGAACTCAGTATCATATCAAATTCAGACAATACAAGATCAACAAGAGCCCAGGGTTTGAAGTCTTCCAACAGCTTATCTGCAATTACAACCTACTGCTAATTTTTACTGGTTAAGATGTTTATTTGTAAAATAACATGGTGGTCAGAAGACACATTTCTGAAGTTGTGAGGTATGCGGTTTTAATTTTTTTCTAACTCTGGGCACCTGGATTGACACAACCTGACCTCAAAACTTTGAAATTAGGGGCAAGAGAGATCACTTTGTGCCTAAGAAAATTAAATGCATAGGCAAATGAAAGTGTATTACTAAGTCGCATCCTGGAAATAGCTTTTCTCTTGTCCATTTTGCTAGATGATGTTTCTTCAAATCAGCTTTTTACCATACATTAGCTCGTTCACAATCAGAGCTATTACCCAAAGAGGTCTTTTAAGTCATTACTAGCTGAGCTGCTGCTTGTCATGTTGTTTGTTGGTTGTGTGAAGTTTTGAGGACTAAAGAAAGGATTTCCCTGCAAGCCAAAGCCAGATTGTCCCATCGCATTCATCTGCGTTCCTAAGGCAGTACTGTTGGAACCCTGAGGAGGTGCAAACTGATTAAGCCATGGGTTTGTTTTTTGTTGCGATAACTGATTCATACTAACTTTAGGTTTTTGAGCCCTAAATAGGCTATCTAAAGCTGACATATCTGGTGGTCTGCTTTGTTGTGCTGGTTGTGAAATTGCAGCTGTAGTGTTCATAGGACTATAAGGTGCCATGTTTGCTGCTGGCATCATATTCATGTTGGCCATTCCTGTGACACCAGCAGTACTGAAGTAATTCTGGCTTGTAGTACCAATTCCCATCCCAAATCCAGACGGCTGAAATCCCATATTAGCATTTAGTCCATTTCTCTTAGCGTTCTCAACAGGGGATGAAAACCCCATTCCAATACCCACTGAAGAAAAGCTATTTGAAGAGGGAACTTTAGGTTTGTTGATGGACTGGCTGGTCAATGATGCCATGCTTTCTCTCAAAGTGTCAGTCAAGTCCTTGGTCTGAAGGAAAAAAAAGCACCTATGGTTAAAATACTTTGCAATAGCACTCAACATAAGCAGCAGCTCTAAGGATGAAAAATAGATGGCAATGCAGTAAGATCATTTTAGGAGGCTGGAATGCCATATTGTACGAGCAACTCAAAGATGAGTTTACAACAGGGGATGCTAACCTATGACCCACCAATAACCTTTTCACAGCTTTCCAAAATTTATCTTTCTTTCTTTTTTTAAATTAACCATTCGGTTTGCTGCTGTGATGCTCAGTAGTTCCGTGGGCTTGGGGAGGATTCCAAAATGTCCTAACACCCGCCCTCAATCAGTACAGGTGATAGCAGCATTGTATCCAGTTAAGTTGTCTCATGCTTCCTTAATTCACGGGTGCTTCTGCTTTACATAATTTCCTAGATTGTATCTCTTTGCTCAGCATCATTGCGGCCAGTGTGGTCAGTGCCAGCTGACAGAGTGTGAGTGACACCAGCAGTTAACAGCAAAAGGGAGACTGAGTACATACTGCTCCCTCCTTCCACTTACCAGATTATTCATTTGGAGAGAGTAAGCTGCAATCCATGTGTATGTTCCCTGGCATGTTTGTGAGACATACGTGCACACTCTGTTGTGTATGGGATGTGTGTACATGTGCATGCTTATTGTGGGGTGGACAAGTCCCTTTTTTGCCATGCCCACCATTGGCATGTACACCCATACAACAGGTTGGAAGGTGCCAGTGTAGCCCTCAAGTTGGAAAAGATTAACAACTCCTGGTTTACAAGTAAATGTATGTGGTTACGTTTTTGCATTCACACATTTGCAGCCCAATCACTTTATTGAAACAATGACTTTGGATGCTTATACGCAATTGCAAATTGAGATTTGCAACTACTGCAAATTTTACAGGACAAAACTTATTTTTATTAGTTAGCTGCAATAGGACCAAAGATTACAATGAAGACTGAATCCATACCTGTTTGACTGGGGCAGTAACTGTGTGAGGCTGAGGTTTAAGTGGCTGTTGGTTTTTCATTTTTTGTGCTTGTTCTTGCTCTTTTGCTAACTTTTGCTTCTCTTCAAGTGTAAGCGATCCCTTCAAAAGAATACATTGTTAGTGAGTGGCATGAACTTCAGAGACTTGGAATAGGCCCAACATCTATTCAGTATTAAAAATTATTCAGAAAGAGAAGAGCCTTGCTTATTTATGTTTGCAAAAGCATTTCTCAAGAACAAAAAAATAAATTCCTCAGTAGACACACATTATATTTCCTCCTAACAGGTGAGTTTAGTATCATTTTTAATAATAATAGTAATAATAAACTGACTTAGGTGGAATCTACACACATATAAAAACCGTTCTTAAAATGCTTATTTAAAGTGGTTTTTTAAAAATACTGATTTTTCCATAAGGCTCACCATCATCATCTAGTGTCACATTGTATATTGCACTTAAAACATACTTAAAATGTTTTATTTGCAGCTGTATAGCAGAGTCTGTGGTTGCATCCAGATATAGTCCCCTCCACCTGCACTGTTTTTCCTTTCTTTTTCCTCGCACCTTCCTCTATTCTGGCTTGTGCTGGAGAAGAACATATCTCTGGCTTCTCCCTTCCCAATGCACATCTTCTCAGTCCAGGCCTTTTCATTTTCCCACTGCAGATTTACAGAGCGATTAAAGTACTGTTTCATTCAGCCTGCAACTGAGGATGGTGCTGGATCAAGATGAACAAGAAAACTGTCCATTTTAGCCTAGTACTGTCTACACACTGACAGCAGCTCTCCTGGGTCTCAGGCTGAGGTTCTTTCCGTCCCCTTGTACCTGATACTTTTAGCTGAACGTATCAGGGATTGAATCTGCGACATGCAAAGCATGTTCACTACTCACTGGGTTATGGTCATCTTCCTAAGGTGCAAGCTCTGATATTAGAGGTGGCTGAGAAACTAGCTGATGGCTGAGTGTCATAAATAAAGAATGAAAACGAAACCTTCTGGTAACTTGCTTGGCCAGTATTTTCTTAACCCTTTTCTACAAAGTTCTCTTTTGGTTCCAATAACACCCACCCACAGGCACAACGAAAATCTGTTTGTTCAGTGGGACTTCTGGTTTCTCTTCTCCCCACTGCTTCCCCCATCCAAGCTTCCAGAGCTGATTTTAAGAACATAAGAAGAATCTGCTCGATCAGGCCAATGGCCTATCTAGTCCAGCATCCTGTTCTCACAGCAGCCAACCAGATGCCCGTGGGAAACCAGTAAGCGGAACATGAGCACAAGAGCATTCCCTTCCTGTGGTTTCCAGCAACTGGGATTCAGGATTGCTGCCTCCAACTGTGGAAGCAGAACACAATAATCATTGCTAGCAGCCATTAATAGCCCTCTCCTCCTTGTATTTCTCTTATCCTCTTTTAAAGCCATCCAAGTTGGTGGCCATCACTGCATCCTGAGGAAGGGAGTTTCATGGTTTAACTGTGCTGGGTGAAGAAGTACTTTATCTGTCCTGAATCAGCTTCACTGGATGTCCATGGCTTCTATTTAACCCATTCTAGATTAAAAGTAATTCTAGCCAATATTTCAATCTGATTTAAAGATGCAAGAAATTCAACAAATAATTTGATCAGTCATTCTGATAAGTGCTTCCACTCTCTTGCTGTAAAAAAAAAAGTTTGGCAACAATCAGGACCACTATTTCATACAAGGCTCAGCATCATTTCATGAAGAAATGCTGATTATTTCTATCAGAAAAACACAGGGGACACAATCTCGCTCCAGAGCCCCCTCTACATAAAGTTGAACAATTGAGTACTTCCTATTCCTGACCTCACAAATCTAGATTCTGAACTCATGAAACCCTGAACTAGCAACATCAAGAAGGAAGGAGTGCACATGGGTCAACCAGGATCCATTTAAATTGGGCTTATTGGGGAGCCTTGGTAGACCAAGATACATAGCTCAGGATATAGAACCCCTGATAAGCATACTGATGAAAAATTCCTTCTTATTTATACCTTGCACAATAATTTATAAAAGCTTACCTTTCTCTTATTTGCCAACATTCCATTCTCTTTACAATCAGGTCCACTAGTTAAGATATCTGTTCCTAGGCTGCTAAACACCTTGTCAATCTGTTCAAATTAAAAAAGATGGATGAAGAAGCATTTATCTTTAAAAAGAATTTGATTAAGCAAATACTGGAATGATCCAATAAAGACAGCTTCTTGCCTGATTGCCTGTATTATTGGCTTTTGTTTCTTCAGGTGGGCTCATTGGATTAGTTATATCGAAAGATCTACAATGCAAAAGTACAATTGTAACAAGGTGCTAGCAAATAGTTTCAGCATAAAACCAACCCCATAAAAATGCAAATTATATGTTCCATCTTTAACAAGACAAATGGTAGACAATTTGCTGTAATGAACTTCTCATTCAGTTTAAGAGAATATGTGCTTTGATTCACCTATGGGTGAAGAATTCACAAGCTACTTTACTTTGCATAAATCCAAAATGATTTCCAATATTAATTTGTATATGTACTTCATGAAGTAAAGCATATCAGATAATTAAAATATAAGCAACATTAGCTACTATTTGATAGTTTATAAAATCTCCTTAAAAAAAGATCTTCACCTCTTAGGCTTCACCTGTTAAATAGACAGGACCTTGCTCAAGGTATTTTACTTAATAATACCAAAAATGTCATTGCATACTTCTGAAAAATATATTTAGTTGTATCCAAACGTGTCATTCATTCCGTGAATGGGACAGAAAGCAATTCTCATTGCAGCTTCCCATGCTCCTCCTAATCTGCTGCAGAGTGTTTCCCATTTCTCTGGAACAGACTTGGGGAGTTGCAGGGGCAGGATGAGAGCTGAAAATTGCTGCCTTCTCCGTTTCACTCATGGAAGTCTTACAGTTTCATGTCATCCTTAGTAAGAAAATCTATGTTGTAGGTGGGGAGTGTTTTTCAGCCTGAAAGCCGCATTCCCATTTCGACAATGTTCCAATGTGGAGTGGTCTGGGAGCTGCATTTAGCCGGAGGGTTTCCATCCCTGCTGAAGAGCAATGACCTGTCTCCCAGTTTTGTTTCCCTTTAATAATAGTTTATTCATGTGACAAAATAACAAAACCAATAAAAAGTATACTCAATATATATATATATAGTATCAGCAGAGCTAGGACTGAAACAATTGTGCTAAGGAAGAGATTGCTATCTGGTCTTAGATACTGCAATTTCATTTCTAAACAACATAGAAGGGTCATTTGGTTAGCATGGTTGATCTGCAACATAAAAATTAATATTTAAATTAGTGGGAGACATAGCGGATTGCTTCCTTGAACATGGAAAACTGGTGTTCCAAGTTCTGCTGTTGAAAATCATTGGTGACTAACCTACCTGACAGAGTTGTTGTGAAGCTAAAATCGTGCTCTGAACTTCTAGAAGAAAGATGACTACAAATAACCAACCAACCAACCAACCAACCAACCAACCAAAGAAGGGTTCTTCAAAAATGGCATTTAAGGAAAGGTTGGTCCAATTTGTTAATTCCCAGTCTTTGGCAATACTGGGAACTGGATGGATATGCAAGAAATGCAGATACCAAGTTAAAAACCCATTTATTATAAGGAAAACCACACTATACAGATTTGAACTAAAAATATAAAAAGGAAGCTTGAGTGGTATAACAAAGACACTTGAATCTTGAATGAACAGTGAAAATTTTCCAATTAGTTTGGAAACTATAAAAGAAGACTGTAAACTATCCTCTAATTCACTGTACATACAAACAATATGCACACTTACTTTTGCTGTTCTTGCATAATATGGATCTGTTCAAGTTTGGTCTTATGCTCAGCTTCCAATTTACATAACATCTCTTTTATGACTGAAATGAAGGAATTAAACTAGAAAAGAAATACATGTATTTTTAATTATTATTTTAAAGGCTGTGCCGCCATGAGCAGAATACAGTCATACCTCGGGTTGAAGTCGCTTCAGGCTGAGCATTTTCAGGTTACGCTCTGCGGCAACCTGGAAGTAACGGAACATGTTACTTCCAGGTTTCGCCGCTTGCGCATGTGCAGATGCTCAAAATGACATCATGCGCATGCACAGAAGCAGCAAATCGCGACAAAGCGGCAAATCGCATGCGCATACGCAGGTAGCGTTCGCATCCAGAGGTACCACTGTATGCTGTATGAAAACAATATTCAAACTAGTTCCTAGATCTGTTTCCATTTATTAAATTTTTAAAAGCTAAATGTTGCACAGCAACTATTGTGTCCCTCAGATTTAAGTTGAGGTAAAAAGACAGAATTTTTTTAATATTTTAAAAGGCATATGCTTTTATTTTTCTAAGAAAATAGATCAAAGTAGCTAACAACGGAATACAAACCCAGTAAAAAACATGGAACAAACAAGGCAGGGAAGTCAAAGATGTTTTAAAAGCAGCCTATAAAATGAAGTTATAAATATTTGTCCTCGTCCATGCATTTGATCCATATATCTTAATAGCTGACTTTAAGACAGAATATGAGACAGGAAACTAAATATGGATCCCTTGAACATTAGAACACCCACTAGCTAGAGAGGGGAGAAGTTCTGAATACTGGGATCAGAGAGGGAAATACATTTCTATTAGCAAATGAAGATAAGAGTTGTTGAAAGAGAAGGAAGAAACTGGGCAGTAGAATTAGCATCCAAGTACATGTGAGAAGAAACGGTTCACCATATTTATGTAGAACTGCAAGGGATAGCAGTAGGATGTTTTCTGCTTTATAGTGGCGTACAAAATGAATAGCATTTTACAAAAGTGTTGCAATCTTATCTATAGCTGCAGTTTTTGGTAAAACATGAGACTCTCAGGGTGGTGGGTTCAAGCCCCATGTTGGGCAAAAGATTCCTGCATTGCAGGAGGTTGGACTAAATGACCCTCGCGGTCCCTTCCAACTCTTCAGTTCTATGATTCTAAGTCCCAATGAAATCAAGGATACTTACAAATAAACACAGGAGAAACATTATCCTACCTGATTTAGATTAAGATTGTTCTCAATGCTGAGAGGAATCAGATGGGGCAGAACCTTTCCTGCAAGTTGCTCTTTTGTAATTCCCAGTTTCTTATGACTAAACGTACATTTGTAGATACCTTTTATGAAACATTAAACACAATGATTTATCTAATAATCGTGCCTTCACAAAGTAACATCATTATATATTCCTTTGAACCAAAGGCTAGGTTAAATGTTGTTGTTTTTTTAAAAAATTATCACACACAAACTACAATTTACACCTTTCTTAAAAGGCGGTTTGCATTTTTCCGAGGGCAAGGGAATGGAGAAACGAAAAGATGCTATGTTAATTATTTCTATAACTGTGGGCATTAGTGTAAACTTTAGAAGTTAAACCAAGTCTTTACAGCGTTTGACCAAATTAAAAGAAAACAAAAAATATGGGATATTATTTTTAAAAGTTATAGACGTGTAATGCCTTGTGGTATTGTACATTTAACAGTACCACAAAGATTAATACCACAGAGAGACTACTACAGACAGCACAAGAAACAAAATATCATGTTACCTAGAATTCCCATAAGGACTGCGGGTTCCTTGGAAGGAATTTGTTGCAAAAAAGGCAGAATATCATCAAGAACGAACCACTTATCCAAGTATTCCAAAATCTTTCCCAAACAGACTAAGGAATTTACACGTACCTAATGAATATAAAAACAAACCCTCTAAACTAAACTTTTATAAAAATAGAGAAAATGCTTGAAAATATCAATACAGGAGTTTTAAGATTTTTCAATAGCCATATGTTCACAGGATTTGAATTTTGAGTTAATTTCATATATACAATTAATGCTTCAATCCTAAACTTATTTGCCTGAGGGTAAGCCCCATTGTACTCAATGTGACTGACTTCTGAATAGACCTAATTTCCCAAAGTAAAGGATTTAGGAAGCAATGTGATTTATCTATTTTTACACACACAGGAGCATGCTGGTTGGGAACTACATGTTACAGTAAACATACACTGCTGCCAGTAACAGTATCCATGTGCCAAGCTCTCCCACTCAATTGTGTACTGTTACTTAACCAGTGGTATAAGTCACAACACATTTTATTTAATATATCCCACCTTTCAACCCAATTTTGGTTGCCAACAGATAAAACACTATCCAACAGACAATATATAAGAGAAAAAGCACAACCCAATGGTCTTACTTGTTTGACTATTCTAAAACAACCAAACTATGGGTGACATCCAACAGTAGTCATACACAGAGCAGACCACATGAACCTAATGATTTCACTGGGACTACTCCAAGTAAGACTAACACTGGAAATTAATAAAATCTTAACTATGACCATGAACAACAAAAACAGAGGACGTATATAAATCCGGAAAGTACAATCCCTGACCATTGGGAAATGCTGCCCAGGAGTGATGGAAGTTGGAATTCAAGAACATCTGAAGGGCACCAAGTTGGGTGAAGGCTGGTGTATGAATGGGGATGGGATGGAATGGAATGCTGGATGCCTCTAGGAAATAAAACCTCTCCAGTATCTACCCCACCTCAGTTCTGAAGATGGGGCATCTGGAATAAGGCTTCAATTGATTATTACATAATGTAAAGTACTACGTAGTCATATGGAACTGTAAGTATCTCACTAGATATCTGTTTCAATTATTTGTTTGTTTGTTTTCACACAAAATTCAATAATATTATCCAACTAATAAAACCTAAACATGTTAATAGATCATTACTATCATCATAGTAGTGGTGTTTGATAAAAAAATCTCTTCATGGAAGGCTCCCAGACTAAAGTGGTGTTTGATAAAAAAATCTCTTCATGGAAGGCTCCCAGACTAAGATCTAAAGATAACTCTGCATTCCACACCCTATTAAATTCTCTGCTACATTATTTTACTTTGGCACTGGCCTGTATAGTTCTCATTCTGCACAACCAGGGAAAACCAGATACATTCTAGTAACCAGTGATTTCAGCAGAGAAAAGTCTTTGGGTAAAGTAAGAACTCTTTTAATCACTGGAATGGTGCTGTTAATAATTCCTGCAAATCCAGCTGTTAGAAGCTGAAATGTAAAAATTGAGAGCAGCTTTTTTTTAAAAAAGACACATTTTGAGGGTCTTGAGGGTACCAAAACATATTTTGGCATCAGAGTAGGGAACCTGCAGGAGTAACCAGGTTTTTTAAAAAAGTTCTTTTTAAAATAAACATGTTTTCAAGGGCTTGGGAGAGTTACAAAAAGTTTGGGCATTCATAGTATCATAGCAGGGACCCTCCCAGGAGAAATCTTTTGTTTAATGACAAATTAGGAGGGCTCTGACAGACCCCCTAAAACACTTCTGGGCACAATCTGTGGCCTACAGGTTAGTCTCCCCTACCTTAATCTGAAGAATGAAAATGCTCTATTATATAATTCTTGATTTGATGAATTCACCATATTCAGTACCACTTAGGAAAGGCAGGTCTATGGTCACACAATAGTATAAGTCCAGTTTTTCATTATATGTATAAATCCTTCAAAACTGGAGTTCTCAATGGAATAGACAGCCTATGTGCATAGAGCTGTGTGTAAATAGGCCCCCACATCTGAAGTTGAATGCAGAGATGTTGGGAACTTCCCTCTCCATTTGTTCATGTGGGATGGAGGATTCATTTGAATCCCTTTATAATGAAGCATAACTTGCAATTGATCAGGATATTATTTTTTTAAAAAAAGAAAATTAACAGCAAAAAAATTTCAATATGGTTAAAAGACTTCTGAATTTTCTACTTACAGCAAGAGATGATGTTTGTAAACAGGCATTTTTAATTCTTGGTATCAGTGAATTTTTCATTGATGGATAGTCTATAAGGTTCGCAAACGTAGGAATTATGTTTAAGCAGAGTTCCTGAAAATAAAAGTATCACAATTAGTACATATGAACAATATGCAGTTTTTCTGTCTTTCTCTCTGTCTCTAAAACTAAATAAACCATAACATTTATTTATTTGAAACAAAATTTAGAATTCCATTTCCTTAAGAGTTCAGAGCCAATAATAATAATGAACAATAATGTTTGGCCCTCTTGCCACAGCAAGCACAGCCAATAGTTGGGGATAAAGGGAGTTGTAGTCCTACAACATCTGGAGGGCCACAACTTCCCCGTTACTGGTGTAGGAAAGCCTCCTTTATCAATGTTATTAAAATATTCCTCTAGTAACAAAATGTCCAAAATAAGATGATTAAGCTTGAATGCTGCCTGCAAATGTTTTAGGAACTTTATACAATCACAGAGAGAGTGTAAACTTCCACGTGTTCCATGAATCATGACCAGAATGTTTACTAGAGAAAATCCTTTTATCATTTCTAACTTTCCTAACTATTCTCTCAGAAAGGGCTTCTGATTTAGTGTTGGTACCACTGATGAAAGAGAAGTGATTTTTTGCCTATACTCCCTTCCCCCTGCTGTTCCCCCGCATCTATCTCCTAGAGCTTCTCTCAACTCCCTGGAACCATTTTCAGGGGTTACTGCAAGTGGAGTAAGCACAAACAGAAAAACAAATAAAAATGTGAGAAGAGGGAGTTCCTTTCAGTAAGGATTTTCCAGCCAGAATGAAGCTGAACAAAAACTGAAATTACCAGACCTGAATCTGAATCGAAGGTGCTTCTAATGCTCGATAAACCATTGGAAGAACACTGTTCTTTATTTCTTCGGGAGGTGTTTTGGTTAGCAGCAAGTCCATTTTTTGAAGAAATATCAACAGAATCTGTTTTTAAGAAATGCAGTATTGACATGTGTCAAAGCTTTAATTTTTGTTAATCACTTCCAGGGTAACATTTGCTATTACCTTATATAATCAAATATTCATGTAAACATAGCAAATGCACACACTCACCATGTTGCTAGCCTGGAAGCATGGAAAATAAGAACATTCTGACATTATTCTCTATTTTAAAGATAGTAATCCAATAGCATACATTTGAACTTTCCAAGAGAATGAAGTACATATACAAAGTGCAATGTTCTAGATTGACAGACAATATATACCCGTTCACTAAAAGCCCAACTAGTACCTAACCATACAACTAACCAATACACATACTGAAATATGTGGCTGCTTTGAAATATTACTGGCTGTTAAGCTTAACATCAACAACATCATCATCATTCCCTGCCTTTTCCCCTGACAGGAATTCAAGGTGACTTACAGATAAAATAAGAACAACTAAAAACATGGAAATAATAATGATTATAAATCAATTGAACATAAAAAGAATTAATATTAAAAACATACAAATAATTACAACAAAAACAGTATGACTCAAGCTCTTCCCTTGAAATAGTCAGTTCCCAAAAGCCTGTTGGAAAAAGAAGTTCTTCACTTGCCAGTAGAAGAACAAGGAGGGAGCCAGTCTAACTTCTCTAGGGAGGGAGTTAGTCTGGGAGCAGCCACTGAGAAGGCCCTCTCCCACATCCCTACCAAGTGTGTCTGTGAGGGTGGTGGGACCGAGAAAAGGGCCTCCCCCTAAGATTTAATAAACTGGTGTTCAAAACATAGCCCTAAACAACTGGGTAGATGGTTCATATGGGACCAGAATTATGTTTAAGACAGAAATGTACCTGAATTGGTTCCTGCTGTTTAAAAACAGGGTTGAGATCAGGTAGAATTAACTTTATATACTCTTCTTTGGAACATTCCTCTGCAATGAGCAGAACATTAGGCAGAACAAAAGGTACCATGTCAGGGTTCACAAATTCGGATGTCAAGGCAGGCAAAATCCTCTGCACTATAACACGCTGAAAGAAAACAGACATTATTTTGTAAGGAAATGAAATTTCTTCAGAAACCTGCAAAAAGCATGCTATTCCTATGTATTGCAAGTAAAACAGAAGTATTGCAAAATATTAACAATACTGGTATATCTAAGTTTGCCTTATAGCACACTTTATAAAATGCCAATTTAAATGAGGAACTGTTAAGGCCTTTGCTTTGCTGTATTGTTTTTAACACTTGATTGGGAGCCGCCCAGATGGGCGGGGTATAAATAATATTATATATTACTATTATTATTATTATTTCTTACTCCAAGAACACTATAATAGAGCAGCAATGCATGCTTCAGCTACAAAAGACACAGAGTTCTGTGTCAGTACACCCGTCTAGTAAAATAATCTGAGATTGCTGACCTTAGGCAATTTTGGTAGAACTTTTGGCAGCCCTTTAAAAAACTGTGACTTTTGAAGATTATCCCTTTGGAATAACGAATCGAAGTACTGTAGTGTCATCGCCCCAACATCATCAAAGAATGGTATCTACAAATACAGATTTTTTTTTAAAAGAAAGTGATATTTGAGGTCATAAGCATGGTATATATTAAACTTTTTCAAAAGCACCATAACATTTGCAGCACAATCTTTTATATGTCTACTTGGAAAAAATCCCCATTGAATTCACTGGGGTTTACTCCCCAGTAAGTAGGTATACAATTGCAGACTTAATACAATTAAGTTAAACATGAAAAAGCATATATGAAAGAGAACAAATATAAAATCTCAACTAAATAACAAAGATGGGAATAACACTAAATGGAAATTTTTCTCTTTTTCATATATAGAGAAAATACATATTTTCTAGTTTCAGCAAATCCTCCTCCTCTAAAAGAAGATAACATTTTACAAAATAACAGTTCCAGTTACTCACTGAGTGCTTGTTATCGGGCAATAAAGTAGAAGGTTTAATCTCCTGAATTGAAAATTTTGAACCAGAATGTTGTTTTTAAAAACCCTTCAAAATTTAGCAGTTAAATGCTGCTTATTAAAGCACTTTAAAAAAGGTTTTTCTTATATTCTACAGCTATTTTAAGTACTCTTTTTACCTTAGTCATTTGGTCAGCATCTGGTCTGACTGCAGGAGCTACGTTTAACAGTAGTTTTACATGCTCACGGACTTCTTCTGGAATGTCTTGAAGGTTATTGGCGCCCAAACGACTAAGCTGCATAAATAAAGCACATGCATTAGCATTAAAACAAAACCCTGCATACAGTATGACTGGAACAGCGCTTGGAATGATCTAGTTCAGTTAAATGAATTCAATGATCTACTAAAAAAAAAAAAAAAAAATCCCCGAACTACACGGACGGTAGTTCACTTAATTGCCAGATAAACGAAATATGTGTAAAGTTCATTTTTGGGGTAATATACCCCTGCTCAGTTCATGAAAGACAAACCAAGAGCTTCCCCAGTGTGGCAAATATTCGCACTTCTGCACCCATTCTACATCCAATTTAGCTCGTTTCAGAGACACTAGAACAGGTCCTGTAGCTGATTTTCCTTAACTCAATGCAACACAATCAAACTTGTGAAAACGGGAGTAAAACACGTATTTCTACTTTGGTGATGTTCCTTATCAGCAAGGATGAAAGAAACTTTAATGGGGTCTTCTCACACACAGGTGAACCCAGTACTCTGAAACTTGGTGATAACAGGCTCTAAAGCATGAGGCAAGAGTTTTATTTACCCCACATTATTGCTTTCCATGATGACAGACAAGCCACCTCCTTCAGTACAAGTTAGATGTTCTTTTCATTAACATAGAATCAAAATACTTGTAGACATTTTAATACTTTTTCTTCATAATACTTATGTATTCAAATGTGAATTTAACAAACAGACCCATAAAATACCTGATCCAGCTGTCTGCTGAAACTTTTATAAATATCCTGTTTGTTGACCTCAAAAATAGGTTTTCCATTATTAAACACAGCATACATAATTGCTCCTAGAGAGTACATGTCACTGGCTGTCTCACAGCTCACTGAGAGGATGTATTCAGGGGCCAAATACTCAGGATTTGGAAGACACAAAGATGGTAAGTTTGGGTCCCATTCTTTACAAGAGAACTTTGGCTGGGGGAAAAAACGGCAAAAAGGTTACAGAAACATAATTTAAAGTGTAAGTTTAAAGAAACGTAGCTGGAGTGATTTTCTTTTACATTAATAATGACCTAAAGAGATCTAAATCACTCATGATACCTGAGAGACGTTATCCATTATATAAGGTAAGTAAATCCTATGTTTACTCTGAGTGCATCCATTTTTAAAGTTAAGTAGAGTATATGAGGTCTTTACCATATCACATTAAGAAAATATAAACAGAACATACTTGTCTGTTTCACATTAGCTCTTGGCTAGGTAGCAAGATTATCTCCATTAGCAGCTAGGTAGCCTACCTTCAACATAAATTAAAAGCACTTAACTGGTATTGAAACACTCAATGGTGTTGGTTTTTTTTGCGTGAGGGAATTATTCTACTATAACAACTCATGACTTCACATATATTAATGGGCAATATGCTACTCCAAGAAAGACTGTATAATTTAGGAAGAGTAAGCCGCTTAATTCTTGACTGTGGTCGTATCCCTAAAGTTTGATCCTGAACTCAGCAGGCAAATGGGTTACATTATGAAATTTGTGTATTGTTATGTAGCTAAACATTAAGAGCTTAATTAAGAGTCCCAATGTTTCCAGGTTATCCTTTACTGACAATGAAAAACAAATTGAAACCTTGTTACCTCTTGCTCAGATGGATTTATAGATGAGATGCTGAAGTCAAATCCAGTAATTTTCCATGCTCCACTTTTATTCAAAATTATATTTTCAGGAGTAAGGTTGCCATGGACCATTTTCACACTGCTATGTAGAAATGACAAGCCTTCAGAAACCTGTTAGGAGGAAGATATTCTTGTCAGGGTGTTTGTTTTAGAGCATTTGGAATAAGCTTAGATATGATGGTATATGTTGTTTTCCTCTTTGAGAAACAAATAATCCACAGAAGTGAACTGGTCCTAGAAGTGCTGCGGCTGGGGTAAAAAAGAAAGGGGTAACAAAGTAGGGAGATTCAAGTCCAGATCAATGACCAACACACTTTTACCTTCAATCCTTTGCCACAGCAGCAGCCATTAGGCACAGCTGTGTCCATGGCAGCAGTGGTTTTGCAGCAGACCCGGATAACTTGCATAGCTGCTATCTAAATATTCCCACCTTTGTCTTGATAACACCACAGCGTACACCAGGATTTGGCAGATCGTCATTTGGCATTTTAATTTTCCTCACTTGTGGTTAAGAAAGGGATCAGCCATGTGTTTTTATAGAATGGGGTGGAGAACCTTTTTGCATCCTAAGTGCCAGAGGGCATCAGTGGAACACTGTTGAGGACTGCATGTCAGTGTTTGGTTGGGGGAACATACAGGTCTTTTTAACCAGCCCCCTCCCCCCGTCCCATATCCAGCTTACCCATACAAAAATCACTGCCCCCTACAGAATACACACACCCTTTACCTTCTGCTCAACCCCTCTCGCCAGCTAATCTTGGCAGATCAGCCTAGATTAGGGTCACTTGGAGGGTTATTTGAATCTTCATTGCAATGCTGGGATGGGGATGAAAATCACATTCTCCCTGTACATACCTTCTTCCTAATCTTCCCATCCTACACACTTGATCTCTTACTTTAGACAGAGGACATTCCTATCAGTGTCAACAATGTTTTCAGTGATTTACTGGAAACCACATTTCTGGGATCTCTGAATTTCTTGGGGAAGCTGCTGAGAGCTGTTGAGGACTTTTGAATGTTTCCATAACTATGTGCACAGATTCAAGCACTGCAGAGGATCCAAAAATTATGCAAGAGACAGTGACCACTAGAAAAAGGCTAGAAAGCACCACTGGCAGAAAGGTGCTGCTCAGTCACATCTAAATAAATAATTGAAATAGGATGGGAATGTGGGAAAGTGGGCATGATATGGGGAGTGTAGGAGAGGTGAATCCAGCAGCCTAGAGGTCCCCCATTCCTATCCTAGAGCATATAAAGTGTGAGGAATAAAATATAAAGGTTTTCTGCTACAGCTAATTAGTCGCTGTGACTTTTTAACACTGCCTTCTAAACAGACAAGGGAAGAAAAAATGTTTCTGCGTTTTGTGAGAAAAGGCAGGTGGCTATAGTATAAATTTATTGCCTGGTTTATATAGGTTGATGGCTAGATATTGAGTGCATTATACCCACCCATGTGTAAGACTACCAGCACTACAGACCAGTCACCAATGTGCATACCTGAAGCAAGCCATATTTCATTTCTACATCAAAAAGTTTGTATTCTTTGATGTCAGATGGTAAAGGTGAGGGAAGATTGTCCCAGCTGCCAAGTATGTTAGCCAAACTTGCGCAAACTGGTTCTGTACAAAATGCCAAACAGTCCCTAGAAGGAAACAAATATCCTTAGTAAACACCCCAAATATACTTCAGAATAAGAGACAAGTAGGTATATAGGTAGAGTTTGACTTTGTGACACAGCAACAGTTAGGAAATAGACATTATGATGGTGCAGGATGTTCAAGAAAAAGCACCAGGTGTTGGGCTTCTTAACAGCCTGAAAAATGAAACTCAATGACAGTGAAATCAGCATTCAACATAATATAAATTTCTACTGCACCAGAGCAGTGGAATATTCACAAGGCCTTCAGGGAATCACGATGAGAGAGCGAAGAACAGGTCTTCATTCAAATAAGGACTACATGAACTTGGTGAGTTTTGCTCTGCCAAACAGCAGAAAGGAAAGCAGAATAAACCACATCAGCTGTATTTCTTAATCACTAAAATAATAACGAGGATGTGAATACTTGGCTACGGATACACATTGGACAATTACACAATTTCTTTTGGGAGAAGTGGATACAGTTTCCAGAAATTAGATTGTGTAGATTATTTAATTTTGGGAAACTTTTGAGCATGTATGAAAACTCAAACCTGTAATTGTTTTAGTAATAAACTTACCTGGATTCTTCCAATGGATGTTGCACAGTCAGCAGCCGAGGATGTCGCAGCCGTGTTAGCTGCTGAACTCCTCGTTTTAAGGAATCAATGATTTGATCCTTCTCAAATTTCTGATATTTGTCTATCAGTTTTTTATCAAAAACAAAAACCGCCACTTCCTAAAAATTAATCAAAAAATATTATTAGTGAACTAAATGAGAAACTAAAATGCTACAAAATAATAACATACTTTTCAATAATAATAAATAGCTTTTGTTGTCTTTCAATTTTAAAATAAATTGGCCACTGCTATAATAGTGTTTCCATCCTGTCTTTACATTATTACAGTGGGCCACTTCAGAAGTTAGGTGTGTTTGTGTGTGTGTAAATACAGGGGGAACTCACAGGAACTCAATTCTGGCACTTCTCAGGTGGGTGCTATTGCCATTCTAAGAACTAAGGAAGTGTTAGTGGTGAGTTCCAGCACTTCTTTTTCTAGAAAAATAGCACTGTATTTTGTGTGTGTGTGTGTGTGTGTGTGTGTGTGTGTGTGTGTACACCCAAGGAAATTTTGAAGCGTTGGAGATTTGGCAGAGGGAAAATGGCAGGAAAAAGCACCCTTCCTTTGCAGCCCATCAATGCCAAATTCTGCCCTACCCCACATAGCAACCATATTAACATGGAAAGTTTGCTCCTTAATGTTAAGTTGTACTAACAAATTCAATATTCTATTGAGCAATAGTTTGTCCAAACTGCATATTATATTCTCTTCCAGTAACAATTAAGCAAAACAGAAGGTGTTGTGTTAGATTCCCACAATGTCTACATATTAATTACCAATAATGTCCAAACAGATAAATGTCAGACTGCATCTCTATTAGATAGGCTTGCCATACGTTGGATATGTCTGACGTATACCGTATTTTTCGCCCCATAGGACGCACTGCCCTATAGGACGCACCTAGTTTTTTTGGGGGGGGGGAATAAAGAAACCCCCCCCCCAGGCACAGGGCTGGCGCGGGGGAAGCCCGAGCTTCCCCCGACCCCAGCCCCCAGAACAGCCTGCTATCCGCAAGCCTAGGGAGCCTCGCCGGTCTCCCCAGGCTTGCGGACAGCTGTGCAAAGCCCAGGCGCGCTCTTCAGTGCGCCCGAGGCTTTGTAATGCAGAGCTGCGCGGACCCCGGGAGGGCAGGCAGCTCTGCGCGACCCTCCGGAGCCCGGCGCGGCTTGGCGCCGGGCTCCCGAGGGTCGCGCAGAGCTGCGCGGAGCCCGGGAGGGCAGGCAGCTCTGCGCGGAGCCCAGGAGGGCAGGCAGCTCTGTGCGACCCTCCAGAGGCTGGCGCGGCTTGGCGCCGGGCTCCGGAGGGTCGCGCACAGCTGCGTGGACCCCAGGAGGGCAGGAAGCTCTGCGCGACTCTCCGGAGGCCGGCACGGCTTCGCGCCGGGCTCCGGAGGGTTGCGCAGAGCTTCCTGAAGCCTGGAGAGTGAGAGCCTCTCGCTCTCCAGGCTTCAGCGAAAGCCTGTATTCGCCCCATAGGACGCACCTACATTTCCCCTTCATTTTTGGAGAAGAAAAAGTACGTCCTATAGGGCGAAAAATACGGTACCTCCAGGGGGAATTTCTGCTGCAAAGCAGTGGTTCGCCCTGGATCTTCAGCAACACAACTGAATAAGTATTTTTTTACCAACAGCTCAACAACTTGGGTCACATCTCAAAAAAACAAATCAAAACAAAAACTCAACAACTTTAACGTTTTCCTAAAAAAATATATGGCAACCCTATATTAGAACACCACAAGACTTCTAAAATTATCCAGGAGGTCTTGCTCAAAGTGTCATCAGGATGTTACATATAGTAAAACTACAGCAGATAGAAGGGACTTATTCACATTGAGCATTTCTCATGGAAGAAACATGTCAGAGCCAACTCTGTTACAAGATTTCAAAATACTCTAAAATATTTTTCTTCAGACCAGAATTGCATAGCTACCAGTGTTGTTGTTGTTGTTGTTGTTTTAAATAACTTTAAGGTTTGCTTCTCATCATCAGTGGTAGGCAGGGCAATTTGCTACTGGCAGTTTAATGTGCTCATTTATCCTCTGTTCAACCAGCAGTTACTCAAGAAGAGTTGTAGTAACGAAAATGAAATGTTGCAATTCTAAAACACACTTCCTTGGGAATAAGTCCTATTGAACACAATGCGACTTTGAACTGCACATTGAACTGCACTGCTAAATAAACACAGATTGCTAATGTTGTTTATACTATTTTTTCCTTTGCACTCCACATTTATAGCACGGCTCATTTACCAAACAAGTGTATTCAGCATACTGTAACCCTTTTACCAAGCTGCTATGTTTTTATTTCAATAGTGTTTCACCTTAGTAAGTTTCCTATTGACATTTTACCACTACAATTGGCATTATATTAATAATTTTTTGCTCCTTGGTTGAAAAGGTGCACAATATTAGTTATTTATCTACTTTAACACTGTACCAGAGTACAGATACATATATCGGTATAAGCGCCTAGAACTGGAAACGAAGTTTCAAAGGTATGTTGCTGAAAGACATTTGAATAAATCTAGAACTTTCAGTCCCTTAAAACAATTGAGGTACTTTGTTCTGAAGTTAAATATATAACTGCTAAATCGAGCGGAGCAGTTTGTTTGAAACAAATCAAAGGTACACACAAAACCCAATATAAATTACAAAGGATTTGATGTATCTATTTGCAAACAGCCAGAGCTACTTGGAGGTGACCAATCTGAGAAACTATGACTAGAACATTTAATTCTTTGCTATTCTTTCAAGATCTGTTTAACCTCAAGGACATTGTGCAAACCATATGAGTGCATACGGTGCACTGTTGGCACCTGTCTGTCTTGAGAGACAATGGAGTGTGCCTCTGGAGTGAATTCAAGAAGCCACTGTGTTAGCAGTACTGAAGTGACCTCCCCAGGGTGCAAGCCTGGGCAGTGTGTCTGGAGGTCCTGGGTTGCCAAGGTGACAGAACCCCCCTCTTGGCCTCACTGATGTGGTCCAAAGGAAAGCAGAGCAATATGTTTGGCAACAGCTTGGCTGCAAGAGTTGCTGGAAGAGTTGATGTCGCATAGAAGGCGACATCCAACTGGGACTCCACTCCAGATTTGTGTAGGGTTTACTCTTTAGCACTTTCTTCTCCCAAGAATGTCCTATAAGTCAGATGAAGTCTGTCTTTGCATGCAGGGGAAGTCCCTAACTCCCTGGGTTTGAAACCCAGCGGCTACCCTCACTTGGTTTAACTGGCCAGTCAAAGCCATTTCTGGCATGCTGACAGCTTCTAGGAGTTATGGGTGAGAGATGAGTGCTGAGTGGCAAGCAAAGGTGGACAAACTACCTCAGAAGGCGCATAATACATCCCCAGCAGAGGTACTCCTCCTGCTTTAACACCCCATACAACTTATACAGTAGATACATAAAAATGATAAGTTACACATACTGTGATTTCTTTTTCTACAGCTGTTAAACCATGTATTCTTAGGCAATTGTTCCTTAAAACATCATTGTAATGACATTAGAAGCAATATGTATTTCCCTCCCAAAACCTCACCTGTTTTGTTGATTTTTTAGTGCCATTAAAAATCTTCCAAGCAAGCCCATTTCCACCGCTAGCAATATGTCGTCCAACATCAAATTCCCTGGTAACTGGATTTCCCATGACTGCACTAGTGACATCTGCAGTCACTTTCGTAACCGTGCTCTTCAATTTGTTTAGCATGGACTCCATTGTTATGAATGTGTGCTAGTACATTTACCTACAAAAAAAAAAAAAAAAAAAAAAAAAGAAATCTCAGAATACATCTTGGAAATTTTGCTAAGCAGAACATAGACTCTAAATGTTATTAAGTAAATGATATAAATATTTAAGTCTATGTTTTTCTAGCTGGCATTAAATCTCAGTACTTATATCAACTGAAATATGCCGTCTCAAATAAGAGCAAAAAGCAGCAGTTGAAAATCAGTTTCTATTCCTGTTTGAAGCTGTCAGTATGAGAGATGAAAACTAAGTTGCTACATTTAACAAATTTTAACACAGTTAGCACTTTCTGTTATAATTTAGGTGTTAAAGATATCAGCTGTTTCGGCAAGTGAAAGAAAAACTGTATCCAAAAAAGGATGAATCAACAGATCATGCACAGGAATAGGCAGACAAAGTTAATATGCCAGTTAGGTCCACCACAGAATTTATGAAAAAATAATTAACCACTAGAATTAACAAGTGAAGAGAGTTCAGGGTGTGAATTAGTTATCATATTTGACAAATACCTGGATGTTTAGAATGTGTTCATTTAAAAGATTAATTGCTGCAGTTGGATAGGCCAGCAAATATAACTTTTTAAGCTGAGCATTAAATGTCTGCTTAACAAATTTAGAAGTATGCCCAAGTGTCCTGAGACTACTTGAATAGTTTCAATCCATTACCTAACACAAACAAATCACTGGATCCAATACTATTATCTTATCACCTACTGTACCTGTGTAGCAGAGTATACTTGTACAGCTTTTGGGGGTGAACAGGGGAGCTGCAGGGGGTAGGTGAGAAATGCAAAGCCCCACTACACAAGTGAATTTCTGTCACACTTAGCAGGCTGACCTCACAACTGAATCTTACTCACATAAAAAAAATAGTACCAATATATCATTTAAACTGTAAAACATTCTTCTTCCAATTGATTTCCTTATAAAAACCATGCATTACTTGCATAAGCAATTCAGAGCTTATAATGGATCATTTACTGCATTTTTTGTTTTCTTGTTTCTTCTTAAAATGTTGAGGATTTATGGTGAAATATCCCAGTATACATGTGCACACTTTGTCTTTCTCCCTCACACACAATATTATACTTTACAAAAGGTTAATGAATGCTACTTATCTGTTAATATATAGTATCACCCATAAGACTGTAATGCCATCCTACTTTTAGCAGAAGGATAATTTTTAGTTTTCAAAGTTACTTATGATTTTGTCACAGTACGGGATCTACATTTTAAACTAGTAAGCCATTCAAGAAAACATACTCTGATGATATTGCGGCATTATTATAAGCACTACAGCACTGAATTTAGTGGTTCCTATGGGAATTCTTAGTAAAGAATTCAGACTACTGCCACTAGCAACTTTCCCCAGGTGGTGTTTTCAAAGGGTAAGATTTCCATTTAACTGCTTACTGCTGCCAACATGCCTCCGAGGCTTGCTGACTATATTTAAACTGAATTGTCAGAAGAAAGTTTCAGAATGGACATTGAACACTCAGTGTAGGAGGCACCGGAAAGCAATTATTTCCTATACAGCAGTAGCCTAATGAAGGCTGTTCCCTTAAAAGAAGAGGTGTGGCTTAGAAGAGACACCTGACAATCCTCACAAGGGCTTTGTCACATACAGTCCTGTAATAAGCAAGGGAAGTACACATAATATGCGCACAGATGCTCTCACGCCCCATTTGGACTCACAAAAGCTCCAATTAATGTTCTACATAAGTCACTCGTGTGTGCTTCTGTCAATACAAGCCTTCAAATATATTTTCACGGTAAAATCTACCGTTACTGGACACTTCAGCAATATTTGTGCGGGATACTTTGCATTTATCACAGCAAGACTGGTTTCATCTTTTAACGAAGAACCTTTGCTGCTGAAATCAGAGCGGCAGTGGAATAAGAACAGAAACCTTAAAGAGCAATTAGGGAATTTCAATCCCTCGACCAGCCACCCCTCAGCACGGCAGAGCAGCCTTCTCTCTTACCTGAGAAAGGGTTTGCGAGCTCCTGCCACACCGCAGGCAGATAGGCCCCTTGCCTTCCCTCTCCCCAAGTCGGCTGACAGCCACTCGGCAACTGCCTGCTCGTGGGCGGCGGCACAAAAGGGAAGCTCCCCGCACCCGCCAAGCCCTCTTGCCCCACTTTGTGGGCAGCCCAGGCCCAACCCTACGGTTCTGAGGAAGGAAGCGAGCGAGCCCTTCCCTTCTCCGCGGTCTCAAGGCCATGCTCGGCCCCCCGCCGCAGCAACAGCCCCTCGGGCTTCTCACCTCAACCTGAAGGGGGGAAAGCGCTGCCCCACCGCGGGGCGTGGTTGACCGTGCCGCGACCCCCGGCTCTGCTACGCCATGACGGCCACCTCAGCACAACCTAACCTGACCGGTTCGAACACAGTATATATATATATATTTATTTCTCTCTCTCGCTTCCGCCTCCGCTGCTGTCACTGGGAGAGAAAACAGGGCACCGGAGCTGAGGCCGGAAGTCGAGCCCTAGGAAGCCCCGCCCCCTCCGCCTCGCGCCGCCAACGGTGGTTTCCGCCAGGGCGGCAAGTTTGATTGTCAGGGCGACGAAGCGCCGGCCTGGCCCTCCGTTGAAGAAGCGGGTGTGTTTGTTTTGCCCCCCCCCCCCCTCACCGGGATACTTTCGAGCCTCCGCGGTTGCCTTTCCGTTCTCTCACAGCGAAATAAAGCGGTGAAGTTGTGGAAGAAGAGGAAAAGGCGTAACAGGTTTAAGGCCGAGGCGGAGGAGGAATATACAGTGGTACCTCGGGTTACATACGCTTCAGGTTACAGACTCCGCTAACCCAGAAAGTGCTTCAGGTTAAGAACTTTGCTTCAGGATGAGAACAGAAATCGTGCTCCGGCGCCGCAGCGGCAGCAGGAGGCCCCATTAGCTAAAGTGGTGCTTCAGGTTAAGAACAGTTTCAGGTTAAGAACGGACCTCCAGAACGAATTAAGTACTTAACCCGAGGTACCACTGTATACGGACTTGGTTCTCTCAGCGGAGTGGCCCATGCAAGTGGGGCAGGATAGCAGACCCATTATTATTAAAAGACATACTGAGTGGATGTACCACAAAAACTGTAAAAGGAATTCTGTGTGTGTATGTGGACAGTGGTCAAACTTCACTAAGTTTGTTTGCTTTTTGTATGAGAGTACTAAGTATGTTGAGATATATTTTACTTCTAAGGCAAACATTCTCCCAAGGAGCTCTAAGGCATGTTGGCCCTCAGGCAGTGTATGGTTTCCTATGGAAATGTTAAGGCTTACAAACATGAAGGTTCTGTTGTAGGCGACCATAAGGAGTAAGGACTACCCCAGAGACACCTTAGGGTTGTTTCATCGCCTTTATTTGTCAAGGTTTAGCTTTTTAGGAAGATGAATAGGCAGGATTCATCCAATGGGGTGGGATTCTTCCCATTTTCCCTGTCATTCTTTTATGCTGCAGCTATAGCTTGAATGAATCTATTTGCGTCAGCCATCGGCCATAGCAATAAAACAACAATACAATATACAAAGAATAGAAATAAAAAGTCAATTATATAAAATACGTTTTAGGGTTTTTAATCAATAGTCATATCTTCAAGGGCTCTGGGCTCTCTTCCAGCTTTAAGATTTAAAGTCTTTCAAGTCTTCCAATGAGCTTGTTCCAAATAAAGGTCTTCCATAGAAAGCAATATCATAGGGTATATTTCACGATTAGTAATCTTTCCCACATCTTCTAATCCACTAGCATACATCTTGAACAAGTTGGTGTTGTGGACAGAGTTACTTCCAAACTGTTTTGTGAGGTAGAACTGTTTATGTACACACACACAAATTGCATGCCTCTTTGTAAGTGTAGAACAGCTCAGGTAAACATAGCAATGGTGTCTGGATGCTTTTCCCTGTCCAGATTGCACCACACCTATGAGCAATGGGTTGTCATTCTGCAATGGGGAAAACAAATTAATCCTTGAACAAAATCCAAGGTGGAAGAGTTGCAGTTTTTTATTTTAAAAAAGCAACACAAGGCCTGTAGCTGATCTGAGCTGTTTCTTTAATAAAATATTTCATGATACTTTTTATTATAAAAATGTTTTAAATTGGTGACTCTTTTTGTTTGACTTGAGCATCTATTGTTGTCCTCTTTTTATTCCCTTCCACAGAAAATAAAAGCATTCCTGCTTAAATCCCTCTTTAATATAATAGATAGGAATTGGTTAAGCAGAGTGTGAAGAAATCTGGAACTAGCCTTCTAGATTTATGATCTAGTGTTCTTGTGTTCAGTTACAATACAACCACTATTTTCCAAATAAACTTTGGATTCAAAAGTTTTATTTCATTTTCCTACTAAATATTCTAGCATATTGTTAATTGAAGAAATGTACTTTTATGGATATATTTTCGGTTCAGCCATTTGCATCCAGATTTCAGTTTCTACCAGCATTTGAGTGGCAAAGAATATGAAGGACAAACCCCAATAAGCTACATATATATAAAAATGAATAAAACCTTACATATATATTAATTGACAGTACAGTTTCGTTCTTAAAAAAAACTACATCAGGGTTCCAATCTAAGAAAACTTCCCAGGTCTTTAACATATACAATATAATGTCCATATCTTGTGAACCATTTAAATATCAAATTTCTCTTCACATATACTATGTCCATTTTCTTCATAGTCTTCTCTGGTTACCACCATATCTTCAAAATCGTCATTTTCAGAAATCAGCTTTCCACCTTCCCAGGAATAAGTAATAGGGCTGGAAAGTAAATAAAATAATTGTGTAAACTGTAAAATACAGTTAGTTTACAAAGTTAGTTTAATATTGATTTTCAGTATCAGCTAGTACTACATTATATGACATTAGAATATAGAATATAAAAATAAGAGTGGGTAACTGTCAGTTGAGAATCTACATTTTTAACTGAAAGGTTACTTACTTCTCTGGCAGAACAACAGAAACATCGTAGTCAGTGGGAGTGAGGCATCGGACCTCAGAGTAAACACGATCCCTGAAGCCGGGGAGATGTGTGTTTCCACCAGTTAAAACAATATTCTTAAAGAAATGTGGTTGCATTTCTATGAAGACCAGAAAGAAACAAGTTATAATTCTACAATAACTTGCTTGATTTTATATAGTTATATTAAGTCTGTAATGAAAAGCATTGGAAGCACTTGCATCGGAGTCTGTAATGAAAAGCACTTGCATTGGAGGCAGTACCTCAGTCACATATTTAAATATTCTTCTAATGCAAATTGCTTACTTCCAAGTTTATGAAGAGGGTGCTAAGTGTTCTGGCTCCCAATCAATTTTGGATGCATTAAACTACTTAATTCAGAAGTCTGGATATTGCATAGGTAACTTCAGCAATTTTACAACAGTAACATGTCAAGAAATAGTGTTTATTAAAATTTGATACTGGAGAATTTCTAAAACACAGGCTTTCAGCCTTTTTGAGTCCGTGGCTCCCTTGACTAACTACATTCTTTCTGCAGCACCCCTGTGGGGCTTAAGAGCCCAGCCTCTCACCCTTTTTCAAACACTCCCTTGAGTGTTTCCTCAGCCTTCTCTCCTCTCCTCAGGGCAGCCACTGCTGCCATCCCTGGTCTCTGAGCTGTCCCCCCCCCCACCTCAAAGAGATGTGCCTCCTCACACTGCCCCACAGGGCCTGGAACTTGTCTGTCCATTCCCAACAGCAACGGCTGGTGGACTGGCGGGCTGGGCTCCCCCACCCGTTTGCTTGCTTACTCCAAGGGTGTCTCAGTTCCTGGCAACCAGCACCCCTTTACCAGCCCCAGAGGCACCATTCGCCTGCAGAGCTTGTAGCCATGACTGCTGCAACAAACAGCTGTACAAGCCTTTGGGAGGCAGAGATGCAAGAGGGCATCAGAGGAAGGAGGGAAGGAAAAAGGGACAGAAGTCAGTGTTGCCCATAATACCCCTGACCATCCTTCAAGGGTGCCATGGTACACTGGTTGAAAACCACTGTTCTAGACAACTGAGTTTTTGTCCTTGATATGGGAACTTTAGAAGCAAAACAAAAAGTCTAACTATGCAACATGTTCTACAGTTAATTTTGGTAGTTACATTGTTTAAATAAGAATACCTTCCGGCAAGTTCTGAATTGAATAAACAATGGCTTCAGGAATTCCCATTTCTTGAATACCAATATCTGAAGGATGGAAGAGTATCTCTGGAACAGCAAATCGCTCATTTGTAAGACGAAGTATTTGTTCACCAGTTTTGTATTTTCCACTTAACACCATTTCTTCCCTTGGCTAAATCAAACAGATGTGAATTAACACACATGTAATAATGAAACCAGCTTTTAATATCAACATTAATCAGTCACCTTATTTGCATGATTTTTCCCATGTAGTAGCTGGGATCCAAAACCTGTATGGGAATCTGAAACTTGTATATTTCTTCCATACAATTATACCTAGCTATATCAGCACATAATAACATAGAAATTGCAGCCAACATGCTATGACTGAACAGTAAGAGGATGAATCAACAAACGAAAAATGGCAATTCATTTCACATCCCCCCCTCTCTCAATAGAGACTTTTTTTTTTTCTAACTAGGTTGCATAAGTGTTGGAGACTATTTTTTTTCTAACTAGGTTGCATAAGTGTTGGAGAACCTTTCATCCTCCAGATGTGTTAATTACCTTGTTTTAAATTTGCATTTTACATCTGACTTCCTCTAATAATGTTTCCTTTTGAAACATTTAATATAATTTTTTATTATCTTTGCTGCATTAAATGTGCATTCCGTAGTTGACCTCCTTTGTAATGTTTTAGTTTCAAAATCTTAAAGGCAATATTTTAATTTCCTGTTAATTATGCTGCTTTGAATATATACTTTATATTGGACTTTCTTCTGTAATGTCTTCTTCTGGATTGTTTTATTTGATGTAGGTTGTAAATGCTTTGAGATCTTTTTCTTAAAAATATATGTAAGTATAGAAATGAAATGAAATGAAATGAAGAAGAAGACTGATTTTATGCAATTACCTTACAAAACCCTTTTTTTATTGTGCTGAAGTCTGGTAAAACATAGTCCAACATTACTGTATTTTCTTCCCCCTTCAATCTGAAACAGGTTGGAATTCAGAATACATCCTAAGTTAATGATTCTTCAGAGCCACAAAAAAAAAAAAAAGTATTTCATTGTAAATAAATAATTAACAATTTACCCTAATATGGGTCTAAGTCCAACTTTCTCAAATGTGGAGACCTCTCAAGAGGAGGCTTTGATGATAAATAAATAAGAAAGCTGCATAGGATAACCTCCTTTTGACTTTTAATCAGTAAGACAGCTCACCACCATGTAAAGCTATTTGGGGTATTCAGTGCATATAGATGTTGAACTTAATAGTGGGACAATCACTCCTTGCATGGGGTTTATGTTCTGGGGATGGCAGGAATATGCAAAACTGTGTAAATTCAAACCACCCCCGCATAACTATCCTTGCTAAGCGAGCCTTACCATCATCCCCCACACCCCGGGAAGACAGCTGTTAAGCTCTGCCATGCCTACCGGGCAAGTCCCGCACACTGCATAGGCTTTGGGGTGCTCTTGCAAGTTCCTGTGGGACTGTCTGAGTTCCTGTGAGATCTTGCAACAATATGCCAGAGCTTGTGTGCGCTCTGCGTTGCATGCAATTTCAACCACATAAGTTAATTGCATATGTAGAGCTTGAAAATGATTTGGAACACTGCAGATGCTTCAGTAATGGAATCAAGACTATAAACCCAAGTCTGGCTGAAATGGGACCTCAAAGATCATTATCCCTGTTTCCAGATATGGGGACATGGGTCAGAACAGCACTCCCTACATGCTCAAAGGCAGTCTTTATAACAACATGTTTCAGAGCTAACCCTTAATGAACCCAAGCTTTCAGTAAAGGAATTTGATATTTAATGTATTCATAGACCACTGTCAACAGAATGGTGGTTTTTTTACCACAAGGCAATACATAATAAATTCTTCAGGCCATAGACAAAATTACCATTAACTATATTTAGCAGTATAAAAAAAACCCATACTTGGCAGTCTCCATATCCTTGAAAAAGTCTTGGGAAACATAACATACATCTTCTTTCACTTGGTTAATCACATGGGTTTCATCCATAACATGGAGTTGCCTATAATTTTTAAAGAAAATAATGCTACTTTATCTTGTTTTCATTGCTGGTCTGTTATGAGTATTCAATATGAGTATTTATTGAAGCTTAAATGTTATAGTAAAGCTGTTAGATTAATTGTGGAAAACTCACTTAAGCCTTTAATCCTCTGTGGAGTAGGGCATGCTATTAAACCAAAGAACAGTAAGAGGAGGATGAACGTTCTTAACACTGCACTTCTTTGAGTTCTCATTAAGTTGTGATTAGGAACTAATCTGTTAAACCAGATGAAGTTCATGGGTTTTAGTAGAAAAAGTTAATAATATTCTCATACCACCCTTTCTATACAAGAGGAACAAAATTACGTATATAGGAAAGATACTGTTTGATGGGGCTTTTTTTAAAAAGGAGATTATACATATTGTAATCGTTCAGGAATCCCACCTTTACAGAAGACATTCAGAATTGGCACATGAGTAGTATCTAACACTAAACAGCCCTCTAAATAGAACCAGCAAGACCTAAGGATGCAGGGGGATCTTCAGAATAGAAAAGTTCTCACTACTGTTGAGATGGGGGATAGGGGATGGGAAACAAGTGGCCGTGAAATCTAGGTTGAGCAGCTTAACTCACTGTGAGGAACCCAGCTGGTTTTGCCCATCTGTATATTCCCAATGAACTTTCTAGGGTGTAGCTTATGAAAGTTTGTGTATACAAAAAGAGGTAGCCCTCATGTTCATGAACCTCGCCCCATTATAGTCTACTCATGTGGCCTAGCATACCCACAGATTCACTCAGATTCTCCATGGAACCAGTGGCATTTGGAAACAACCAACAAGATATGCCAGTAAATTATGCAGTTTCATTACCATACCTAAAACAATTGACAGAATAATTTTACTGCTCATTTTCTGGAGTTCCATCTATTTTTCCGATTTAACTTCTGCTGCAATTAATTTATTGCTGCAAAATAATTTTAAGTATCATTGCATACCTTGCACCATAATCTAGGCAAAGTAAGCCTTCACAATCCTTCAGCAAACCATGATATCAAAATTGGGTTTCTCTTTTTGCCCTATAAAATAAAATAAACTATATTTTTATTACTGTGAACCAGATAAGATTGTAATAACTTCTAGTTAGTGCTTTACCTGTAAGAGATTATCTCCTTTAGATGATTGGTTAAGAGCTTTCCTCCGACGTTAATCCTAAGAACAAGAAAGATTTTCTTTAATATTTATATTTTAAAAACACGAATACATCTTTTAAAAAATATTTAAAAATATTGGGTTTTTTACCTTATAATGGCCTCCTTCTTCTTTTTACTCCTGCAGTAAGGTACAATGTGTGTAAAAGAATACCCACTGTCTACAATGATGCAACACAGTTCTGATGGGTTATCCCGGAAGTATCTATGGGCACTGAGAGCCCCAGCTGAAAAACAGAGCCATATAATAGTGTCAGATACATTTATTAACACGTGCTTCAGGCAGAGGGCCTTCTCAGCAGTGGCGCCGTCCTTGTAGAACACCCTCCCATCAGATGTTAAAGAGATAAAGAACTACACAACTTTTAGAAGACATCTGAAGGTAATCCTGTATTGGGAAGTTTTAAATGTTTGACATTATGTTTTTACATGTCTTGGAAGCCACCCAGAGTGGCTGGGAAACCCAACCAGATGGGAGGTGTATAAATATTATTATTATTATTATTATTATTATTATTTTAAGCAAACAAAAAAAGTGTTGTAGCAATGCCAAACGAAAACATTTTCTCCCCCAAAAATAAACAGTAAGAGGACTTGCCATTCACCATTTACTCTGAGAACTGCTTGGAATTGGTATTCTTCAAACAATATTTCGTTCATGGACTCTTGTATTGAGCTGAAGTTGAAATAAGGTTCTGTGATGATGATATTGGTATCTACAAAATCTACCTATGTAGGAAAATATTTCAAGATTCAGAAGCAATCTTTTTTCTTAAAAAAACGAGTGTATCTAAAATTAGGGTCTGACTATTAATAAATATGTTCTTAATAATATGTACAGAGAATATTTCAAAACGCTTCACATAAATTATCTTAATAGTATTTGGAACAGTCTTAGAAAGAGAGGCCAGTAATGCTCCTTTGCTGCAGATGAGAGACTGGGTAAAAGTGGCTTGATGAAGGGTCATCAATGGCTAAGGTGAAATTTGAACTAGGGATTTTCTCCTAACTCACAGCTCACACTTCTTGCCACTGTAGTATAGTAGCTTTCTGTTGTGACAGCAGGAACGCCTACTTGAAAAAAAATTGTAGGTTATACAAAATTTAATAAACCCTACATATTCTTACAGAGGTAACTCTAATGAGTAGGCAAGTGACCAATGGATGAAGTAATTCAAGCTACCCATACACCTGCAAGTAGGCTTCACTGAACTCAGAGGGACTTACTTTTGTGTATACAGGTACAGGAGGGATGTCCAACAGGTTGATCCCCGGGAGCTTTTGGTAGCTCATGGTCGATTGCTGGGTCCCTTTCCAGCCCCCTCTCACAGCCCTCCATTGTTGCAGGATGTGCATAATGGAAGACCTTAGTGTGAGCTTGAATTCTGGTTCAGCAATGTTTTTTCCCTTGTGTTCTATGGAATTCTTTAGAAAACTGAGTGGTAACTTGCAATAAAAAAACCCCCATCCTAAACTATATCCTGAACTCTATAAATGTACTTGCTAAAATGTATCATCCTGTATGCTAAAGACAGTAACCAATAAAAGTCTTGAGTAAACACTAGCTGAGATGGGTTTGCCATGATGCAGCTTGGGATGTAAAATCTGCAGGTGCATAGGGGTAGATCAAACTCCAATTCAGAAAAATACGCAACACTGAGATAAAATACTCTTATGAAGGTTTGACAGATCCCACAAGCAGATATGGATTATTTTATCTGCTGATACATCATTCTTTAGAACACCTACACTGAACAAGCACATTTTTGTAAAAATAAAAACCCATGCTTTAAATGAAACAGTAAATGCCCTCATTTGTAGAAATCAAAACACTCACAGTTTAAATTAAAGCTGATGCACAAGCTTCAACTATTAGGTTATGCTGACTTCCTATAAGCAGCCTGCATTCTTATATTCTTCTGGTGCTACCTTCAAGATATAGGAAAGTGTTTAATTACCTGATACATTTCTTTTCCATAAAGATAGTCCCACACTTGTCTTTGAACATCCCAGTTTACCAAGTAGCCCTGTTATTTAAAAAGTAAAGTTACTGCTGTAACCATTTGATATGTGCATAATTTTATACTGTCCTTCAAACTTTCTTTAGCACCCTACTGGAAGAAACCTGATCTCTTGAAGGTGTTTGGATGATTTGACTTCAGTCCTAGAGTAGTATTTTACTCCATGTTATTTGTTTATGATCAGGTATAATAAATACATTATTTAAGACTTTATCCTGACCATTTCTATATAAAAGTATATTCCTCTGAAGGCAGTGGGACTTACACCCAAATAAGTGTTAACAGATTTGCAAGTTTAATTTATTATTATTAAGATGCACAGCTAAATACAAATAATAATTTCCATCTAAGGCTTCGTTATATAGAAAGAAATGTTTCCCTCCTCTCTGATTTTAATTACATTAATATTCTTCATGACTATTGTTCAAAAACTACATCTACTCATGCATAAATCTGACTAAACCTTTACTTCTCTTACTGAACCTTAACTGATTCTTGTGTAAAAAGATTTCCATGCTATTTAAATTACCTTCTGGAACGGGAGTATATAAAAAAGTCCAGATGGATCTTTAATTTCATCCAGTTGGTTAGCTGTAAATGTTTTCAGACGAGCAGTCTTTGATCTGAACTGACAGTTTGGAATAACACTGTGGGGAGGGGAAAGAAACCCAGCAGCTTTATACACATTTTTAAAAGTCAATAATGTAAGTGACCAACTAATGCCTGTGGAAAACCCACAAGTGTGACCCAAGCACAAGAGCTCTCTCTCCTCCTGTGGTTCCCAGAAACTAATATTCAGAAACCTTACCTCCTCTCACTTCAGAGGCAGAGCATAGCCATCATAGCTAGAAGCCTTTGAAAACCCTCTCCATGAATTTTTCAAATCCTCCTTTAGGTTAGATTTCCTCCCACCATCTAGGTTGGTGGCCATCCTCCTGGGAGAGTGGATTCCACAGTTAAACTACTTTAACATGTCAATTAGCTGGAAACACCTTTTGTAACCCAGATCTCTCAGAAGTTTGCACACTCCTACACTAGCTGTTTCCAAACAAACCATACTGATTTCATTCTTTCGTTGGATTTAGTACCTGGATTATGTTTTCTGTAATAGCCACTTTTTCACTGGACGCTTGTTTGGACAATTCCCGCACATTTGGAATAATTCCTTAATTCATTCATAACTGCCAGTGAATCGAGTACAGTCTCACAGATGTCCATATCAAAAAATGCGAGAAAACCCATAGAAGAACCGACTGCCTGTTCCAAAAGAATTTAACTCCATCCAGACCTCAAGCGAATGAGGCTTCTCACCTGACATGAGCGTGACTGTACCCGATCTTGGCATTGTAAGCGCCGTTATCTAACACGAGAGTCGCCATTTTTCTCCTTTGGTCCCTTAGCTCCGCCCCATCGGCAAGCCAGCGCTAAATAACCATGCGGCTGAAACGTCTTTAGTCACCACCGGGCGGATCCTCTCTTTCTCGCCTTCTCATTGGTAAAAGGAACTTAGCCCCGTTGAATGATGGGATAGTGGAGGACTTTCCCGACTAAGAGAAAATACTGTAGGGGGAAAGTCATAGAGATAGGAAATAATAGAAGAGCTCTAGATTCCTATGTTTGAGTGTTAGGTGAAGACTTGTAATCTTAGACTAATAGAGTCAGTTTTAATATAAACTCAGACTGCTTCATTCCAGTTTCCAGTTTCAATTAAGTCCATTCAGACAAGAAAGGGGGGTGTCTGTTCTTTGAAACTCGGCACTTACGTGGTGTGAAGGGAACATTCTGTTTTGGGGACCTTTTAGGCATGTATCGGGTGAGATGCTTGGATAGCATCAGCGTTCACTTACAATATCTGTATAGCCTTATATTTCCGCATCTATATAATATGCGAGTACTGTGTATAATTATCGTGGAAACCTCTGTAAGGGAAAACTTCAGCCTCCAGCACTTCTGCAATGTAGGGAAAATTATGTCGCTCAGAGCCAGCTCTCGTCATCTGCAATATAGTCCAGTATATAGACGTTTTATTTATTCGCTGCTGATGCACAGACTTCTCCCAAGACATTAAAAAAAAAAAAAAAAGCTTAAAGGAATGTGTGACTGTGTGTCTCATTTTTCACCCATACAAGGCAATCTGGAAAGATTACTCTGTTGCCAAATGCTGGGTCCTTTAAACACGTTTAAACATTTATTAAAGTGGAAGGTCAGAAATTGGATAGTCAAAACGTAGTATATCACTTACACTAGTTATCCCACACTACATAAACAAAATCCTATCTTTTAGTTGAGGGGAGGTATTGTCTTCATACTTTTAAAAATTCTACTATGACTTTTCCCCTTCAGGCTTTTGGATAGTTTGCGGGCTTAAGGTGATTTTATTCAGCTTGACACTTTGCAATTATTTCAGTAGTACTTATTATTCCCGAGTAATTGTAAACAGGATGTGCTCTTGGATTTTGATGGTAATTAGATGCTAAAATTGGTGAGGAGAAAAACAGTATAATGTGGGGAGGGGCAATAGGGAAGGAGTTCTAAATTGCTTTAAGGAGTCAGATCTTCTATGCACATCATCATTCCCCTCTCATAGCGAATTTGGGTGACAGGGTTCATCGCGAAGAGAGAACTCAGGAAAACAAATCGTGTTTTTGTATTACGCTCCTGATAAACGTTGCAAGTGGACCTGGAAAACAGGTAGCTACGTGCTATTGTGTAAAAGCTGCCCCTCTTCGTTGCAAAAAAATCCAACAACCACAAAAAACCAACTCCTCAAGATATTTCTCTTTCCCAGCATGGAAAACGGACTTTTGTGAGTGGGGCGGTGAAGCTTCCAGGCCGGCGTGCCCCGCTGCCGTGAAATTATTCCACTAAAGCTTGGATTCAGCGGGCGTCATTCACCGGAGGCAAAAGGTGACATCGGCGTCAGGCAGCAGCTCCCGGGGAGCCCTTGTGGCTGGATCCTCGCCGCCCTTGCCCGCCGAATCCCGGCCGAGAGCCGCCCGCTTCCCCCGTCCGGGTTCCAGGCGGGCGGCGCTCCTGGCGCTGGTGCCGCCCTTTCCCCGCCCAGCTCTGCTCAGCGAAAGCCTGTCAGCTGGCGATACTGCAATCAAGATGGCGGCGGGGCCGGAGAGCGGGTGAGCGGGGGCGCCTCCGCTCTCTGGCACAGGACGGCAGGAAGCGCCGGGATGGGTGGAGGAGCGCCGGGTTTCTTTCGGTTTCCCTGAAGCGGGCGGGGGTTGAGGCGCGCTGGCCATGGCGGGCATCATCAAGAAGCAGATCCTGAAGCACCTCTCCAGGTCAGTGAAGTGGGGCGTCGGAGGCGCCCTTGCCGGGGCCGCTCTCAACAGGCTTCTCTGAGGGAAGGGGGCGAAACTGAACCGCCTCGTAATAGTGCCCCGTTTCCCTTTCGCCGTGGGGCCGTAGGCGAGGGGTGGGAAAGTCCCCGAGGTTGGGACCTGTTCGTCCCTCTTGTATGTTTTGGAGGCGTTGGGCTACCAGAAAAAACGTATCCCTGACGCGGAGGGTCACTGCGTGTCTGCACCTGAAACTGGGCAGGTGTGTGTGCGGGGTGGAAACACTCGCCCTGCAGCAGCAAGAAAACTGAGGAGGGGGAGAGTCTTCCTTGGGGGAAAGGAGCGGGTTGGCCGCCCCATCTCACTCTCGCCCCATCCTGCTTCTTGCCGCAGTCGGGAAAGCCCGCACAGGAATCCCTTCCCCTCGCGGCGTTAGAGGAAAGCCGGGCAAAGCGTGGCGGCGCCTGAGCCCCTTCGCCCGTCCCCGCCGGTGCTAAGCGCGCGGCGGCGACAAGGCAACCGAGTCGTAGGTGTCTCGAGAAGGAAGCCGCGCAGGCAGGAGCCCGAGGCAGAAGTGGGTGGATTGTAAATTGTGTTTGACACGTTGCCTGTGGGAGGGGCGAGCGGCAGCTTGGCTGATGTCACCCTGCACATTGTCTGTTGCAGACAGGTCTGGAGACGCCAGATTTGTGTGGGAATGAATGACAAATTGGGGTTGGGAGAAGCTTGGCAAGTTGTGCATCACGGCGGGGCAAAGGAGATGTCTGTCCGGGGTTTTGATTCGGCAAGGCGCACAAAAACAATAAGAAGAAAAATGGTGATTGGAACTGGGTTATGCTGTTTTCGCTGGCCGTTTAAGCAAACCTTTTTGCTATGCATTTATAATCCATGATGATTTGATTGAGGGATGTGTATTCGCTGTTGCAGTCAAAGGTTGGCACGTTAGGGTCACACACACAAATGAGGCATTGAGGAACACACACAAATGAGGCTATTTGGCTTGTGCTGCCAAGAAATGAAGAACTGGGGAACACTCAGAGCAGAATATAAAATCAAAAGCCCTTCCTTACCACATTCAAGAGCATCTTATGGAATCTAAATATTGCATATTAAAGGCAACAGATCTGTGTGGTAGGATTTGGTGTTTTTATTTTCTGCCATCGTCTTGAAGGATGCCCTGATTTTCTGGAAGAGTATTACTGAGCTTTGGTTTCCCAGAGTGTTTGCTTTGCATGTAGAAAACTCCAGTTTCAGTCCCTAGTATCTCTAGTTTAAAAAGGACTCAGTTGGTAAGTGATGGGAAAGAGACTTGGGAGGCTGCTACCAATCGGAGCAAACAGTACTAGGCTAAATGTAGAACTAGACTGATATAATGCAGCCTGCTGTGTATTAACAAGGGATGTCAGCTTATTAAAAAGACTATGAAGTTGTCAAACTAATTAAACATATAATTACTTTAAAAGAAAACAAAACCAAGCAGAGATATTGGAAGTGCAATCCTGCACATGTCTACTCAGAAACAAGTCAGACTGAGCCAGGTAAATAATTAAACGATTGCAGCCTAAAGAGAAAGACAGAGGCCAAAATTTGATCAACTGGGATGGGGGTGGGAATGAGGTATTGTTTTTAAAATGTGTCACATATTCAAGCAAGTTTTGAGTGAGTTTTTTTTAACCTTGGGCATTGTCCGAGGGCACATGATACAGCAATGCTGCTGGACTCTGAGGAGGTGTACTTAGAGGAGAGACTGCCAGTGAGCACAATGTATGCTGTTTTGAATTCTATGATGAAAACAAGGTGAAGTATAGCTATCTTTCTGCTACCTCGTAAAACATAAGATGATGGTTCAACCTCTTCCTCCTGTGTGTGCTAACCCTTTTTGCTTTTGTGCGAAAGTATTAGGGGTAAGACTATAAACCACTGATATTGATTTATTCCTGTTGAAAGTAATAGGTAGACAAGTATCAACCTTGTAATGTGTAGCTTGGTTCCCTTGCTTTTTGGAGTTTCTACAGACTCTATTCTGTAGTGCATCAATTGTCCTACTTTCATCTCTTCTCTGCATTCCCTAGTCTAGATTATAGGCATGTGTCTGTATGATCTGGAGAGTTCTGCATGTTGACAAGGGATTGCAATTGATTGCCCCAGGCAGCTTTCACCTCTCCTTCTGTGAACCATGGTCTAAGATTCTTAAGTAATCAAGTGAACAGTGCGCTAGAGCATTTTTGCCCTGATTTCATTTGATCTGCCTAAACAGGTGTTTGCTTGGATTGTTTACACAATACCATGTGCCCTATTTTTAGTTGGGATTAGTGTGCTTTTGTTTTTCATGATTTTTACTTGGGGATAAAGTAGTATAATATTTGTTATTAGTATATGCAAATGTCCTTTGAGATAACAGGGTGTTGCAGTCCCAGCAGTTTTTACACTGACTTCTCTGTGCATTCGCCATTTTCACAACTTACTTTGTTTCCTTCCCTACCTGTCAGCATGGCACAGACTGTACCTTTTCTATCTGGATGTTCTATGGACATTGGACTGTCACAAATAGGTGTATACTCGGATATAGTGAGAAATGTTTTTCAGATTCTGTGTGAAAATGTATACTGTACAGTGATGTGAATGTTAGTCCTAGTTCAAGGTGGGAACAAGTATGCTAATAACTGGTTGGGCATATCCTACCTGTTGTAGAATTCCTGACCAACTACAAATGCAAGCCTTTCTGTTTTTGTTGAACTCTTATAAATGGAGAGATGCAACAAGGAAATAAATGAGGAAGTGAAGGAGACTGGTGTAGAAAGAAGTTCTAATTGATTTGGATTGAAAAACTGCAGTTAAGGATAGATCTACTCTGTGGCTGAGAATACACAATTACTTTCTTTTTAATTCTTTTCAATGGAATTTGGTGTTCATTCATTTATTTGAAGCATTTTAGCCTACTCTTCAGCTCTCAGATCAGCTTACAGATCAATAAAAAGCCAAGACAAAATTGACTAGAATTATTCTTTTTGGTTTTTACTTTCATTAGATATTATCATATCTGAGGCAGGAAGTACTTTTACAAAGTACCTGCCAGAATTAATTTATTTCCTTTTGGTCAGCATAAAGGAAGCAAGACCAAATAATTCATGTTTATTACTTCCTTTAGAATGTACTAATTCATATATATTTTATAGCATATGAGGTAAAAAACACGCTCAGTCTTATTTCCCCCTGTAACTCCTGAACTACATGGTAACAGCATAGCTGTTTGTTGGTGCTGTACTATTTATTTAAGCTTTATAGAATCTAAAATCAGGACTTGGCTTTATCTTCTCCCCACCCACAATTTGAAGGCTTCATTTTAAGCCACTGAGATGAAATAGAAACTTCATTGTAAATCAATTATTACCCAGTGTTGCTTATTAATAATATTGTTATTAGTTATTAAATTTGTATATCGTCCTTCATCCGAAGACCTGCATATGATGAATGGAAAGGGCATTTTGACTGTGTTTACATGTCACTGTTGGAATCCATCCATCTTGGTAGTCAGTGGAAAAGTGCACCTTTGGGGGTCAAGTCAAACTGTTGGAAGGTTACAGTACCTGCTGTGGCTGCAGAGATCGATATGGGAGAGACATGTTTTGTTGCAGCTGGAGGTGTTCAGTTGCGCTGCTGAAGATGCACCATGGCGTTTCTTCTCTCTGTGCTCCTCCCAGTGCTCAACCCTTCTCTAGTCACTGCTATGGATGTACGACTTTACTGTCTGTTTCCAAGCACTGCAGTTGTCTGCAAGGGATTCCCACATAGCAGGGTTGATGTTGCCAGCCTTCATGCCTCTTCTGCAGAAATCTTTGTAATGCAGAGTTGGTCTGCCAATGGGCCTCGTGCCTGAAGCCAGCTACCCATAGAGCATGTCCTTGGGGATTCTCACATCTTCCATTCTGTGGACATGACCAAGCTAGCATGGATGTTGCTGAGACAGGAGTGTGAACATGTTGGGAATGTGGGCTTGGGAGTACGCATCTTTGTTTGAGACTCTGACTTGCCCTGTGATGCCCTAAATCTTCCTGATGCAGCACATGTGAAAGGCGTTGTGGTGTTGCTGGTGGTGGTTGTAAGTTGCCCACAACTCACTTCCATAAAGCAGTGTGCTCAACACGCAAGCCTGGTAGACCTTCATCTTGGTATTGAACATTAGCATCATATTCTCCCATACCCTTTTGGAGAGATGAGCCATTGCTGTAGATGCCTTGCCAATACGCTTGTCATTGTAATCCATTACTAAAAGTTTGCCATGAATGTGCCGATGGCTTCTGATTCGTCCCTCCATTAGGGAGAGCAGGAGCAACAAACCATGATCTCTGCCATATGACTATGGTAATCGGGGATTGTAGACTGGGAAAATTGACAGTGGCGTGTTTTGAGGATTTAAATGAGTTCTCAGTAGAACAGAGTGTTGTTATCAGATTTGCTAGTGTGTCAGTGCACTCATGTACAAGAAACCATAAGGGAATTAGCAATACTATTCTTTGGATCTTTGCTGGAGATTGTACTCTACAGACTGGATTGCATTGGCTGTGATCACTTTGCTTAGCTTGGGAAGTCTAGGATTGACCAGTATTAGTGTAACTGCTCCAGAGAGTGAGCAATAAACAAAGTGAAGTTGCAGTTGTAAAACAATTATAATAATCCATGAAAGCACATTGAGGTTTACTAGAGGTTAATGGCTCTGCAGCTTGAAACACTCAGAGACTTAGAGTAGAAGGGGTTAATAATGTGGGAGTTTTGCAGTTAAACCTATTAATGCATTTCTATGCTGGTTAGTAAATGATCACAGAGCTGTAAATTTTTAGAGAAGGGACAGTTAATGCTCCCTCACCTTCGTGTTGGGAGGTTGTGTTGTTTATTTCTGTTCCTTTCTCTCTCCTCTTCCTTTTGAACCATGTAAACGGAGCAGACATCTGAGACTGGGACTTCAGATTCAGACCACATGTTTGAGACTAATTTATGTATTTTGAAACCAAGAATACCTTGCCTGTGTTGTTTCTGCTGTAGCATTGAAGGATGCATGAGTGAGACTTGTGATTACTGTAAGTAAAGCGCTGAAACGTACTTAAGGTGGTAGACTATTCACTCCGAGAGTGGTAGAGGCAGCCCCCATCCCCGAATTTTAAGTGCTTAATACTGGGGCATTTAAAGGTCTAACAACTTATATTTCCTGTGCTTTGCAAATGCTGCACAGATCTATGCTTTAAATTCTGCTAGGGGCTATTTTGGCTAAAGAGTAAGCCAATTCCCACGTGCTTTTTAAATTCAGACAGTCACTTTTTCTTTGTAGTTCCCCCTCATGTGGGACTTCAGAATTAATTGGTATTCACCAGTTATTTATTTCCCAACAAATAATTCATTATACAGGCTGGCTAACCCCACCTTCTTGTTTAATTACTGTTGCACATGGGGCAGGACAGGGGCCCACAGGTGGAAACTTGCCATAAAGGTAAGTAGGAGGCTGAGCCTTTCAGACTTGGCTGCAAATGGAACTGGGAAGGACAATAAGGTTGCAACTTTCCCAAAGAGTAGCAAATTGGAAAATAAAGAAAATAGGAAGAAGCAAAAGAATCAAGACATTAATATTTATCTGTCCCGTGCTTACAGAAAACTGGAGAAATGAAAAACTGAACTTCACTATAACTTAAGGGGAGTACTGTTAAATATAGGCTAGGAATCCATGTTTGATATCAGACATGGTTTATTTTGGGGCTGTTGGGAGAGATCAGTATGTGGCTCTCTTTACATAAAGATTTTTAATCAGCAAGTCTTGTAGAATTATAGGATCCCCTAATCCACCACAGTTCTCAGCATGTTAGTGTACTTTACCCCCTTCATTAAGCTTTCCTCTGTTTAATTTTAATTTTGATTCCAGTTAAAATGTAGAAATCCTCTTCTAGGAAGATACTGGTGGATGCCTTTCCATTGAAGAATTTAGAGGCAAGGAAAGAACTGAGCTAATTTTTTTCTAGGAGAAGAGAGAAGGAAGACAGATGCTGTGGCCATCTACACGTGGGGGTGGTAGAGTGTCTGAAAAAGCACAGCATGGGGCAGCTTTCTAATGTAGCTCCCAAGGCCTGAAAAAAATGGGGGTGCAATGTGTACCCAGTTATAGGATAAACTTACTGGTGAACTGGCTGTGAATCTAAAAGGACTTAGTACAAAGATCCAGGCTTGGACATGAGTACCTGATGATGCAAAAGACACTTTTTCATGGACCATGTTTAGATAAATAAATGTGCTACCTCCATAAGATGTTGGCCATGTGATGAGACTTACATTCCAAGTTGACAGGATTACTGCATATCTGTACTTCCGGCAGGCTAATCAGCTTTTCTCCCATCTCCATTTGGTTCTTTGCATTCCTTCAATTTCTATTTGTGTGTTCTCCTTGTTTGCCTCTTATAAGACTTAAGAGTTCAGGGCTGTGTTGCTTTTTTGGCTTTCCCTCATTCTAGTTTCAGAGCCATATCTTTACCTAAGCATAGAATTGAGATGTTGTGGGTATGCCTTTGAACTACTGATTTTTGAAGCTGTGTAGCATTCAAAAGGATATTGTATTACTGAAAATCCTTTTCAGTCAATGAATCTGTTTTCAATTCTCAATGCTTCATATTCCATCACTAGAATTCTGTCAGCTCTCTGTCTCTCTGCTTGTTCACTGTTTCTTCATTAATCAGGTGCTCATTGTTGGAACTTTTCTTTTGTTAGTCTACTTTCCCATTTTTTCCCCTTGTTTCAGATCATTTCTTATTTCTGCTTTTGAGCTTCCTCTGTGAGGCAAACATTAATATTTTTCCTCCCCCCCCCCCTTTCATTACTGCTCTGATTTATTTTTGGGCTATAGCTCTTTTCTCACTTGTGTTGGCATCAGCAGTCACTTGGGAGGGTAAAATCTCCTGGACCCCTATAGGTTCACTGGCACTTTCTGCTAACAGATTATCCTTCCATAAATAGCATCCTTGATATCCTCTGTTAAAATCTATTCCTTCTCTCTTTTCAATTAGGGTAACTATTCCTGTAATCTCTTTTTTCCTTCCAAAGAAAACATCTCAGTGTTTGGCAGCACCTGAGGATGACAAAGCAGCCAGGCTTTAAATGAATTGCTATATACCTACTACAGTAATTGGAGATTGCTGGGAAAAGCTTTTTCACAACTGAGGAAAAGTCTGAGAGGAAGATGAATGATTTTTGGAGAGGTTGGCAGGGAAGAGAACTTAAGGGTTTTGAGAAGACAGGATGGAAAATTTATGTGAAAGTGTAAAATGTTGTAACTAAAAGTAATACACCCAGAGATCAGAATCTGACTAAAATTAGGTTTCAATAACATAATTTAGACTTTGCTTTAGGGATGGCATAGTAGTCAAATACTGTCAATAAGCTATTGAATATTTGACAGCGACTAAATAGTCAAAAAATATCATTAGGTAGTTTTTCTCTTTTAATTCATCAAAGTTTCATTTTTTGTCAAGAGCAGACATAACTCCCATTTTTGCAGCAGTTGGGGGTAAACTTAACTGCCTAGGGGACATTCAGATATAGGCTACTGGCTATTACAGCAGACATCTCCAAGAGGAGCACAAGCCATTATCAGTGGCAAGTCTTTGTCAGGCAAAGTCTGTTAATAGTCACTTAGCCTAGGTAAATGAACCATTTTAAACCGAAAGGGAAAAGTAGAGTTATATTCAAATATGAACTTCAGACTTCTTGTTGTAGTCAAGAGACAAACCACGTTGGTGTCTTCTGATGTTTTGATATTTACTGTAGTTGATTGTGCCCAAAGCTGCTTTGCACAAATAAAATCCCATTAGATATATTTTTTAATTTTGTATACAGTATGTTTAGATGTTTTATGTGTTCATCAATTGTAAGCTGAGTAATTGCTTTGTTGTGAAATAACTGCAGTGTTGATATTCTGTTTTAGGTTCACCAAAAACCTGTCACCTGACAAAATCAACTTGAGCACACTAAAAGGTGAAGGTCAGCTAACAAATTTAGAGCTTGATGAAGAAGTGCTTCAGAATATGCTGGATCTTCCCACTTGGCTTGCCATCAACAAAGTCTTTTGCAATAAAGCATCTATTAGGGTGAGTAAGTGATTTTCCTGGCACAGGAATAAAGACCAGTTTGCCACAGTGGATTGGAGGACATTTGGTTAATAGGATGACTTCTCCTTCTGGATGGGATAGGCAGAGTCCTCAGAAGTCTTTTGCTTCCTCTTCCAGGGGGAGGAGCCGGATTGGTCCAGACTGAATCAGATCAGATCAGGATTTACAAATTGTTTTGTACAAATAAAAATTGGGGTGGAGGGACTCGATAGCCCCAGTAGCTTCTTCTGCCCATATAGCTGTATGGTGTCTGTTTCCTCCCTTCTCTTTTGCAGGTGTTTATCCCCCCCCCCTTGTTGCTTTTTTATTTGCTGTGTCCTTTTTCTAGAGCTATGGTGCTGCAATGGACAGAATACTACATAACATGGTCACTATCCATTAGAGGATGGAGGGTGCATGTGGGGATGTGAAAACCAAGATATACTATAATCTGTAGTAATTTGTGGATTAGGAAAATGTCTGTGTCAAAAAACAAAAGTGCATTCACTATCAAATATAGGTGAGATTATAAGCACCCTTGCTTCTAACAGTGGTGATTACTTTGTCTGTGAATTAAATTATAGGCATACAGCAGTTTTTTGTTTAGTTTGCATATCTCTGGATAAGATTAACACCATGTTAGCTTCAGAAGCTAGGTGAAGGGAATTCCTCCCCTCCACATGCATATATATTGCATACATGTATGTACACCTACATGGACACACAGTCTCTTGACATATGTAGTAAAGTGTATGGAACTGATCCTTACTGAATCAGATTTGTGTGTCCTTTTTGGTTTCCTTAATTTGAGTGTCACATTCATTTTGTTTTGACTTCATTTGGTAAGTTTGCAAACACTTCAGTCCTTATGAACAAGAAGAGGCAAGTTTGGTTTTAGGCTTGCAGAAAGGTATAAATGAGACATTTAATTTTTATGTGTATTGTTATATGCAACATGAGATTTCACATTTGCTTTGAGCATTTTCAAAACAGATTGGTGATGATGCCATATTTTCTTTAATGATTTTGTTTTTATTTTATCTTGCAGATACCATGGACAAAATTGAAAACACATCCAATCTGTTTGGTGAGTATGGAATTCAGCTTCCCAAATTAACTATGTTAGAATGGTGATGCATTTGTAATTTCCTTGCAATCATACTGAAATCACTAAGCAATAGCTAGCGGAGAGAAGAACATTTTGCCGTTACTGGCAATACAAATACAGGGTTGTATCCAATGAAGTTGTTCTGTTCAGCTGAGGACTTATTTCCTTGTTTTTTGTGCCAGGCCCCCCAAATCTTCCCCAGAGGGTTGGGGGAAAACCCAGAACAGATATAGGGAGCTTGTGGAAGGAGAAGAAATCCCATTGTGCACACCGAAGGCCTTGTACAAAGAGGACAATGTGATTGGATACAACCCATTGCATTTTACATTATTCTAAAGTGTTATAAAGCCAAATAGTTTCTGAAATGTTTTGTCATGTACCGTATTTTCATGTGCTCTCATTCTAAGTTTTAATTCTGCGAGATGGCTTTAAATTAGTCACTGAATGTAAAACATTTCAATTGTTCTAAATTTCTCTTGCATATCTAAAGTCACTGGATAAAGTAATAATGGAAATGAGTACATGTGAAGAACCACGCCCTCCTAATGGACCATCGCCTATAGCAACTGCATCAGGGCAAAGGTCAGTCATAATTTAAATGCTGCAATAGAATCAAGCATTACATATGTAGGCAGTGCTGAGGAAAACAAGCTGAATAGGCTTATATATAGTTGTTAATTGAAAGTGGGCTAAATGGCAGATCTGCTTGAGAAGGGCTGGGTTAGGTTAGTTAGATTTGTAGATAAAGGTAATCAAAGCCCAGTTTATGCATGTGATCCTAGTGCTTGTCTTTTCCATGTGGTCCCCACTGTGTAAAGGATCACATGGAGAGACCATGGTGTGAAGTAGGCTACATGCAAGTATAGCCCACAGAGGCCAGTAGTGATTTCCATAACTGTGTTTGCATTTTTACAAGTCACTGTGACTACTGGAAAATGCTGTTAGTCAGTAGTCCACATGTTATCTGTTTCATGCTCACATTTCTTGAAGCGACCCAAAGATTATATGTAGAAATAGGCACCTATTTCTCATGTGTGTCTTCTCTGTAAGTGATAAAAAGACCCCGCCTCTTCCTTTATCAGCTTCACATTGCACTTACAAAGCTTTGGAGAGAATTAAATATAGCTTGTAACGTCGTCTGTAGGAGGGGGAAACAGCCTTGCTATGACTTTACATACACAAAGGGGCCTTATTGAACTATAATAGTGTTTGGGGATTGTGGTGGTGTACAATAAAAGGCAAACCGGTATATGGCTCTTTCATATCTCTCCACCCACCCCTGCAAATGGCTCAGTGTGAAGGAATGTAGTTCGTGGTGTTGTGTCCCAAATGCTTAGGATGCATTGCAGTGTGGCAAAGAACATCATATCTATTATCTCACCTACTTTTTCAAGGTGATCTTCCTGTAGTTCTAGTTTGGCACTCAATTACAGAAGCAAAAACAAGGGTGTTGACTCTAGGTCTATATAGTCCCAGATAATGATCTGTTCTAAGTTCTTCTTTTATTGGTCTCTGAGCGATTTCAGTGCTAGTTTTATCTTCATTTGAAGTAGTTGTTAAATCTATGTTGAAATTCTGTTTTAAATTCTTGCATTTTATTTCACCAGCGGATATGGTTTTGCTGAAAAAGTTGTAGAAGGAATATCTGTTTCTGTAAACTCCATTATAATCCGAATTGGAGCAAAAGCATTCAATGCTTCATTTGAACTCTCCCAGTTGAGAATATATAGTGTAAATGCAAACTGGGAACATGGTGATCTAAGGTTTACTCGATTACAAGAATCTCAGCGTGGAGAGGTAAGGCTGACTTTGAATTTAGAACAAGCTATTTTATTCTCTCTTTTCTCTTTCTGTAACTAGTGTATTTTCTTTTATACAAAGAAAAAAACCACATTACAGAATCCACATTCCTATTGTAGCATTGTCTAATCAATAATATTAGCCTGGTTATTTTGCTTTAATTTTACCATTAAACCTACATCATTTTAATAGCAACGTGCCGTATTGAGGCCCCTGTCACCATTATGGCACGGCCTTGAGTTGGCATAGTTGCTGCTGACTTTGTTTGCATACTTGGCATATGACTCATTATTTCTGGCCCTTGCTAAACATGATAAGTGAAGTGTAAGTGGGGTGGAAGGCTTTTGTGGACCTTAGCCAGTCTACTGGAAACCATATCATGTCTAAAGAACAATTCCTATGCATGGTTTTAAAAGTGCATATACGTACAGTTGCAGGGATATGGAGCAGGATACAGCCAAGTATGAATGACAGTCCTTCAGCTATTAGTTATTTGCTACTGATAAACATAGATACCATAATATCTTCCTTTATGCTTATACAGTGAAAAAATGTGCTCAGGCGAGGATTTATCTATGAAACTAAAGAATAGTAATTGACATTACCTTTTTAAAATAGGCATGTCCCTTGCTTTGTGTCTGAAAGTGAAACCATGCCTTTGAATTAAATGTATATTTTGAAATGCATAATATGTGTTTAGTATAAACATTCAGAAATATACTGTGTTTCACCAAGCATAACTATAATGGTAAAAAGGGACTTTTTAGAACCAAAGAAAGCTGGTTCTTCCTGCCCTAGTTCCATTGACTTCAACAGGCCTTAGACATTATTAACTTGGCCCAACCTGCAAAATATAGGTTTGACTATTATATATCTGACCCATTTAAAGTTTATACAAACCTTTTCAAATAAAATAATGGAAGAAGTTTTGGATGCTTGATGTCAATTTCTTTTTCTTTGATTTATGAGATTATTCTTCCAGGTAAGTTGCAAATTTAAATAGAAACCTTTTTTTGTTCAACAATTAAAGTATGAAGGGTAGAAAATTGAACCCAAGTTCAGATGTGACAAGTCAACAGGCCTGTGGGATCTAGGGAAGCAAGTCTGCCTTTTTACAGTTCTCAAATAGATATTTTAAATCAGGATACGTGTGTTTTATTTTAGGTACTGACATTTAAAGAAATCAACTGGCAGATGATCAGAATAGAAGCAGATGCTATCCAAAGCTCTCAGCATGAAATCATGAGTGCTCCAGTTCGCCTCATTACTAACCAGTCCAAAATCCGGGTCACACTTAAAAGAAGGGTAATACTGCTTTGTGATGATTTTGTATATTCCTTAATGATGGCAAAGGTGATGGAGAGGTTCTGCAAAAATTATGTATATTTATGTTCAGCATTAGATGTGTTTAACATTCTAATCCATTTGACATGAAATGGGTAGAAGTTAAAACATAGAAGATTATTGTACAAGCAGGATCCACAATTATGCTGACATGTTTGAGCTAGCACCATTTTCTTCTGCTGAGATATCCTGCCTTTCTCTGAGCTTGGAGAGGAAAAGAACCACCTCTAGAGCGAGAGCGAGAGAGCGCTTGCTGCTTTATGGATTTCCAAGGCCCTGGAGGTCCCCTAAGCACCTTGTTTGTAGTACCTCTCATACCCAACATGATTACAGGATTACATGATTACAGGAATGAGGGGCAGGATTACTGATGAGCACAAGGTTTGATTAGCTAGTGGTCCAAGACTTCCTAAAGCTTGTAGTCCTTTATTCACAGGTATACTCATTTGTGCTTGTTAAGTCATAGATAATGGAGGATATTAATCTTCCATACTTGCAATAATTTTCTACTATCATGAAAAACAAAGTCTTGCCAACAGGTGGGAGTCAGTTTGGCATCTTTGCTGCCAATATTGGATGTCATCAGAATGAAGAGGTTAGCTTTCAATTTTCAGATTATAATGTATCACAAGGTTTATTATATATATTTATTTTCTATTGTGTTGTATGGTTCATTTTGTTAATTGCCTTGAGCATGCTAATGGTAGGCTTGTCTTACGTAAATAAAATCCCTGACATGTCCTGGTTTTCGGCATCGGGGGAATTTTGCCAGGAAACAGCGCTAAAACTCTAAAAGCTTAAAAAGGGTTTGTTAAAAAAAGTCAGGAATTTTACTTTTTAAATATGACAATCCTAGCTAATGGGAAGTTGGGGTATAGATTTAATAATGAGAGGCATTGTTTTGCCTCTAACTCTAAAATATTTTCCCCCTGAAATTTCTTGGGACAATTTGATTAGGTATATATTTGTTAAATTAAGCTCCTGAAAAATACTTGTGTAAATTAATAATGCAAATTCCAGCTTGCCTCTACTCTTACTGCACTGCTAATAAAAGGTCACTCTCAGCAGGAGTATAAAAGAACAAAAATAATTGAACAAAGGTTCCTGCTTTATGCCATGACTACGGTTAAGTCTTGCTTTGTGTTCTGCTTAAAAATCATTGACTGTAGTCCCAAATCTTGATATAAAATATATTCTATCAAAATCAATGTTACCAATATTCCAATTTTACTTTTTCTCTTCACAACAGTTAAAGGATTGCAATGTGGTGTCATCTAAACTGATTCTAATACTAGATGACTTGCTGTGGGTTCTAACTGATTCCCAGTTGAAAGCTATGGTCCAATACGCTAAGTCTCTTAGTGAAGCTATTGAAAAATCAGCTGAGCAGAGACAAAGTCTAGCTTCTGAACCCACACAGGTAAGGAATGCAATCATTATTGCGGCTTAATATTAGTAGGTATATTTTCAGGTAATGTTTGTCTTATCTAATGGGACTCAAACACATAATTTTAGCCTCAGAAATTTTGCCTGCATGGGGCTTCTGAGTGAATATGTACAGTACTGCACAGTTAAGATTGTGTTAGGATCTATTGGTAGCCCTAGGAGTAACAGTCTTGTATGTATTTGTAGTATTCTCTCTGCCTCTAAATTATATTATGCATAGTAAAGCTTTTATCCTTGGGGGGGGGGAACAAATGCTGCTTTAAAAAAATGATATTCCCCTTAATGAAATTTTGCACTTACAAATTACTCCCATGAAGTAATACAGTAATTACAAATTATTGGCCAGGCAAGAGAGGAAGGAGCTTCCAAAGAACAGGGTGATTGTATGGGAGAAGTTTGGTATCTGTCCCACATGTTTATCAGTATATGACTAAGAAACAAGTATGAAAAGAAATGCTTTTAGATTTGTTGAAAGCACCTAACTTTTTAGTTTGGATAGCAGTGAAATGTCATACACCCTTGATGATTAAAGGTGTGTTTCAGATGCTACATTTGAAAGCTTGCCTTAACATGAAAACATTAAGCATTTATGGGAATTCTTTTAACTCTGAGATTTTTTTCCCAGTGCTTTGTGGTGAGGCTCTTGCTAAAGTTATATATTTGAATGTTTCCAGAGTTCTGCTCCTGCATCCAGTTCTCAGCAGGTGAAAACACAGCAGTCCTCAGCCACTAGTGATCAAAATGATGCAATTGTGAAATTATTCAATGATTTTGATGTTAAGGAAACTTCTTATCATCTAGCAATTTCCCACTTGGACCTGCATATATGTGATGATATTCACGCTAAGGAAAAGGGTAAGTGTTTTGTGTGTTTCTTTTACGCTGTTTAACATTGCTAGTCTTTTGTTATGGCTGTCAGAAGATAGATTGCAGTATATTACTAGTCAATTGTGTTCATACACTTTCAGGTTTACGCAATATTTGTTGAATGCTAATTGGTCCTCAATAGCACAGAGCATGAAATGTGCATTGATATAGTCATGTTTCCCTATAGGTATTCATAGTGAAGCAGTTTGAGACTTCCCAAGAAGGGAAGCATGTTGTCTTAAAAGTTGCCATCAAAAGGCACTTCCTCGCAGAACAAATAAGAAACACTACATATGCAGTATTTTTAAGCATTGTATTATTTTGCAGATGCAAACAGGCATGTTTCAGGTGGTGCTATGCAGCTTTCCTTTAGTCAACTAACTGTAGACTACTACCCTTTTCACAAAGCAGGTAAGAGTATATGCTGAGTGGTTGTTTTTATCAGTCATATTTGATCAAAATTAGTTCACAGTATGATCCTGAAATAAATGTTTTTTGTACTGTATACAACTTATTAAGCTACTTGCATGTAGTTTAATATAATAGGAAATGGAATGAGGACGCTGCAGATTCAGTATCTTGTGCAAAAAGGTGTATTGCACCTTGCTTTCTGCCTGTTGAAAATATGCTTAGATATGTTTTAAAATTAGTGTTCTGTGCACTTCACTTACATTCTCAGTAGTCTGTAAGATATATTATCTACTGGTTATTGACTGAAATTGTGTCTGTGTGTGGGGTGTGTGTGTGTGTGTGTAGTCTTAGCCCTGTAGGATTGCCAAGCAACACCATCGGGGTCTTTGAGTCACAGCTCAAATTCTTACCTCTCAAAGCATATGTTAAAATTTGGGCTGCAGCGTTAATCAGTTAATTGAACTGATCAAAGTGGCAGGTCTTGATTAAAATTATAGCATGATTAATGAAGCATTGCTCATACGTCATTTTAAGCCCTTTCAGCTCTCTTCTTGGTTGTGTGCTGCTTCTACCAGAAAATGGAAGATCACCCCAGAACCACCTGTGCTAGTGATGCGGAAGCCTCTGGGAGTGATCTTCCATTTCCACAGGGAGGAGCATCTGGGGGAAGGAGGTGGTAGCTTATGTGGCTTTGGAAAAGAGAGCTAGACAAATGAATGGAGAACACATTTACAGACTGTGAATATTTTTAAATGGCTTTAAACAGTGCTTCTTCTCTAGAAAAATAGGTGTCGGTACTCACCATGAAGTTGCTACAGTAGGTGCCACACTTTTTAACAACAAAAAAGAAGTGCCAGTACTGCATACCCCTGAGTACCACCTGGGGGAAAAGCACATGCTTTAAATAAAAGAGTTAAAGGAGTTTTTAAAAATATACTTAATGGCATGTTTCTAAAATTATTTTTAATTTTTGTCCAAATATGTCATACTTACAGATGAGAGCTGCAGCCATTGGATGCATTTTAGTGATGCTACCAAAGCCAGAAGTGGATGGGCAGAAGAATTATTACACGATTTCAAAGGCAATGTTGAATTGCTTAAGCAGGTTATGAAGGATCATAATATAGATTCTCCCAGTAAATCTCCACCCCAGGGGTCTCCACAGCTCATACAAACAGGTACATTATGGCATACATTGTTAACTTATATGAGATGGTTTATATAAAGATATATTACTGAAATCTTTACAATTGATTTCATGGGTATAGGCCCCAGTAGTTTCAGTACATCAGAAGGAATAGTGCACTTGCATTGTGATTAATTCCTTTGGGACTGTAAAATAATTTTTAGAAAGTGATGCTTAGACTCATTTGAGGAAAATAGCTGATTAGATTCCAAAGCCTGCACAGATATGGCAAGTGTGCAACCCCCAAATTACAAGAACAATCATTTATATTTAGCAAATGAATGGGTTTTAATTTTGATACTGTTGATTTTTACTTAACATGTTTTTATTTCATTTATCTTCCACTATTAGGTTATATTTTGACTACCCAATAAAGGTTTTCTAGGTAGTTTACAAAGCAAAAATTACAACCAAAGGCAACAAATAATGCAGCAGTGAGATTTTATAAGTAGTGTTTTAGTACAAAGACAGAGAGAGAGTTAATGCTAAATTTGGTTTTATGCCTTCTGTTTCCTACAGGCAAGGAACAGATACCTAGAGGAATCTCTAAGCCTTCCCCTGTGTCATCACAGCAACCAAAGGATAAACTGATGTCCAGCCCTGTGGTAGTTAGACTTGCAGATATTAATATTTATCAGGTATATTTCAGTACTAATTGCTGGTATCAGTTCTTTTGTTTGTTGAAATCTGCAACTATGTTGAAGTTTTCTTGATACAGAAGCTGACTTTAATGAAAGCTGACACAGGCTTTGCCGAGTGGGCATTAAAATGTTTATCTCTTGCAAATATGGGCTTCCAGTTGTGTTAATTTACATGTTTCTCCTAACTCTGGTTCATCCTCACAATCACAGGGTCTTGTAAATTATTTGGGTCCTGTAGAAATGTAGCCGGGAAACATAGCTGGATTTCACACTAAATTTTGTTTGTGAAATTGGCTGGGTATGGTACAAGTTTGTTAAAGGAACCCTTGCTCCTAGATGTTAAGCTGTGCCTCTTCTATTTTAGAAAATATTTACATAGAAAATGCCAGTTCTTTTCTAAGTTTATTCTCCCTTATGTGACATAAATACCCTTTTTAAAAATGTACATATATTGATGAATGGGAATCTGAACCCAGGTCTTCCAGACCCTAGTCCAGCATTATAACACTGGGTAATTTAGGCATTTGTTTGATCACTACAGTACATCAGTGAATTATCAAAACTATCACTCATCTCCCCCCCCCCCAAGCCTATTGGCAATATTGGGACAAAACAGGCTATATAGTAGGGCAGCTGTAAGAAATTAGCACTCAGAATTTTGAGCATTTTAAGGCTGATAACGTCTGAACTGTTCTTGGTATAAATCCAGATATGTGGAAAAGTAGGATAGGTAACAAAACAATTTACAACCCTGCTCCCAAAGCAGTGAAAATACTTTCAAATGTTCGAATACCAGCACTATGATAAATAGAGAAGTAATTGTTCACATTTGGTACTTCACAAAATCTAAAATATTCTATTGCTAAATGCTGAACTTCCTAATTTCAGGTTTCTACAGCTGACCAGTGTCGTAGTTCTCCTAAAACGCTTATTTCATGCAATAAAAAGTCTTTGTACCTTCCATCAGAAATGCCAGCCATTCATATTGAATTCACTGAGTACTACTATCCGGATGGAAAAGATTTTCCTAGTAAGATGTTTTTAATTTCTTTTTCCTTCTTGTAAAGTGTTACTTTTTTATATAATAGAGCACTGGCCAAGGGCAGTTAGACTATTTTGCAAACTGTTACTCTCCTTTACATCCAAATGGGCTTCATTGTGAAAAATGCGGGGGGAAATAGCCCAATGCTCAGAGTGCTCTTAACTTGGTGTGGTCCTTAAACCCCCCCCCCCCCCCCCCGTTTTTTCCATACCAGTGAAAGCTATGTGTAAGGATGGGAAATGTGTGGCACTCCAGATATTGGACTCTCAAATCCTATCAGCCCTAGAGTGGTCAGGGATGAAGAGAGAATTGTAGACCAACATCTGGAGAGCCACAGATTATTCATCCCTCATGTACAGAGGTGTGCTGTGTGCAGATTATGACAATTGGAGATGATACTTCACAGGGATTACTACCCATGCATATTATTTCCAACATATTCTGTATCCAAAACGAGCTTTGCAATGTGTAGAATCAGTCTGTGAGTAAAATGTTATTTAAAAGTTGTATGTAAATAGAACAAGAATGTGTTGCTGAATTCAGCATAAGATTTCTTCAGGCATTCAGGTGACAACAATGGCAGCAGGGGTGAGGCTAATGCTTTCATCCTTATTGCCTCTCTTCACATATTTACTTTAATACCTGAAGAGGCTACAGTTGTGATTATAGGAGGTTAACAAGTGAGAGGTGAAGCCTGTTACTTTATATGCAAGGGTTATCAGGTTACTGATGGCAGCCTGATAACTTTCAGTAAAGTTGGTACAGTTACAAAGGAAGCTGTTGCAAGCCTAGTGATTCACAGTTAGTTCTGTCAGTTTATATACTGGACAGGAGAATAAAAAAGGTCAAGATTTTGATAGCTCAATTAGAGAACATTATATTGGTGTGTGATTGAGTTTATTCAGTCTTACTCTTCCATGGGACTTAGATGGGACTAGGAGAAGTGCTGTAACTTAGAATTACCTTACTTTTCCTGTGATAAGGCTGTGTCCCTCCATCATTCTCTCCTGCCCCCCCCCCCCCAATATATGGGACTGCCAACATGGTGCTATCCAAATTTTTTAGAGTACAGTTGCCATCATCCCTGACCATTGGCCGTGATGGCTGGGGCTGATAGGAGTTGTAGTTCAAACATCTGGAGGGGCACTACATTGGCTACCCACATTGACTATACACTCAGAATGGACTCGGGGACTAAGATATCACCACTGTGTGGCCAAATGAGGCAACTGGGGAAAAGAGGGAGAAAGCATGTACAGGAGAACACCAGTTGTGGAAGTAGGGAAAAAAAAGTGGGGAAAAAAATCTCAAAATAACCCATTAAGAACTTGGCATACTCAGTAGCCACAGAATGCAGAGTTCAGAATGCAGTTGTTCAGAAATAGTACTCTGTATACAGCCAGAACATTGGCTTCCAAGATTGGCTTTTCCTATGCCCATAATATTGGATATAGATTTTGTTAATGCTCTCAGCCAGTTGTTAGAGAGAATGATGCTACTTCTAAAAACGTTTTTAAGATAATAATTTTGTTTTTATTCCTTTAGTTCCAAGTCCAAACCTTTACATTCAGCTAAATGCTCTGCAATTCACACTGGATGAGAGGAGTGTTCTTTGGCTTAACCAGTTTGTGTTGGACTTGAAACAAAGTCTCAGCCAATTCATGGCCATATACAAGTTAAATGACAATTCAAAGCCGGAAGAACATGTTGACGTTCGAGTTGATGGGTTAATGATAAAGGTAATGTTGTCAAAGATACAGCACAACATTGCTCAGTGTTGAATTCCTGCCATGAATGATGCATGGGAGCGGCCACTTTAGAGAGAAAATATGTATTGTCCAATAAAGGGCAACTTGTGAAATGCAAACCACACATGATATAAAAGGGGTAAGTTGTTGTTGGAGATTGAGGCTTCACTTACTTTAAAAGTTAATTTCTAGCTCATTTGGCTGAAAAAAATTAATTGGAGCAGGTTTTCAGAAGCACTTCCCAGTGTAACATTAGATACCATACAACTTTCCTAACTCTGTAATCATATAAGGGAAAGAGAGTATGGGGTAATACAGGTAGGTAGCCATGTTGGTCTGCTGTAGTTGAAACAAAATAAAAAAATTCCTTCCAGTAGCACCTTAGAGACCAACTAAGTTTGTTATTGGTATGAGCTTTCTTGTGCATGCACACTTCTTCAGATACACTGAAACAGAAGTCACCAGACCCTTATATATAGTGAGAAGGTGGGGAGGGGTATTACCCTTCTGAGTAATAGTCTAGTAAACAAAGTTAAAGAGGAATAAACTCTGTGGAGTAGACAATTTAGACCTGAAAAGTATTTTAGTAACTTACAGTGTCCTAATTTAGCACATACGCAAGTGGAAAACGGCCCAGAATGGAATATATAATCCATTTAAATAATGGAATATATAACCTGCCAACTATAAGCAAAACCACTTGACATCTGATAAAGAAGATTCTAGTCCACAAAAGCCTTAACCGCAATAAATCTGTTCATTTTTAAGGTGTCAGAAAACACCCTTTTGTATTTTTATTTGCTATGCATATTTATCCTCCTATTTAGTTTTTATTAAGATAGCTTTTTATACTTTGTGGAATTATACCACTAAGGACATCAGCCTTTGTGCTACCCACATACAGCAATCCCACAAATTATGTGGGGGTTATGTTTCAGGGATTGTGCGTAAAGCCAAAATTGTGTTTGGTCAAAACCCCGTGGGTTCTATGGTGGGTGGGATACCCCATGTCATTTTTAATGGAATCTGCCCCTTTCTGCCTCTTTTTAATTATTTTTAATTTTTTGCCACATGCGTAAAGCACAAGTTGAATGCACTTAAGTTGTGGGCTTACTGTATTCCTTCACCCTACTTTTAGCTTATGTAGTCACCCCAGTGTCACTTCAGCTCCAGCTTGAAGTAGCCAAGAATGTAGCAGTCAGACACTCAACCTCACTCCAATTTCTCAGCAGTTCCAGTGGAATTGCAACCTGAATTTTGGGAAGCTATGATTCCTCAGAATTTTTATGTACTTTGATCAGTAGTGTAGGCACTCCCTGCGGTAGATCACGTTTCTTTCTCACATATATTCCTGTAGTTTGAGAAACACTTTTTCAAAAAATTCTGCACTTGAATCACTTCTGATTTTTAAATTAATATTTATGCTTTTTGTTGCAGTTCATCATACCTTCTGAAAGGAAACGAAACCATAAGGATGATCCACATGCAATTTCTATTCAGAGTTCTGAAATGATTTGTACAAACACAAGGCACTCACCAAACTGTAGGCACTCCGATTTGGAAGCAGTGTTCCAAAACTTCAAAGACTGTGAATTTTTCAGTAGAAAATTCACAGGCTTTCCAAAATCCCCTGACTGTTTTAATCTTCTGCATCCAATTTTCCAGCGACATGCCCATGAACAAGATACTAAGATGCATGATGTCTATAAAGGTTTTATCACTCCCCAGCTGAATAAATCTGCACTTAAAACATCTGCTGCTTCTGATGTCTGGGCAATTCATTTTTCCCAATTTTGGATGGACTTTGAAGGAATGAAGAGTGGAAAAGGACGGCCAGTGAGCTTTGTGGAGTCATTTCCACTTACACTCTGGGTTTGTCAGCCCACAAGATTTGAGCAATTGCATAAAGAGCCCTCTTATCAGAAACCCCACACCTCAAAACCTGACTCTAGTGACCTTGCAAACCGACTGCAGCGCAAAAAGCTTCTGAAAGAGTATTACAGCACTGAGACTGCAGCCTTGGCCAACGGTATTGAAAACCTGTGCACTATGAGATCCCAATCTACACATTTTATATCTGACGCTGATATTCATGTTCTTGTTCATGTCCAAAAACATGTGAGCATGCAAATCAATCATTACCAGTATCTTTTCTTACTCTACCTCCAAGAATCTCTTGTGTTGCTCCTGGATAACTTAAGAAAAGATGTAGAGACTGTGACAGGCAAACCTGCAAAACAGGCAGATGTCTGCATTGGGATCTTACTGAAAAGTGCAGACATAGCTCTGTTGCTTCATCCGCTGATGCAAGGAAGCACCTGCAAGTCTCCTGTTTTAAAAGGAGAAAGTCCAGTGGCATCAGACCTTTCACCCCTGGAGAACGGAGAAGCTTATGCATCGGAGAGCAAGCTAGTTCCTACTAATACTGCACAGATAAGCAGTTCAGATATGAATGCTGTAACTGAGAGTAGGTCTGTGAATGCTGATTTTAGCAAAGCCATTCTGACAGACCCTCTTTTCAAATCTGATAGTGATTCGCGAAGGGGAAGTACGTTCTCTGATGATGCCTCAGAAAAACTCTGGGGGAAAATAAATGAAGAAAATAGTGGGCTTTTCAATCGAAGTGATTCAGAAGAGATTTGTGAGTCACTCAGTGACAAGAGTAATACATATCCCAGGGATTTGGTTAATGTTTTGAATTGCAGAGAAGATTCTCTTGAGATGTTGATGGAGAAGGAGGATGACAAAAGTGTGTTTTCAAATAAGGAAAGTGGAGCAGGAGGTTCACCTCTTAAAGTCAGAGACTTCGAATCTGATGCTGCTTGGCAGTCTGAAGAGCTTGAAAGTGACAAAGAAAAGTTGGCTACAACCAAAACGCTTGCATTTCAGTCTTCATTAAGGTATAGAAAACTTCTAGAAAATTAACTTTGTTTAGATTCAGTAAAGTGGGGGGCCCATGCGGATAACCATATATTGAGACTTAAGGCTACTCTAACATGTTACCATCATTAGGAAGTTGGCAATGGGATTTCTATGGTAGCTTCTTCTGTGATAGCGGTACTGTGCAAGTGCCAGCTGCTGCCAGGAGAAATAAATGGGAGGCATGGCTTCAATGAATAAGATAGTGAACCAAGTAATGCACAGTATGGGAGGAGAGAAAACGCAAACCTTGAGGGAGGTGGAAAGGCAGGATGGAATCTGAAAGGGGTTCCTGGTATTAGAGAAAGGGTTAGACATAAGCATATTTAGAAAAGGTTTAGAAGGCCTATACACCTAACAAATATATGCCCTGTGGCTGTGGCAGCAAAACATTTCATAGATGCTGGTGGCTATGCACATTGTGCAGCCTTCCCAGAACAGTTGCTCTAGGAAACTTAGGAACATAGGAAGCTGCCTTTTACTGAGTCTCAGACCATTAGACCATCTAGCTCAGTATGATCTTCACTGACTAGCAGTGGTTCTCCAGAGGTTCAGGCAGGAGTTGTTGCGCCCCCCCCCCCGCCGCCGCCAACCTGCAAAGTAGGTGTTGTGCCATTGCCATTGCCCTGTGCCATTTTGGATCACTTTTCCTTTCTTGCTGCTAAATTGCCAATTGCTCAATTTGTTTGTTTGTTTTTAATTAAACAAATCTGTTTTTGACAGAAGTCAGAGCAGAATTTTTTGTACCGGATTTAATTATTGACTTGTAGAAATACAAAATTCTCACCAACATTTGCCTTAATTTAATGGTTTGGAACATTTTTATTTTCTTTGTTTTTTTAGTTTTTTACCTTAATAATTTCCTAATATCTTTATATTAAAAAGTGGAAAGCCTAAGGAACGCTGCCAGTCCAATCTCCCTGCATTCTCTGTTTCTTATAAGAACATGAAGAAAAGTCCATCACAAGCCTCTTTGGATACCATGTCTATTGATAGCATGTTGTTGGAGGAACAGTATTTAGAGAGTGATGGAAGTGATAGCCACAGCTTTTTGGAGAAAGGTAAGTAAATGTCCAGTTTTTGGAGTTTAAAGTGATAGTGAATCAAATAATCATCTGAGTTTTGCTCCTTGATTCTACTAGTGCTTAGTACTAGTTTTAGATTGTATGTCGAAAAAGAGAGAAAGATCTTATTTACATTTGTATATCTCAGAGGTATCGTTTTCAACCTCTTGTGAAACTGCCATTGTTGTGAAAATACTGTACATTACAGGCTGAGTCCATTGATTTGTAGGGTTAGTTTACCATATGGCTAATGAGTTTCCACTTGACATTAGTGCCAGCATATCTAATTCCAGCCAAGCAGACTGGATCCTTAGAGTATTCCTCATAGATAATTGTTAATTATGACTAAATGCTGTTTGTGATTGCATGGCTAATTTTTCCTTATATAAATGAGGTATTTTATTATGAAGGACGGAGTTTGACTTGATATTCAGTATATATTAGTTTTATTGAATTTACTTTGCCATGTATATGTTTAATTATTATGAAAAATTCATTTGAGAGAAATGTATAGATTAAAGTGTAAGCAAGATTTCAAAAATTAGCTTTCTGAGTATTTTTCTGCTGGAGACAGTACCTTATTTCAATTTTATTGATTTCAGCAATTTGTATACTGCTTAATTTGACATTTCTAAATGGTATACAAGAGACTCAATACAACAAGATTAAAAATGAATTAAAACTATAAAATCAGAATTTAGTTAAAAAGCCTGTTGGATAAAAAAATTCCTGGGTGTTCCTAAGTGATGCACTTTGTGTGTTGCCTCATTGCATAACTAAGTTGGGTTCATTAATTTTAGTTCTACTCTGAGTAAAATTAGGTGGCTGCCACCCTGTCTTTGAGAGCTGCTTCCTGCAGTCTAAGATAAAAGACTATTCAAACGCTGGGTGAATTGCTTAAGTTGTGCGGTATTTTTGGAAGAGGCTGTAGGTAGATAATGGTTAGATGAACTGAATTTGAGCTGGTCAGTATGCCACATCCATAAAAGCTAGATAGCGTACACAGCAGTATGTGTGTATCTTTAAATCCCCTTTTAAAATTTAGAAACCTAGTGACAACTGCATGAAGTATCTTTATAAAAATGTACAGCAAATGTAAACACATCTGTCTTTTTATGAATATATAAGCTATCTTGTCAAATAAACCATTGGAAAACACTCCTGATGAAAACACAGTGATGGAAAACTATGGTGGATCATCTCCGGATGTCCTCAGCGCAGCTTCAGAGAGTGCTCAAGATGCTAGCGAAGAAGAAATGGTAATGGTCTCCCAACAAGGAGGATGTTTTCATAACGTTTCTACTGGATGGGGTTGTTTGAGCAGATCTTTGGTCATGAGAATTGAAGCGTTGCTGTTTTGAAAATAGTGGGACGGTGGGGAAAGTATGCAAATGAGGGTGGCACAGCCTGGACAAAAAAAAATGGTCCTCAGTGAAATAGGGGAGAAGGCTACAAAGTTCACTCTGCTTTAGCAACTACATAAAAAGAAAGTACAGTTGTACCTTGGTAGTCGAACAGAATCCGTTCTGGAAGTCTGTTTGACTTCCAAAACGGAAGCTCCTGCAGCCAATCAGATGCTGCAGAAGCCCTGTTGGACATTTGGCTTCCAAAAATAGTTCACAAACTGGAACAGTCACTTCCGTGTTTGCGGCGTTCAGGAGCCAAAATGTTTGACAATGAAGCTGTTTGAAAACCAAGGTACAACTGTATATGTTGAATAATGTTTCCCCTAGCAATTTTGGAATTAGCAGACAGCCATGGAATCATACAAAAGGTTATGTAACTTTAACCTTTTGTGGCAGCCTCTTTAGTTTAACTACAGTGGTGCCCCGCAAGACGAATGCCTCGCAAGACGAAAAACTCGCTAGACGAAAGGGTTTTGCGGTTTTTGAGCTGCTTCGCAAGACGAATTTCCCTATGGGCTTGCTTCGCAAGACGAAAACATCTTGCAAGTTTGTTTCCTTTTTCTTAACACCGTTAATACAGTTGCGACTTGACTTCGAGGAGCAACTCATAGAACGCGGTGTGGTAGCCTTTTTTGAGGTTTTTGGTGATTTTTGAAGCTTTTCCAAAACTTTTCCGACACCGTGCTTCGCTAGACGAAAATTCGCTAGACGAAAAAACTCGCGGAACGAATTAATTTCGTCTTGCGAGGCACCACTGTACTCTATAGAGGGGCCAGTATTTCCTTAAAAAGTGAGAATGGGGCTTGTGGATTTAATTATCTACACCCCCCCCGAACAGTGCTTAGAGTAGGAAAATTCAATTGATATATTTATTTCTCATTATGCATAAATCATAAGCTTATGAACTAGCATAAGGTGAACAAATTGCTCCATATGTTTGAAAGCAAATAAATATATGAAGTCCTCCTTCTGCATGGATCTCATGAATGTGAATGGGCTTTTTGATGAGCTGCTGCCAAAATAGAGCTTCTGTGGGTTACATTCACAATTATTCTGCTCTAATTATTTATTTTAAAACTCGTTCCCCTGCAAAATGCTCAGAGCCACCCACAATAAAATGGCAATGGTATTTCCTTTGAAAAGTGTTTAGAAACTCATTCTGGTTGAGAATACAGGTATCTGACTGGAGCCAGATAGCAGAGCAGGTGGTGCCCTTATTACAATTGCACTGACATCCCATTAGAGTTCATGCCAGTTCAAAGTGCTGGTTATGACCTAAAATCCTAAAAGGATCAAGTTATTTGAAGGATTGTCTTATTCCAGTATAAACCAATCTGTACATTAAGATCTGTGTGGGACCCTTTCAGTGATCCACCATCTGATAGAGAGCCTTCTTAGTACTGTGCCCATGCTCCAAAGCATTCTTCCTAAAGAAAGCTGTCTGTTCCCTTCTTGGGCCTTCCATTGGCATGCAAAGACCTTTTTGTTTCAGAGGCCTACTGAGTTGATTATGTTATTTGTCCTGCAAAATACATGTTTTATTAGCTCGTGGCTCTTTAGCTTCTCTTCTGTATTTTGACATGTGTGCTATTTCATTGTTTTATCTGTAATGTTGTGAGCTGCCTTGAGTATATCGTATGGAAAGGGAGGATATAAATTTCCCAAATTAACTAAAAATAATCTATCAGCCCAAATATTCAGTCAGCATCCCTGAAATAAAACAACTGAAATTCATCCAAGCAACTATGACTAACAGATGTATCAGATATCACTAACACACAATAGCTATGTTCAACTTGGAGCAGATGTAAGTAGTTTTATACTCAGTGCTATGAGTCAAAAGTTCCCAATGGGTTACAGAGCCTACTCTAACTGAAATTGGTTTTTATTTCCCTTCTGTTACTTTGACTGTGTGATTCTTTGATTCTGCACATTTGTCGGGGTGGGGTGGGGAGGTCAACATAATATGAGCTTTCCCAGATGAGTTACTAATTGTATTTTCATTTTGTTGACAGATGTCTGTTGTGGTTTTTAAAATATTTGGTGTTAATGGTGAAATTGACATCAGAGGTAATGACACAGATGTATGCCTTCAGGTAAACCAGGTTGTACCAAATCAGTTGGGCAATATCAGTGTTCGGCATTACCTTTGCAACCGAACAGCAGGTAAGAACTAATTTAATATAAAAAGGCATTTCTGGTGCTTTCACACTAGTGAAAATGTATAAGGATTCTGTTTTGTTGGTTTTAGTATGTTATGAAATAGCCTACAGATTTGGACAACTAAAGACTTTAAAGGGGCTTGAAAACTGTTTGCCTTTAGTGGATTTGTAGGTGTGTCTGTGTACTCTTCTGGAATTATCTGAAGAAAGGCCAGAACCTAGATTCCCCCCTCCCCCCCTCAGACTTCTCCACCTGCATTAAATGATTATCTGTATTCAGTTAGGTACTAGCATACAGTGGAATCCCATGTGGAGCAAATGGGATTATCACCCATGCAATGGCACTTCAGCTTCCCGTACCTTACCGTCTTTCACATGCCCCCTAAATCTGCTTTGAAGTGTTCTGTACCTCTGCAGAGCAGATTTCGAAGGCATGCAGTGGGGCTGCAGGGGATAGAGAAAGTCTCGATCAGCAAGAATAAGTATTCCATTCATTCATGGACAGCATTGGATACAGCCCATAGATTATTCTGCAGGATTTATTTTATACTTTGTTGCGTATTCAGTACATCTGAAATATCATTAAAAGGAAGAAATGCTATGCTGTGAAATTAATTTGTAAAATAGGCATTTGAGGGGAAATTATGAATACTTCCTTTATCTGATTATACTCCCTTTGAATATAAAGATTATGGAAGCAGTTTCCATCCTTTTATAGATTTTTAAATCAAAATACCTAATGCAACTTAGCTGTCTAGTAGATGACATAGCCCCATTATATTTTGTGTTGTTTCAAAATAGTCAGTGTTTACATCATGTTGGAGGATAGACTATAAACAAGAGACATTTAATGTCATGTAAAACTGGTTTACCTGATTCTGTACTGGTTTTATAACAGGTTCAGATCCTAAGACTGTGACTGGGCCAGTTAAATCAACTCCTGAAATCAGACTGAGATGGGAAAGTGGACCCAGTGCTATAATACATTCATTGCTATCAGAAAAAAATGGGTTTCTACAATGTCATGTGGAAGGCTTGAGTGCTGATTTCCTGATGTCTTCACTTATGAACATTCAACGTTTTTTGGAAGATGAAATGGTTGCAGAAGTGATGCCTATGAATATAAAAATTTCTAATACAAGGATCAACTTAAAAGTATGTAATTTTTGGAGTGAGATTGATGTCAGTTCAGAGTAAATATTGATAATTCGGGATTGAGGGAAAGCATTGCTTAAAAAAAAAAAGCTTAAATTAACAGCTCCTGTTAGGTACTAGTCAATAGTTTTAAAGTCATTAAATGATGTGATGTTTTCAAGCAAGCACTACTGAGTAAAATTTGGCTTCATAGAAAGCTATCCTAACATAAGTGCTGTATATTGTCTTCAGCTAAACTGCAAGATTAGATGAAGTAAAATTCAATGTTCTGCCTTGTTTTAGAGATATTTAGTTGGATGTTTGGAAGCATATTCTCATGAACTCTTTGCAGTATAAAGAGTCTCAGAGTTCATCTGTCAGAAACTTGCCTGTGAAAGAGGAGAGTTGGGCATGCAGAAGCAGCCATTCCTCAGAGGCAAGCAAAGTCTCTGTCTCTCTCCGCTTGATGCTTTTGGGAGTTCTGCCATTGACTCAAATATCACAGAGAACTTTACAGTCTGCTTGAATTTAATGTGATATATTTAAAAAAATATGCTCGTATCGCTTATATTTTCTAGGATGACAGCCCACGTGACAGTCTAACTGCTCCTGAACCAGCCCCTGTAACGCTGAATATTGACCTCCTTATGGTGGAGAGGAAAGATGACGGTTCATTTTGCATCAGAGGTCTGCCTGCCTGCCTTTATTTTACCAAATTATTATTTTTAGAGTTTGGAAATATTTGTATTGAAAGTGGGATAAAACTCATAAGAAAATAGAAATAAATATTATAGTCTAATACCGTCATGGGGAAAAATCATGTGTTGCACAATCTAGTCCAAGCCTCTATGATTTGTGATGTTGTTGGCATCTGAGAGACAGTGGAGTGCACGTCCAGGGGTGAAGTCAAAGCGTTGCGTTAGCAACACTGAAGTGACCTCCCTGGGGCACAAGCCTCGGCAGTGTGTCTGGAGGTCCTGGGCTGCCCAGACAAGAAGACCCCCTTCTCAGCCTCACTGATGGTGGTCCAAAGGAAAGCAGAGCAATATGTTGGCACCAGCTTGGTTGCTGGAGTTGCTGGAAGGAGGCGTAAAAGGTGTCATCCAATCAACTTGGGGACTCCACTCTGGATTTGTGTAGGGTTTACTCCTTAGCCCTTTATTCTCCTGAAGGTATCCCGTAAGGCAGCGAAGGTTTAGATCAGAGTTTTCTTTCTCCTGGATGTGCCACCTTCCCAGGTTGACAAGGCCCACCTGCCCCTCCCATTTGGGCTATATAAGGGGGGCGGGAATGCAGGTAGTTCAATAAAACATTTAAACTATGGAGAATGCTAAAATACTAAACTGTAAGTTCAACTGTTTAATGTTGAAGAACATCTGATTTTCCCAATTCATGGAATGAGGCAAGGATGATATTTATTCATAACAAAAATAAACATAATTTTTTATCATATAGATTGATATCATTGGTGAATCATGACTAAGTTTTTGCACTAATAGATTGAACCATATAGGTCAAGATCAGTCAAGCTTTATTAGTGGGTGAACAATCTTCAACAGCACAAGGAGGGTATTGAATTTCTTAAATTATTACCCTGTTGTTGCTGCTTGCCTGATCACCATGAATATCAAATGCAGAATTTAATAGCTTTTGTAATTTTGGACACTGAAATAGCATTAAATCAAACAGAAAGAAACTTTTAAATTAAGACTTTGGAAAATGCAACATAGGTGTAGTTTTCACTACAGGTGATATTAGCAGCCTCATTTAAATTTATAAAGGATTTAAGTTGAAGATGCAAAAGACTAGCTTGAAACTAACATATGAAAGGATAACTAGTTAAGCTTCCAAATATATCTCGAATGTCCGTTTGTAACAAGAGGGCCACATAATTTGGAAATGTATATGGCTCAGAACTCTTAAGAAGTTGCTGATACTTAAGAGTCAAAGGATTAATTTAAATTCTGATATTTGATTTGGGAGTATGACATGTAAAGACATAAATCTGTATTTAGCAAACTAACAGGAAGAAGTAAATGGTAAATCAAAGATGTGAACACTGACTCATTTCACTATCAATAATATTATGTGTTGGATGCAGCGAGATACTAAGGCAAAGGTTGTCTTGAGTAGTAAGAGTTATAATTTGCTTCATAAACAATAGAACTCCCTCCAATCCAGATATTTTGGAAAGTAAAAAATGAATCCCCCAAAAGACTGATGGGGTAAAGTGGTTAGCTACATCTATTCACACAACTGTAATATCGTAACAACCACTAGACCAGTCTAGCTTATCCTTTTAAGGGTATCTGGTGGCTACACACGTGCCATTAGAAGTCTAGTCTTATAAAGGCACCTCAGTTTAAGATGTCTGCAGAGATATAGTTATGTGAAGGTGTGATTGTACAAGGATGCACTTTTTGAAGGATTAGTTATTTACGAAAGCTTATGCTATACAGCTTAGTTTCATAGTACTTGATACTTTTTAGCTGTAGATCATTAACTATTTAATTTTTTTTATATTGACACTGTACAATTCAAGTTACTGAAATAAATTGCTGTTGAGATACAATCATTGGATGCTATCAAGTGATTTCACTCTTTCTACTCAGTATGACTGATATTGCTATTTACTTATATTCTGCCTTTTTCCTGATTCAAGGCAACTTACAGATAAGAATAAGAACTGCTAAAACACAGAGAAAACAATGATGAAATAACAATTAAACACTGATTGACTTAAAATTATATACATATATAAAATCTATTGAAATCATACCAATAATTACAATAAAAACCAGCATGGCACCAGCCTTTTAAGAGCAGCCAGTTTCCAAATGCTTGTTGGGAAAAAAACCTCTTCGTTAGCCAGCGGTCCCTCGGCGGGGGAAGGACCTCAAAACCTGGGCTGGAATGCAACGAGGGAATGCAAGTCTTTCAGATAGCTTGGACGTAAGCTGTGTAGGGCTTTATAAGTCATAAGCAGCACTTTGATTTGTGCCCAGAAATAGACTGGTAGTAGTGGAGCTGTTACTGTTGGGTATCACCCATTTTAATTATTATTTATTTTTAACAGATAACCGAACACCTAGCAGTGATGTTCCAAAGACTAAGACAAGTAATGATACAAGAGAACAAACTGCTGAAGTTGATGCGCACAAAAAACAGAATTGTCTGTCTCAAGCTACACAAACATCTCCAGAAATTAGCAGGTCTCTTAAACCTTTTAGGAATTTATCTGATTCGATCAAGGAGCAGGTAACCATAAATCTACAGAACATTTCATTTTGCAGTTCTCTTGACAAAAATTGTATGTTTTAACATGATTTTTTCCTTCTGCTCTAGGCCATTCCTTTTTAAACTATTCCCCCATCAAAATGAACTTTACAAAGCATTTTGAAAGAGGGACATGAAGTAATTCTAGATAACTAATACCTTTGGTTCAAACTCATGGAAATTTGTTCTTGTTTTTTGTTAAGAAAGCATTGTTTGGGGGGGGGAATTGTTAAGAGGAGTCTATATAACACTTATTAAATTCTTAATTTCTACTTTATTATTCCAGCTGATTGAAGAAAATGAATGTCTTAAACAAGAACTAGCCAAAGCTAAGACAGCTCTTGCTGAAGCTCACTTGGAAAAAGACACCCTGCTTCATCAAATGAAAATGATGAATACTGAAAGTAAATGACAGAAGACTCTATAATGTTGCACTGGAACAAAAAGGGATACATTTTAGACTGTTTTTGGAACCTGAGCCCTGAACAAAATTTCTGCAGAATAATCAGTTCTGTCAACATCTTCAAGGAATTAGGATGTGCTTCTCTTTAGCCTGAATTTAAGATGTAGTGATGCAGGGAAAATCAATTTCTATTATATGTTACTAATTTGTTTAATAGGTGGTGGCATGAATAAAATGTACCATGTGTCATTGTTAGGCTATCTTCATTTGTGAAGATAAAGTTCTGTTATTGGTAGAGGAAAAGTACTATTCAAGGGAGATTAAATTTGCACTATTAACTGTAGGTGGGCACAACATGGTCCATCGTAGCTAACTAATACTGAAGTAATCATCCAGAGACTGGGCCTAACACCAACAGAACTTGCCTGGGACTGTGCACCCACTTTATGCCTACATTATCAGCTGTGTTAATGTGTTGAAACCATTCTTGGAAAGGTGTGACCCAAGAAAATGAGGAAACACTCCAACTGTGCTGGAACCATGCTAATGTTTGGTTTCTTTTTATCCAGTATTTGTGACCATTATACAGTGAAGAATATTGGAGTGGTGCTTGGTCAGCTGATCTGTCACTAATTAATGATTAGACCAGGGCTCTTCAGAGATGATCACTGGTCATTTGTAGGAACATTCCTTACTTAAACCTTTTAACAGATTGGGTTTTTTTTGTAAAAATGTAATCTAACTGTATATTAATGCACTTGGGAGGGGGAAAATCGAATAACTGCCCTCTTGGACTTGTGAAATTCCATTAAAAATGTAAAACTGCATTATAAACTATGGGCTACTTGTAAAAATTTAAATTCTAGTTTTCAGCTGAAAACTGATGCAAATATATAAATAAAAAGCACAGACTTGTGCAGGAGGTTCTAAGTTTTTAAAATAATGAAGACTACGCCCAATAGGAAAATTCACTTTGGATAGACCTTTCTGAATCATTTTGTTGAAAACATTGTCTGGTATTTGTTTCGTCTGAATTATACAATGTTTTACGGAATTGGGAAATACCTTGTTTTTAAAAGTGCAAACCAGAGTCCCAATATCTACAGTTCTGTGGTTGGAGTTTTATGTGTGTGGGAAAGTGAAGAACTGGCTTGGGTGGAAGTGTCTTTAATTAATTGTTTCTCCTGACAGCAAAAATGGGAGAGTGTATATATACTTTCCATTTTGCTGGTCCAGCTTCCAGCTTCCTCTCATAAGGTCAGCTGCAGTGATGATATTGTGGTTGAAATGAGATAACACTTTTCCAAAAAAGATCTTGTCATTTTTAATAATTTCTTATCTCTAACTTGAAGTGTCATATGTAGTATACTCTGGGATTGCATTTGTACTCAGTACACCACATCATCTCAGTCATCTGGTCAATTCTGAAGAACTCCAGCTCTCTTCTTGTGTCATTCCCAGTAGATGATTCTGCATTAAGTAGCAAAAGTCTTTAAACAGATGATCTTACAGTTTGTATTATTACATTTCATCCAGTTCCTGTAACTCCAGACAGTGAGATCATTTGGTCCATCCATGTTATCTTTCAGTATTTAATTTGTACAAAAAATATTTTTATATTGACATCATCAGTGCATTATCTAAGTTGCAGTTAAACAAAGTGATTTAGTTGAGGAGTTTCACTGCCTCCTAAATATGAAGCCTTGCTTTCTGGAAATACTTTGATGCCCTTCGAATTAGGCTTTAGCCACATGCTTTACTAAACATTTTTTTTATAAAAAAGATTCCCAAGGAACATTCATTGTTGCTTCAATTACAGCAAGCTGAAGGACTTCGAGGGAGCACCAGCTCCATCTAGTGAGAACTCTGTGAACCTTCGTCTTGGGTTTGGAAATTGGAAATTGGAAATGCATTTTTAGTTTAGTTTCAAGGGTAAACTGTTATCGTTAGTCTTTATGAGGGTTTTACGAATGTAAAACCTACATTGACCAGAATGTCAGCCTTATTACAAATTCTTTTTTATGTGAATAAGTGATCTGATATTAACATAAATAGCACAGGAGGCTCAAATGCAATTTAAATCTCTCACATAAAAACAGTCCTTGGCTTTTGACCTATACAAAAACCATTCTGCTTCTCCCCTCACCCCAAATGAAATGTGAGATCAGCAGAGCCATTTTCGCAAGCAACTGTTAATGCTTTTATTCCAGAATATAGAATACAGCCACTAGTCTTTCAGTTTATTTTGAAATGTAAAAACTGATTTCAATATCATTTGGAAAATGGCATGCATGTATTGTCTTTGTTAAGTACACATGTCAAAGATGGGAAGAGAGGCACCTTTGGCGAAAACTCCAAACCTAAACATAGTAACACTTTTTGAAAACCAGCTCCTCCTATTTAGCCAACCCAATCCTCAAAACACCTTCCCCCTTCCTTCTAAATCAACTTGCCAGGCATGACAGAAGGAACAGCAGCATTGCAGCCAGGATTACAGAGGGAAGGACAAAAATCAGATTTCAGCCCTGCCCCCTCGTTTCAGCAATAGCAGTAACCCATGAAAACAGAACTCCCAAAGGTCATCTTGATCATGCTTGCAATGTGCCCGAGAGGAAGGAAAGGGAGATCAAGGGAAATGGAGGGTGCAAGAAGGTAAGGTAAGAATTGTGGGTCTTGTGTAGCATATGGTTTATTAGAGGTGACTAGTTCCCCAAAGGTCATATCACAGCCCAGCATGGTTCACTGGCAGCTTAACCTTTGTGCCTAGTATTTTACAATAGTCTTAATCTCTCATAGAATGTTGGAAAGGTTATGGTCATATAAAGTACCCATTATAGTACCTGCAAAAAACCCCAACTGATTTTATCTGAGCCACCTCGTTGGAAACACAAAACAAGCAAACAGAAAAATGTTGCTATCTTTCTGGACAGACAAGCCCTACAGGTGTACAACAAGAAGCTAAAAGTAGAGGAAGAGTCAGAGCATTGGTAGGTACTAATAACAGATTCAGCATCAAGAGTACGGTAATAGGCAGAAAGCAGGCTGCAAGGGAAGAATAGATAGCAAGGTCCAAAGAATGCTCTGCTAGACCATGGACAGCTCCAGGATAGCAGATGACACACTTTGCATTTTAAAGAAACAAACATGATACATGAAGTAGTGTTCATAATGTCACTTAAGCACTTAAGTCACACTTGTCTTTTCAGCTTGTTCACTCACTACTTCTCCTGGATGAAAAAACCTTGGAGATAAAATAGAAACAAAACCTTACCTAAGAAGAGTTAATAGCAAAGTCAGTGACAGATTTAATACAAGGTGCCACTGCTGTTGTTCTGTGAACTTGGAAACCAAAGAGTGTATTTGGAATGACCCTAAGGAATTCCTGATTCCAACTGATTGACAGAAATTGTAAACCTGTTGCCCAAATTATGTACAAGTTGTATTCTGGTTAACCTTTGGTTGAAGGAGATAATCATACAGTCATCTAGGAAACTGTTCCCTAATAGTCTCTGAGGTGGGGAAAAGGAACTGGTATAATGAACCTAAAGACTCAGCTATACAGCTGCAAATATAAGGTTTTAAGCGTGTTTTAAGCGCATTATAGACACTAGACTGGATGTCGATAGTACACTTATGTCAAATTCAATGTATTTTTCAAAATGTTTGTTTAAAAAGCATTTTCACAGTGTTTTTTATATGTATCGAGATTCTACCTAAGAGGGGCTATGGACAGAGGAAAACACACATCCTCAAGCAGGTTCTGAAACCTTGCTATTTGAAAAAACTTTCTTGGTCAGAAACTGCATGTAACCCATTTTTAGCATACCCTCACTGGGGGTCAGGGATTTAAAGTTAGAGGTCTAATGGTAGAATACACAGAAGTCATTCAAAGTTCCCCCAGTGAGTTGTAAAGCTTTTACACAAAATCTTTACAGAAAAATCTACTGGTTTATACCCAACTGTACAGAAATCGTTCAAGGCACTATATTAAGACTGATAGTTTTCTATTCAATCTAAAGTTAGATCAAAATTCTGTTGAACCCTTATCAGTAATGTCTGATAAGTTTATCACCACAAATATAGAGAACTAAGTTGAATGTTTCCAAATACTTTTCACTGAAAACTCTAAAAGTAGCGGTAACCTATAGAATGAAGAGAGCTGCTTCAATTCTTCTTCTAGTTTTCAAATACATTTAAGCCTATTTGACATCAGAGGTTTTGCCAGTCATTACAGTGTTGAGATTTCTTGAGATGAAGCGTGAGAAAAGCTTTTTGCTGATGAAAAGGGAGGAACTTAAAGGGCTCTTCATAAATTGCATATTACTGTTGTGGGATCATACATCAGTGGCTGAGTCACTACATTTTAAGTGCCAATCAGGAAGCAACATGGAAGGATTAAGGTACTTATATAATTCTCATGATTTTCTATGCCAGGAACTGCCAGCTGCTGCATGTTCAGCTGTTCTGAGAGGGAAGGAGGAGGTGCAATGAACCATGTTGTTTACAGTGGAAGAGTTTAAAAGGGTCATAGGCAAGAGTTGCCTTGACTTGTGGGACTTCTAATATGTCATTCTGCTGAGAAACAGAAAAAGAGCCTTCATATTTTAAACTTATTAATCTTTTTCTGGAATAGGTACGTTAGGGAAGTCATGGGGGTATAGATTTTGTTCTACATGTATCTTTCATTTTACAAAAAGCAAGTGAATAGAACTTGAAAATAATCTCAGAACATGTTACATCTTTTATGAATTGCCCTCTGAAACCTTAATATGCTCATTCTGCAATACTGTTTGGTAAACATGTAATTTAATTGGAGCTGATCCAGCATATTATGTAGACCATATTTCCAAGACAGCCTTGCTGTGCAAGGATAATTTCAAGGTTTTGACATGAGAATGGCAGCTCCTGAAAACCCAGATTTGAGGAGGCACATACTAATACTGGCATTGTGGTGTGTGTGTATAATCTGAGCAGATTCTAATAAAAACATGATGTGCCATTTCTGAGCAAAATAGATCAAAATAGAAGAGACCACTCATACATCCACGTCCTAAGCATTTTTTTAGTCTCAGTACAAGCTTGAAGCACAGTCCCCATTCCCCACACATAGTACTATCCCATCTCATACATGCAATGCATGAGTCATGAAAGAAAATGTTCTAATTTCATTCTAAATTTACTTTTTCTACATTTTTAAAATTACACGGGACTTTTCTATCATCAGAGCTCAAGCATGGTATCTGCCCATCTCTGGGTCCTGGTACAATGCATCCTTCTCAGCCATCCACTTAGGTTGAGCATTGGAAACATCTAGCTGCAAAAACAACATATAGTAGAACGTTGGAAGTCTATTCACTCACAGCTCAGTTTATATTCTCTCCAGTATGTCATCTACTTCTGTAGAATGGGGGTACATTACCATTCACCTGCTTTCTGCACATCGGGCATAGCAGAAGAGACTTCAAATACTAGATAACCATCATATGCGCTCTCAGAAAGAAAAGGAGCTGCTGCTAGCCTACAAGTGAAACTCAAAAAATTAGAATATTGTGGAAAAGTTCATTTATTTCAGTAATTCAACTTAAAAGGTAAAACTAATATATGAGATAGACTCATGACATGCAAAGCAAGATATATATCCTGTATATCAAGCTTAGCAGCTACAGCTATCTTTTTGAGTAAGTCATTTGTCATTTGCTTCAGCAGCAACACCTTGTTTTACTATGGTATAATCAGTTATTGCTTTGGAAAACATTTTTAAGAAAGAAAAAGACATCTGCTAAACAGAGCAGGTTGATGTGGGATAGCAATACTTTTCGTTTGAGAAACCCTATGGTATGCCATTCCTTGATGTTCCTCATCCCTACTTTCTGTTCAGGTGCTGTTAGATGGTAATCCTGATTCCTTTTTAGAATTTAAAACTAGCAGAGGGCAACGCTCATCAATGCTGAACTAAACCTGAAAAAATGCAACAAATAGGGAAGAGTACAATATTAAAGGCTGAGCTGAAAGTTCTGTACAGAATGCTTTATCTTGAGGTTTGTCAGGACAGGGACAAAAGGCATATACAAAACAAGGCTATTGGGGGAGAAATGAATATTTTCAAAGTGTTTTGTTGGGGGCTTACCATTGGTGGAATCTGAGACAGATTTTTTTTTTTTTAAATCCTGCTAGAAACAGGAAGCTACATTACACTGAATCAGACTACAGATCTCCCTTAGTATTGTCTACTAGGGCTGTGCAACTGCTTCATCAGAATCCTGCGGTGACTGTGTTCAGACCCAGGTGGGGCCTGCTTAAAGTCATCCAAAATAAATACCCCCCACCAAAGCTCTTTGGAGATTGTTTCTTATTTTATTTTTAAAAAGTCAGCCCATCTCTAAAATGATAGAAAAAAATATGAACAACATAATGTAAGTGCCAGGATGGGGGAGAGGAAGGAAGGAAAGGGACTGGATCTTGCTCATTGGGAGTTAGAATCTCACCCAACACACTCCAATCACAGTGCTTGGAGGGATGGATATAGCGTAATGGCTCGCTTCTCCAAAAGGGTATGGAAGAATACGATGCTAATAACCAATACCAAGAATATGGTCTACCTACCAGGCTTGTGTGATGGGCATGCTGCTTTAAGGTAGTGATACGAAAATCTAGGACTGTTTTAGACATTATTAACTAGGAAGGCCAAACCTTTACAGATTGAAACAAAAGAAAGATTAGGGGAAATTAAGAAGAATGTTATAATAAATTTGATTTTAAAAGTTGTGTTAAATATTTAAAGATGTACTAAAATCTGACCCCATCGCAATAGCCTCAGATATACATAATGCAAGTTCCACTCTCCAGCATAATGACTCTACAGAGTGAAGCAAGAGATATAATTCAATTCAGAGAATTAATTAAAAATATTAAGTTTCTTCCCTTTGAGGAGCCAATAAAAATGAAACGGAAGTACATAAGCCACCATACTGCACAGATGTAGATAATTATTTATATTACTGGCTGAGAAGAAACCACCTGCAGCAGGATAGCTATTTTTTTTTATTAAAATAATTCCTCCTCTAATACTCACCAGGTTAGTGGACTTGGCTGTAGTAGTGGAAGTGCCCTGCGAACTTGAACCTCTTTTTTAAAAAAAATGGACTGGGGAGGGGAACCAGGCAACCCATATTTTAAGACAGGGAATCTCTGGATTCCATAATATTCCCACCATGGATTCAAAGGTGCCATTTTCGTAACAGCCCAGTGGGTTTAGAGAGGCAAATCTGCCTTGACTAGTGGCTGGGGTGAGGTGTGTGGTGTGAGGACACCCTTTTAAAAAGTGTGGACGCACCGACAGCAAATGATTACTGCTGCTGCTGGTATGCACCCTATGGGTCGCCTCCGCTCTGGATAACCCCAAGTTCCCCCATATATATCTGCCCTCCCCTCCCCGCTCCCCTTCTCCCAATGGGCAATCCTGGCCTGCCTCGTCACTCCCGTCGCAATGTGGGGAGGGCGGGGAGCGGGCGGCCCAGCTTCCTCCTTCGAAATGTTGTTTTCCTACTTCTCTTTCCCCACCCTGACGGGACTACACCGCGGTCTCACCCCACCTCACCCTCCGAGCTCCTCCCTTTTCCACTCCCTCCCTAACGCTATTCCTGCGTGAGGGTGGGTGAGCGCGCGCTACAGCCACGGCGCGCGTGCGCGCGCAGCTCCTCGTCCCCCCCCCCTTTTCGGGCAGCCGTTATCGATCGAGTCGCGCGCGCGTATGTATATGTGTGCGCGCGCGACACCGCAGTGGAGCGCGAGACGAGCTCCTGTTACAGTTGCTGCCGCTATTTGGGCGGGCTGGACAGCTGAGGGAGGGCAGCAGAATCCCTCAACGCAGCGGGAACCGGAGCAAGGGCACGCGACCGGGAGCCAGATAGGGGAGGGAGGGGGGAGACCCACATAGTCTGCCAGCCATTCAGAAGCGGAGAACTCTTGTCTCCTCAGCAACGGGCCTGGGTGGCCAAGACTGCGTCTCCCCTTATTTCGCGCCCTGCTGGTCGTTAAGATCTCCCTCACTCTTCACCCGCTTCAGCCTGGCACGAGAGCTCTGAGCACTCTCTCTCTGTCTCTCTCTCTCTCTCTCCCCGCTTCACCAAACTAGAATTTGGGCAGAGGGTGGGGGGAAGAGTCTTTCTTCCTCTGCGCCCCCCTCCTCCCTCTATTTTTCTTCCACACTCCACCCAGAAATGATCTGCTGAAAATAGGAGGTGATTTTCCCCTCCCAACCACTGCTCCTGCTGCTCCTTTTTCTGCTGTGTTCTTGTGAAGGCTTCAGGAATATCCCTAAATCGCTCAGTCTGACAGGCGAGCAGGGAAATTATTTTTTTGTGGAGAGGGTCCATTTTTGGGTGGGGAGGCGGGGATAACTTACACGGCGTTTTGGGGGTGGTCTCGTGTGAAGGTTCTCTGATGATTCCCGACCATGGGGAAGGACCAGGAACTGCTGGAAGCTGCTCGCACTGGGAATGTGGCTTTGGTGGAAAAACTCTTGGCTGGCAGGAAAGGAGGGCTCCTGGGCAGTGGATCTGGACCTATTCCTTTATCCAACTTGCTGAGGTAGGGATATGGTTTCCCAGCAGGTGCTGGGGATAGTAACCTCCTCCTCCTCCCCTTCATCATCATCATCACAACCACTGCCACCCTCATTCTTGCAGTATTATAGTAACTATAAAATGTGTCTTCTGAGTATGTACAGCTGAGGGAGAGGTGTGTGTCCTATATGAGTTTAAAAGCAACTGGCCATGATGTTATTGACATACAGTAGTAACATTTGCATTTATCTCCTTCAGTGAATCGGTAGGAACTTGCATTGGCTTCATTACTTGTACTGGGGCAGAACTTTGGAATATATTGGACAATTTGATGTGTACATGCACATTATTTCTCTCAGGTTTTCTTTTTTCATCTGGATAATAAAAAATTAGTTCATTTGGTAATTAAAGGCATGCTTGCATATTTGTAACTATATAGCAAATAGCCTTCCTCCATTGCCTTATGCTTACTGCCCTAATTTGCAACAGAAATTAGCCATGTGTCTCATTAATAGGACTATACTGTTAAGAAATTTGAACTTCCTGGTGAGAGGTCAGCTACAAGCAATAGGTGCAAAATGTATGCAGTCAGTGATTAACATTTTCAGAACTATATGAGACTAGGTTATTAGGCATTTCCAGGTGGAAGGGGCCAATTTCTAATCCTGAAAGAGCTTATACAATGTGTGGGATAGCATTTAATGTAAAGCATGAATGGTACAGTATCAGTACAGTATCTGCAGGTGAGAAGGACATATTTTTTTTTACAGGTATTTGACTTTAGTCAAATAAAAGAAGGTCTGCAGCACACAGTTCTCTGTTACGGCAGACACAAGTGCAGCAAGGGAAAATGAATTGGCATGCTATTGACCTAAAACTTGAACTAATCATTAAATGTGTTCCACTGCAAGAACAGAAGCAGGCCTGAAGTAATGAAAATTGTTTCAGTGACAAGCAAAAAAAGGTCCTGTAGTTTCCTGGATTCTCCATAGTAACAGGTTTAATATTTTGTCAGGCTGCCACATTATCTTTTTGCAAATGTAGTTGTTTTAAAGGTTATTAATTTTCACCCACTTATTTCTTATTTTTGTATTTTGCAATGGTTCAATAAGAACAACATTTTTGTTAGTGTATTGGTTGGCATAGTGAATATATAGGATTGTTTTTAGTAGTATAATTATATAGCTTGGGTCAAAAAGGAAATGTCAGTTAATTTGATGAATTTTAATGTAAGCATCATTAATTAAACATGACTTAAAAAACAACAACAACCCTACACGTACCAGAAATTCACTTTGATGCAATTAACATCCATCTCTTCTGTAATCAGTCTGTACAGTTCTTAAATGTTTACTTTCTTTGGATTCCTTTTAATAGAGCAGTGTATTCCTATACACATCTCTTTGAGAGAATTTGATGGCTCATTTTTAAAAATAGGGAATAGATTGAAGAGATGCATTTGTAATGTGGCTTGAAGACTACAATGGTGGGTATTATAGAAAACTGTTGATTACTAAAAGTAGAAAATTACATTAAGTGCTATCTGGCACTATTTTTAATAGAAAGCATATTAGTTTTGTAACGCATTACAGTTGCATATTGCTGCACTTTCCCACTCACTTAGCCCTGCTTTTGGAACCTATTTAAAATTAGACAATACTTATATGACAAGTGTCATTCAGGTTACTCAACAAAGCCAAAATTAAGGCCCTATCTTCAACAAGTACAAAATGTACGTATTTATCAGTAAGGCTGGAAAAATATTTCTTATTTTTAAAAGTCAGTTAGCATCCAGGGTTGTATTCTACTAAGTTATAGAGCAGGCTCACTGAAATCAATTTGTCCATTGATTTCATTAGGTCTACCCTGACTTAATTAGATGCAGCACTAAACATTTGCATGGCAGTGTAGAAAACATAAATAAAGGCACCACCATCACATCAAATACCTCTTGAGCTTCTTTTGATAACTTTGTTGATGACATAATAAATGATCAGATACATCATATTGCCCTGATACTGCATTAAATTGCTGTTGGATTTAATGGTTTCTTATGTTCCTAGACTTAACAGTATTACTGACATCATAGTCACTTATCTTGTCTGTTTTTCAAGATCAAATGCTGGTGGCAGTTGTGAATCCACTCACAGATGTAGTTTTCTCTGTACAATTCCAGTATTAATTAAAACTTCACTTGTGAAAACTGATGAACTTTCAAACTGGAATGCTTACTACAGTGAAATGAACAAAGTTTGCAGCTGTCTATTTGGATATTGGCATATGCAAGTGGGAATATTGTGGTATTATGACCCATTAGGAGAAGGATCATTCACAGGAACCCTGAACTTGTATGGTCCTGTACATATAAAGTTTGGAAGTGAAACAGGCCATTCAGAAATAAGCCAGAAGCTTTTGCATTCTAAGGTGGAATCTAGGTATACAAAATTAGTTTAGTTTGTATCTTAATAATTGTCAAAAATACCTACAAGCTTGTTGGGGCAGAGGTGGATTTAAGGGAGAGTGATTGGTTCGCCTGCACTGAGCCTTGAGCTGAGAAGGCACTGCAGCAATAACTTAGACCCTCTAAATAGAGATACTTGATCTCTATTTTCCAGGGATGTCCCTGATTTAGAGAAGCCATCCCAGCTTCTGATTTGATCCCAAAATGTCCTGCTTTTCCTTAGGACGTCCCTATTTTCACCAGTTAAATGTTAGAGGGTATGGAGTTATTCGACTCGTGAGCTGTCTGAAAGCAATCCTGTATAGGGAAGTTTTATTTAATGTTTAATGTACCTCGGGTTACATACGCTTCAGGTTACAGACTCCGCTAACCCAGAAATAGTGCTTCAGGTTAAGAACTTTGCTTCAGGATGAGAACAGAAATCGTGCTCCAGTGGCGTGGCGGCAGCAGGAGGCCCCATTAGCTAAAGTGGTGCTTCAGGTTAAGAACAGTTTCAGGTTAAGAACAGACCTCCGGAACGAATTAAGTACTTGACCCGAGGCACCACTGTATTATGTTTTTATATATATTGGAAGCTGCCCAGCGGTGGCTGAGGCAACCCAGTAAGATGTGTGGGGTACAAATAGTAACATTATCATTATGGAATGAGATGTCCCTATTTCATCAGAGAAATGTTGGAGGGTATGGAATAGAAGGCAGGAGGCCAGGTTGAAATTACCAGGGCCTAGCAATCTAGAAGGGGTCCCAGGGCCTGACTATCTTGCATTTGTTTTATGCAATTTCTAATAAAATATATATTTCATATTCAGTGCACACACAATTCTAAATAACTAGCTTACAAACTTGTGCTGTAAACATTTGCGACTCTATATGAACATTTGCTTCTGTGGTTTGACAGTATGACAGTGCAGTCTCATCTTATTACAAAGTCACATTTGTATGTTTTTTAAGTGAATACTGCAAATACAACAAAGTTGTTGTGTGATACACATTGTGTTGTGTTACACATACAAGTGTAACATTTAAAGTACTGTATAGTTAGTTGAGCAATTATTATATGAGTGCTTATTGATATTAGTCATTAGGATCTTAACATTCTCAATAGGTACAAATATTATATTTATTATTAAGCTAAAAATGAGACCACACATTTATTTTAAATCCCATGTAAATATTTTTAGTTGGCCTGCCCTTGCTGGAGGGCACAAATTTTTTTTCCAGTGGGGCTCGAACCTGCTTTCAGTGGCTCTGGGAAGAGAAAGGTATATAAAAAAGAGAGAGGGAGAGAGAGAGTGGCAGGAAGAGGAGGTCTCACCTTGTGATACTTTTAATCCCTATCATCGCAGTACTGAATTTTCAAATATGAAAAAGGGATATAGCTATAGCTAGGTTAGCTGTACACCTTTAAACTCTACAAGTCTGGATTAATGGGAAACCTGTGTTGTTGTTGTTGTTGTTGTTGCCCACACCTCCCAGTTGGAGAAATCTTGATGTTTGCTCTACACTGCTTTGAGAGTTCAAGAATACAGCAAACCACTGATGTTTTAAAGCAGACTGTGGAAGTGGAGCAATGAACTGTCAATTCAGACATCAGCCCAGCCTGTGTATCTGACTCTCTATTTGGTCATCAGGTTGCAATTATAGCATTAGTTAGAAAGTCGTTTTATTAGCTAGGGAAGTGTAGTGTTAGGGAGGGAAGTGATACATAAAATCATTACATCTTTTTAAATGTAAGTGGGATTTCTTAGTGGTTTCTGTATTGTGGTTCTACCACTATCAGTGATGATTCAGAATCATAGGGGACTATTCCTCCTC